AGACATTGTCATTATTCTCTCCATTTGCTAAATTGAAGAGACTGTTTTAAGCCTTGAATGTAGAGACCGTGTCTGCTTCCTTAACGTGGATGAAGCTGATTCCACAGTAAAGGAGCCTGGAGCTAAATGCTCTTCCGCCGACAGTGCTTTTTGAGACTTTAGGAACCGCCAGACGTTTTAACTCTTTAGGACCCAGCAGACTCTGCTGTTTAGCGAGTGCAGTGCTGGGTTTGGTTGGTATGACACTAACGTGTCTTGCTCTGTTGGGGTCAAAGGTTATGCTCTCTCTTCAGATGGAGAGCTGAACGTCCTGGAGGACATTCTGACAGAAGCTCCGGATCAAGACGACGAGCTGTTCACCAACACAGAGACCGAGATCACAGACAAACAAGGTATGTGACACAGGGTGTGTGACATCACAGGGTGTGTGACATCTCAGGGTGTGTGACATCACAGGGTGTGTGACATCACAGGGTGTGTGACATCACTAGACCGGTCTGTGTCCTAGAGTGAGTAGTGACAACTCGTGATTGAACCGTGACGGGGAAGCAGCTGTCACATAGAGCTGCACGATATTGGAAATTAGAGCAATATTTGATATTTAGTATCTCTAACGATATAATTGCGATATTTTTGTATTTCACCTAAAATGGCATCTGCATCAAAACACAAGAGACAAATAACGAAAAATAAGCACAATATTAATGACCGTCAAATGCATATATTTATATACTTTTTTGTTTGTTTATCTTGTTGAATTTTGATGTTTCTGTTTTGTTGTCTTTAATAAAGGGGGAATTTTTTTTTTTTTTTTACTGCAGATCTTTTTGATATGGATATCGCACGCACCAATATCGCAATAACAATATTTTTTTGATATATCGTGCAGCCCTAGCCTGGTCGTACCACACCATAGTACAAATGACATGTCGTACTAAGGCCTGGATTGGCTCCATTGACTCCGTGAACAGGTGGGAGGGGCTAACTCCTTTTGCAGATTGAAACCATTGGATCTGAGTTTACCGTGACGTATGCAGTGCGCCCAAGTCTGTTGTTAGCATTTAGCAATTAGCCTAGCTTTAGCCATCTCCTTACATTAGATTATATTTGCTAAACATTCCTCTTGCTCTTGCTTCAGTTTCTTGATAGAACCAGACCGGATTACTTTAGTGTCACATTTCTCGCCATTACCAAACTACAACCTTCCCGTTCGACGCAAACTCTTGACATCACCCACAACTAACTACAACACCTGCCTCCCGCGCTCTCTGATTGGTCGGTCGAAATTCTAACGATTGTATTCGCTAACACAGGGACCAGACCCAGACGTTACATGCAGGACATGACGATGGAACAGAGTGTACGGATGGATAAGGCCAGGCTAGTGCAGCCTTTACTGTCGACAGCTTTAAAGTCACACACCCCAGCTTTAAAGTCACACACCCCAGCTTTAAAGTTACAGACCCCAGCCTTTAAAGTTACAGACCCCAGCTTTAATGTCGTTCTGTGGATTCTCAGGCGTGAAGCGAAAGTCTGATCGGTCCGACGCGGTGGAAACGAAGAGGGCGCGTTCAGGACACGCCCCCTCCTCCTCCTCCTCCAATAAGAGAGCTGTGTGTTCCAAGAAGACTGTGTCTCCCAGAGCAGGCCACGCCCCCAACTACCGCCACGACAACTACGAAGACCGCAAACTACGCCGGCGAGGGGGGCGGGGCTTAGAGCAGGTATCTACCAATCAGAGAACCGGATCCATGTTCCAACACTGTTACTCCTCACAAACAGACCTGTAGTTTCCATGCGTCAGGTTTAGGCCTGTCGCGATAGTCAATAAATCAATTAATCGCACGATAAATAAAATTTGCTCAATAACTTTTCTGGCCGCGATAAATCCCATTTACATGCTTGTTTGTTTTCCCCGTCTCTCTCGGGTCAGAGAGCCGCAAAGTGGTCACGGGAACATTAGCGGTCTAGCAAGCAGACGGAAATTACTCAAAAATACAAAATACAGCCAAAACAGGACCTAAACCAGGACTTAACCAGGATTGACAATGGGGGACACAGTAGTTGTGAACATATGCCGGCAGCTGAGTTCTCATTCAGGCTTGATTAGTGACTATAGTAGCGCAGCTAGCGTTAGCGTGTTCGCCAATGCAGAAGTACCGTACCATACCAATAAAATAAACTTATGGCGCACCTCCGTGAACACATACTGCTGTTATATAAAGTCTCTAGAAGGTCTCTGAACACAGAGATGCTGCAGACTTGCATTCTTGGAGTAGAACTTTACACAAAAAACCCGCTAGCTTAGCTGTTAGCATCAAAGCCCGCCCCGCTACTTCCGGTGGGCGCTACCGCAGCAGGACTTCTGTACGCCCCATTGGTGAACCCACATGTCAGTCACTTGTCATTCGCCTGGTGGTGTCTTAAGCCACACAAAGTCAACATGTTGGTATTTCTTTCTCGTAATCTGCCATAAAGTCTGAGAAATTATTGAGGCATCTGTTTCATATTTTCTTTACAAAGGTCCTGGCAGTTTTATTCCTGGTCATTTTTTGTTAAGAGACTTGAGTATTTTATTTATTGTTTTTGGTTGTTTGTAAATTTATTGTGTTCTAGCGTTAAATATTCGTTAAAAATAAAAGTTTATTTCTCTTTGAAAAGGTGTACCTGCATGATCATTGTAATCGATGCAAATGATCTCAGAACGCCAATATAATCGCTTATCGCAATAATTTCTGAGACAATTAATCGTCCAGCAAAATTTGTTATCGTGACAGGCCTAGTCAGGTTCTACTGCTTAACTTATTGACCGCCATGGACGTGTTAACGCGTCAAACCAAATAGCAACGTTGTCTGCCATAGCGTGTCCCGCTATTTTCACGTTCCCAAACGTCTATTGTATCTAATATGTATGCGGATTGGCTTGAGACCATATTTTATCGAGCCAGCAGGTGGCAGCATTTCTCTCTGAATGGTTTGAAAACAGTTAGGTGCACATGTTGTGCCTCTTTTTTCTCAGTTTTTTGGTGATTTCAGTAAAACTTCCCTCTACTCGACGGAGGATTACAGGGGAACGAAACAAGCTAGAAACAAAATTCTTTTTGCTGATGAAAGCTTTCAGAATCTGGTTTTGGATTTCAGATAGTCATAGTACACAATATTCTGGGGTCTTGAAAAATCAGTAAAAATCATTAGAAACGGCTGGCAATATGGAAGTCCCTGTTCTGAAATAGTCTGGCAGTCAATGAGTTAAGTAATACTTTTATAAAAGATGAAAAACTTGTTTCAAAAAGGTCTGTTTTAACCCTTAAAAGACGATGCCATCGCCGACGTTGGTTGCGCACATGTTTTACAAGTGATCAATTTACTCGCGAACCGTAAAAGCTAGCAACTTTTTTTTACTCTGTGAAGTACACATTCCAGCCTTTCTGAAACGGGCTTCGGTTTGCCTGTGCAATAAAATAAGATAAGATACACAAGATAAACTGCGTGTGTACGAAAGTCAGTCCCCCAATCGGATCTGCGAGCGGTGCCCCGTGAGCTTCACACAGCCAAACGTAAAGTTGTGGGAGGGAGGGAGGGGAGGAGGGAGGGGGAGGGAGGGAGGGGGGAGGGGGGGGGGAGGGGGGGAGGGGGGAGGAGGGGGAGGAGGGAGCCTGGTGGGGGAGGGAGGGGAGGAGGGGGAGGAGGGAGGTAAGTAAGTGGGGGGAGGGAGGGGGGAGGAGGGAGGTAAGTAAGTGGGGGAGGGAGGGGAGGAGGGGGAGGAGGGAGGTAAGTAAGTGGGGGAGGGAGGGGAGGAGGGAGGTAAGTAGGTGGGGGAGGGAGGGGAGGAGGGGGAGGAGGGAGGTAAGTGGGGGAGGGAGGGGAGGAGGGGGAGGAGGGAGGTAAGTAAGTGGGGGAGGGAGGGGAGGAGGGGGAGGAGGGAGGTAAGTAAGATGGGGGAGGGAGGGGAGGAGGGGGAGGAGGGAGGTAAGTAAGTGGGGGAGGGAGGGGAGGAGGGAGGTAAGTAGGTGGGGGAGGGAGGGGAGGAGGGAGGTAAGTGGGGGAGGGAGGGGAGGAGGGGGAGGAGGGAGGTAAGTAGGTGGGGGAGGGAGGGGAGGAGGGGGAGGAGGGAGGTAAGTAAGTGGGGGAGGGAGGAGGGGGAGGGAGGGGAGGAGGGGGAGGAGGGAGGTAAGTAGGTGGGGGAGGGAGGGGAGGAGGGAGGTAAGTGGGGGAGGGAGGGGAGGAGGGGGAGGAGGGAGGTAAGTAGGTGGGGGAGGGAGGGGAGGAGGGGGAGGAGGGAGGTAAGTAAGTGGGGGAGGGAGGAGGGGGAGGAGGGAGGTAAGTAAGTGGGGGAGGGAGGGGAGGAGGGGGAGGAGGGAGGTAAGTAGGTGGGGGAGGGAGGGGAGGAGGGAGGTAAGTAGGTGGGGGAGGAGGGGAGGAGGGAGTGAGGGACGACTGCTTGATTCAAAATTCGAGACGTGGATCTAAAGAACGAATGTTTTTGCAGAAAGTGCGTCGTGAAGAGCGCCTGCCAAGCCCCGCCCCTCGCCACGATGAGCACCAATCAGATGAGGAGTACGGCTCTGAGGCGGGAAGCTCCTCAGCGAATGAGGAAGAAGAGGAGGAGGCAGAGGAGGAAGAAGAGGAGGAAGAGGAGGAGGTGGGCGTTAGCTTTAGTCTTTCGCTAACATTGATCTATACATGTTTACACCGGCGTTCGCATGCGCCACTCGCCACAAAGCGGAACAAACCGAGGCATGGATGCGACGAGTACTTTTAAAAGACTCAGTGAATAGCACTTTATTTAAGCATTTTAACTCAAGAAGATCAGAGGAGCTATAAAGACAAGCTAAAAATAAGTATACGAGACCGAACGAATCCAAAGCCCAGATGAGACCTGGGATGACGAGAAAACATTGGTCTGTCCTGGCACCTGCTGGGACTGGGACTGGGACTGGGACTGGGACTGGGACTGGGACTGGGACTCGGAGACATTTATTTTGACTTCATAGAAAACCCGGGACCCTTCACTCAAGAAGGGTCCGTGGTGAAAATCAATTTCTCGCGTTTTTCACCGCGGTAAAGTGGCCCAGCATTTTGCCACACTTTAAAAGCGGGTTGCCCCTGTTTTACTTACGGTAAAGGTGGAACAGGAAGCCGCGGGGATGAGCAACCAAAATACAATGTTTAAAATGAATCGTCAATCATGAATGAATGAGTGAACAAGTGCGCAGTGAAAGTAGTTGCAAAACTTAAATCTGTTTCTGAATTTTTATCCCCTCATCCCCGGCTTCCCGTTCTAAGTTTAACTTAATCTGTCCCCAGCGGGCCGTACAACTGACCACACAACAAGAACGGACCATTTGATTTAGTAAAACCTCTCTCCAAACGTCTAAAAATAGCTAACGCTCTAGTATCCAGGTAGCTTTCGATGCTGTATTGCCACCCGGTCACGTGACCGGCACTCAAAGATCCTCCTATATAATACACCTGGAAAGAGATGTTAGCTTTAGCCTGTCGCTAACATGGATCTATATAATACACCTGGAAAGAGATGTTAGCTTTAGCCTGTCGCTAACATGGAAATATAATAGGCCTTGTTGGCAGCCATCTTGAAGCAAAATGTATATTCATTTCTATATTGGTCTAACGGTGTGTTTCTGTCTTGTTCAGGAGGAGGTGATGGAGGAGGAGGAGGAAGAGGAAGAAGAGGAGGGAGAGAAGGAGGAAGACGATGATGAAGAAGAGTACGACCGCAGAGACACAAACTACGACACAAGGAGTGAAGCGGGAGACTCTGCGAGCTCCGACAGCTTCAGCCAGTCTGACTCCGGTGAGTGAGGGGGAGGAGAGGGGGAGGAGAGGAGACATGTGAGGGGGAGGAGAGGGGGAGGAGAGGAGACATGTGAGGGGGAGGAGAGGGGGAGGAGAGGAGACATGTGAGGGGGAGGAGAGGGGGAGGAGAGGAGACATGTGAGGGGGAGGAGAGGGGGGAGACATGTGAGGGGGAGGAGAGGGGGGAGACATGTGAGGGGGAGGAGAGGGGGGAGACATGTGAGGGGAGGAAGGGGGAGACATGTGAGGGGGGAGACATGTGAGGGGGAGGAGAGGGGGGAGACATGTGAGGGTGAGGAGAGGGGGGAGACATGTGAGGGGGAGGAGAGGGGGAGAAATGTGAGGGGAGAGAGGGGGAGACATGTGAGGGGGAGGAGAGGGGGGAGACATGTGAGGGGGAGGAGAGGGGGGAGACATGTGAGGGGGAGGAGAGGGGGGAGACATGTGAGGGGGAGGAGAGGGGGGAGACATGTGAGGGGGAGGAGAGGGGGGAGATGTGAGGGTGAGGAGAGGGGGGAGACATGTGAGGGGGAGGAGAGGGGGGAGACATGTGAGGGTGAGGAGAGGGGGGAGAGATGTGAGGGGGAGGAGAGGGGGGAAACATGTGAGGGGGAGGAGAGGGGGGAAACATGTGAGGGGGAGGAGAGGGGGGAAACATGTGAGGGGGAGGAGAGGGGGGAAACATGTGAGGGGGAGGAGAGGGGGGAAACATGTGAGGGGGAGGAGAGGGGGGAAACATGTGAGGGGGAGGAGAGGGGGGAAACGTGTGAGGGGGGGGAAACGTGAGGGGGAGGAGAGGGGGGAGAGATGTGAGGGGGAGGGGGAGGGAGAAGAGATGTGAGGGGGAGGAGAGAGGGGAAGAGGAGGAGAGAGGAAGAGGAGGAGATGGGCGAGAGGGGGAGAGATGTGAGGGGGAGGGGGAGAGTACTTGAAAACTGTTTTAGAGATTTGAGTTTAATATTTACTATTGGTGTGGTCTAAAAGTCACGTCCCCCAGCTTTAAAGTCACGTACCCCTGCTTTAAAGTCACGTACCCCTGCTTTAAAGTCACGTACCCCTGCTTTAAACGTGTCACGTCCCCCTGCTTTAAAGTCACGTACCCCTGCTTTAAAGTCACGTACCCCTGCTTTAAAGTCACGTACCCCTGCTTTAAAGTCACGTCCCCCAGCTTTAAAGTCACGTCCCCCTGCTTTAAAGTCACGTACCCCTGCTTTAAAGTCACGTACCCCTGCTTTAAAGTCACGTACCCCTGCTTTAAAGTCACGTCCCCCAGCTTTAAAGTCACGTCCCCCTGCTTTAAAGTCACGTACCCCTGCTTTAAAGTCACGTACCCCTGCTTTAAAGTCACGTACCCCTGCTTTAAAGTCACGTACCCCTGCTTTAAAGTCACGTCCCCCAGCTTTAAAGTCACGTACCCCGGCTTTAAAGTCACGTACCCCGGCTTTAAAGTCACGTCCCCCAGCTTTAAAGTCACGTACCCCAGCTTTAAAGTCACATCCCCCAGCTTTAAAGTCGCGTCCCCCAGCTTTAAAGTCACATACCCCTGCTTTAAAGTCACATACCCCTGCTTTAAAGTCACGTACCCCGGCTTTAAAGTCACGTACCCCGGCTTTAAAGTCACATACCCCTGCTTTAAAGTCACGTACCCCAGCTTTAAAGTCACGTACCCCAGCTTTAAAGTCACGTACCCCGGCTTTAAAGTCACATACCCCTGCTTTAAAGTCACATACCCCTGCTTTAAAGTCACGTACCCCAGCTTTAAAGTCACATACCCAATCAATCAATCCTTTATTATCTCACACAGATGGAGAAATTCAGTTCGATGAATAAACATCAAGGCCGGCCGCGTACTCTAATTTTCCGCGCTCCTTATGACAGTTATTCAACAGCAGAGAGCAAAACAGACACATATTTCAACAAACATGGGAGAGACACGGTACATGTGGAAAAACATGCGGATCTTTTTAATGGGAAGTCATCACTCTGGCCCGCCTCGTCCAATATAGCGCGTCAGAGGGGAGTGTGGGTGGGGGAGGTGGAGGGGAAGACCACCATAGACTGAAAAGAGAGGGAGGCAGACATGTAGAAGGGGGGGGGACTGTAACTGGTGTTCTGGGTTGTGAGTCTGAGTTGGATAGAGTCCAGTGTCAGCCTTGAGTGGCCGTGTGGAATGTGAAGGACAAAGATAGCGCAGGTGCAAACATTGGAGACAAAACAACACATGCCCTTGTGGGAAATTTGTATAAGCACTTTAGCTGATCAATGAAAGGCAGTGTAAACTAAAGCCAATATGCCCAAATTATACTGGAACTGGACCCTCCGTTCACCGTTATCCGGAGTTGACCACGTCAGTACGAGGTTCCACCGTGAGGCCCAAGTCCTTCAATCAATCCTTCCAAGCGTTTAAGTCCATCCAAAGATCTCACTCCCAGGTCGTTAAGGGAAAACCCAGCTTTAAAGTCACGTACCCCTGCTTTAAAGTCACGTACCCCTGCTTTAAAGTCACGTACCCCTGCTTTAAAGTCACGTACCCCGGCTTTAAAGTCACGTACCCCAGCTTTAAAGTCACGTACCCCAGCTTTAAAGTCACGTACCCCAGCTTTAAAGTCACGTACCCCGGCTTTAAAGTCACGTACCCCGGCTTTAAAGTCACGTACCCCGGCTTTAAAGTCACGTACCCCGGCTTTAAAGTCACGTACCCCTGCTTTAAAGTCGCGTACCCCAGCTTTAAAGTCGCATACCCCTGCTTTAAAGTCGCGTACCCCAGCTTTAAAGTCACGTACCCCTGCTTTAAAGTCACGTACCCCAGCTTTAAAGTCACGTACCCCAGCTTTAAAGTCACATACCCCTGCTTTAAAGTCACGTACCCCAGCTTTAAAGTCACATACCCCTGCTTTAAAGTCGCGTACCCCTGCTTTAAAGTCACGTACCCCTGCTTTAAAGTCGCGTACCCCAGCTTTAAAGTCACATACCCCTGCTTTAAAGTCGCGTACCCCAGCTTTACAGTCACGTACCCCAGCTTTAAAGTCACATACCCCAGCTTTAAAGTCACGTACCCCGCTTTAAAGTCACATACCCCTGCTTTAAAGTCACGTACCCCAGCTTTAAAGTCACATACCCCTGCTTTAAAGTCGCGTACCCCTGCTTTAAAGTCGCGTACCCCAGCTTTAAAGTCACATACCCCTGCTTTAAAGTCGCGTACCCCAGCTTTACAGTCACGTACCCCAGCTTTAAAGTCACATACTCCTGCTTTAAAGTCACGTACCCCTGCTTTAAAGTCGCGTACCCCAGCTTTAAAGTCACATACCCCTGCTTTAAAGTCGCGTACCCCTGCTTTAAAGTCCCGTACCCCAGCTTTAAAGTCACATACCCCTGCTTTAAAGTCGCGTACCCCAGCTTTACAGTCACGTACCCCAGCTTTAAAGTCACATACTCCTGCTTTAAAGTCACGTACCCCTGCTTTAAAGTCACAAACCCCTGCTTTAAAGTCACGTACCCCAGCTTTAAAGTCACGTACCCCTGCTTTAAAGTCACGTACCCCGGCTTTAAAGTCACGTACCCCGGCTTTAAAGTCACGTACCCCTGCTTTAAAGTCACGTACCCCAGCTTTAAAGTCACGTACCCCAGCTTTAAAGTCACATACTCCTGCTTTAAAGTCACATACCCCAGCTTTAAAGTCACATACCCCTGCTTTAAAGTCACATACCCCTGCTTTAAAGTCACGTACCCCAGCTTTAAAGTCACATACTCCTGCTTTAAAGTCACGTACCCCTGCTTTAAAGTCGCGTACCCCGGCTTTAAAGTCGCGTACCCCAGCTTTAAAGTCGCGTACCCCAGCTTTAAAGTCACGTACCCCAGCTTTAAAGTCACGTACCCCAGCTTTAAAGTCGCGTACCCCAGCTTTACAGTCACGTACCCCAGCTTTAAAGTCGCGTACCCCTGCTTTAAAGTCACGTACCCCGGCTTTAAAGTCACGTACCCCTGCTTTAAAGTCGCGTACCCCAGCTTTACAGTCACGTACCCCAGCTTTAAAGTCGCGTACCCCAGCTTTAAAGTCCGTACCCCAGCTTTAAAGTCACGTACCCCTGCTTTAAAGTCACATACCCCTGCTTTAAAGTCACATACCCCTGCTTTAAAGTCACATACCCCTGCTTTAAAGTCACATACCCCAGCTTTAAAGTCGCGTACCCCAGCTTTAAAGTCGCGTACCCCAGCTTTAAAGTCACATACCCCTGCTTTAAAGTCACATACCCCTGCTTTAAAGTCGCGTACCCCGGCTTTAAAGTCGCGTACCCCAGCTTTACAGTCACGTACCCCAGCTTTAAAGTCGCGTACCCCAGCTTTAAAGTCACATACTCCTGCTTTAAAGTCACGTACCCCTGCTTTAAAGTCACGTACCCCTGCTTTAAAGTCACATACCCCTGCTTTAAAGTCCCAGACTAGAACCCCAGTCTGCTTTTGTTGCAGGTTCGGAGAAGCGTCGAGACAAACTGTCGTCTTCAGTGCGAGCCGTCAGAGAGAGTAAGAGACACTTTGTTTACATCACATAAACGTTTGTCCAGTAGGAATGAAGCGTGCTATACCAATAACTTGCCGCTCCACAGACCCGACCGGGAAACTGCGCTACATCCTGAGAGACGCTCGATTCTTCCTCATCAAGAGCAACAACCACGAGAACGTGTCCCTCGCCAAAGCCAAGGTATGACCTGGGTCTCAGCGAGGACCAGGCTCGGTCTGGGTCTGGTCTGGGTCCCGTCTGAACCAGGTCTTTCTCTCCTCAGGGCGTGTGGTCCACTCTTCCGGTGAATGAGAAGAAGTTAAACGCTGCGTTCCGCTCGGCTCGAAGTGTCATCCTGGTGTTTTCTGTGCGAGAGAGCGGGATGTTCCAAGGTAAAAGAGATGCTATTGCTAATGCTAATGCTAATGCTACTATTCCTCATGTGATGATGTTTCAGTAGTAGCTTTAGACCTCTTGACCTCCTTCTCCCTCCTCAGCTTCCCTCCCTCCCTCCTTCCTTCCCTCTCCCCCCCTCTCTCCTCCTCCCTCCCCCTCTCTACCCCACCCTCCCTCCCTCCTTCCTTCCCTCTCCCCCCCCTCTCTCCTCCTCCTCTCTCCTCCTCCCTCCCCCTCCCTCCCTCCCTCCCTTCTCTTACTCCTCCTTATGTGACGATGTGTTTGTGGCAGGTTTTGCCCGCCTGGCCTCTGAGTCTCAACATGGCGGCTCTCCGATCCACTGGGTTCTTCCCGCCGGGATGAACGCTAAGATGTTGGGAGGAGTCTTCAAGATCGACTGGCTCTGCAGGTAACCAAGCTGATGTGGGCCACACTGGACTAGACTGGACCAGACCCGTGTGGACTAGACCCGTGTGGACTGGACTGGACCAAACCCACATGGTGTTCCGCAAAGCTCCGTATTGGGACCCATGTGTTTGTCATGTATACTGCGTGTGAAATTCTTAAAAAATAACTATTTTCAGCATATTCATACTGCTGAAGTAAATGATATGTGGTTGTGTCCATATGGTTCTCATAGGCTCCAAACATTCCACATCAAGTACAGACCTGCACAGTGTTTTCACCACATCTATTCATTCAATTTTATTCTGCTCTTTCTAACCTCCCAAAATGGCCGCCTGATCCCTTCTCTTCTCCATCACAAAATGGCCGCCTCTTCTCCCTCACCGCCGCAATCTGTTGTTCAGGAGGGAGCTGCCGTTCACCAAGACGGCGCATCTGTCCAACGCTTGGAACGAACACAAACCGGTGAAGATCGGTCGAGACGGACAGGTCAGAAACACACTTCTGTACATTTACCGCAACACAGAACCACAACAACACAACATTTCCCTTTTGCAGTCTTATGTGCACCGCAAGTTCAGAGGACCATCTCTCTCTGGTCTCTCTCTGGTCTCTCTCTGGTCTCTCTCTGGTCTCTCTCTGGTCTCTCTCTGGTCTCTCTCTGGTCTCTCTCTGGTCTCTCTCTGGTCTCCCTCTGGTCTCCCTCTGGTCTCCCTCTGGTCTCTCTCTGGTCTCTCTCTGGTCTCTCTCTCTGGTCTCTCTCTGGTCTCTCTCTGGTCTCTCTCTGGTCTCCCTCTGGTCTCTCTCTGGTCTCTCTCTGGTCTCTCTCTGGTCTCTCTCTGGTCTCTCTCTGGTCTCCCTCTGGTCTCTCTCTGGTCTCTCTCTGGTCTCCCTCTGGCCTTGCTCTGGCCTTGCTCTGGTCTCTCTCTGGTCTCTCTCTGGTCTCTCTCTGGTCTCTATCTGGTCTCTCTCTCTGGTCTCTCTCTGGTCTCTCTCTGGTCTCTCTCTCTGGTCTCTCTCTGGTCTCTCTCTGGTCTCTCTCTCTGGTCTCTCTCTCTGGTCTCTCTCTCTGGTCTCTCTCTCTGGTCTCTCTCTGGTCTCTCTCTGGTCTCTCTCTGGTCTCTCTCTGGTCTCTCTCTCTGGTCTCTCTCTCTGGTCTCTCTCTCTGGTCTCTCTCTGGTCTCTCTCTCTGGTCTCTCTCTCTGGTCTCTCTCTCTGGTCTCTCTCTGGTCTCGCTCTCTGGTCTCTCTCTGGTCTCTCTCTGGTCTCTCTCTGGTCTCTCTCTCTGGTCTCTCTCTCTGGTCTCTCTCTCTGGTCTCTCTCTCTGGTCTCTCTCTCTGGTCTCTCTCTCTGGTCTCTCTCTCTGGTCTCTCTCTCTCTGGTCTCTCTCTGGTCTCTCTCTGGTCTCTCTCTCTGGTCTCTCTCTCTGGTCTCTCTCTGGTCTCTCTCTCTCTCTGGTCTCTCTCTGGTCTCTCTCTCTGGTCTCTCTCTCTCTCTCTGGCCTCTCACTGGTCTCTCTCTGGTCTCTCTCTCTCTCTGGTCTCTCTCTGGCCTCTCACTGGTCTCTCTCTCTGGTCTCTCTCTGGTCTCTCTCTGGTCTCTCTCTCTGGTCTCTCTCTCTGGTCTCTCTCTGGCCTCTCACTGGTCTCTCTCTGGTCTCTCTCTGGTCTCTCTCTCTGGTCTCTCTCTCTGGTCTCTCTCTCTCTCTCTGGCCTCTCACTGGTCTCTCTCTGGTCTCTCTCTGGTCTCTCTCTGGTCTCTCTCTGGTCTCTCTCTGGTCTCTCTCTCTGGTCTCTCTCTCTGGACTCTCTCTGGTCTCTCTCTCTGGTCTCGCTCTCTGGTCTCGCTCTCTGGTCTCTCTCTGGTCTGTCTCTGGTCTCTCTCTCTGGTCTCTCTCTGGTCTCTCTCTCTGGTCTCTCTCTCTGGTCTCTCTCTCTGGTCTCTCTCTCTGGTCTCTCTCTCTCTGGTCTCTCTCTGGCCTCTCACTGGTCTCTCTCTCTGGTCTCTCTCTGGTCTCTCTCTGGTCTCTCTCTCTGGTCTCTCTCTCTGGTCTCTCTCTGGCCTCCAGAGAATGAGAGACCAGAGAAAGAGACGAGAGAAGAGTCTCTAGACCAGAGCGAGAGACCAGAGAGAGACACCAGAGAATGAGAGACCAGAGAATGAGAGACCAGAGAGAGAGACCAGAGAGAGAGACCAGAGAGAGAGACCAGAGAGAGAGGCCAGAGAGAGACGAGAGAAAGAGAGACCAGAGAAAGAGAGACCAGAGAGAGACGAGAGAGAGACCAGAGAAAGAGAAAGAGAGACCAGAGAGAGACGAGAGAAAGAGAGACCAGAGAGAGACGAGAGAAAGAGAGACCAGAGAGAGACGAGAGAAAGAGAGACCAGAGAGAGACGAGAGACCAGAGAGAGACCAGAGAGAGAGACCAGAGAAAGAGAGACCAGAGAAAGAGACCAGAGAAAGAGACCAGAGAGAGAGACCAGAGAGAGAGACCAGAGAAAGAGACCAGAGAAAGAGACCAGAGAGAGAGGCCAGAGAATGAGAGACCAGAGAAAGAGACCAGAGAGAGAGACCAGAGAGAGAGACCAGAGAAAGAGACCAGAGAGAGAGGCCAGAGAATGAGAGACCAGAGAAAGAGACCAGAGAAAGAGAGACCAGAGAAAGAGACCAGAGAGATGAGAGAAAGAGAGACCGGAGCGAGAGGCCAGAGAGAGAGGCCAGAGAAAGAGACCAGAGAGAGACCAGAGCGAGAGACCAGAGAGAGACCAGAGAATGAGAGACCAGAGAGAGAGACCAGAGAGAGAGGCCAGAGAGAGACCAGAGAGAGAGACCAGAGAGAGACCAGAGAAAGAGACCAGAGAAAGAGACCAGAGAGAGACGAGAGAAAGAGAGACCAGAGAGAGAGTCCAGAGAATGAGAGACCAGAGAGAGAGACCAGAGAGAGAGACCAGAGAAAGAGACCAGAGAGAGAGACCAGAGAGAGAGACCAGAGAATGAGAGACCAGAGAGAGAGACCAGAGAGAGAGGCCAGAGAATGAGAGACCAGAGAAAGAGACCAGAGAGAGAGACCAGAGAGAGAGACCAGAGAAAGAGACCAGAGAAAGAGACCAGAGAGAGAGGCCAGAGAATGAGAGACCAGAGAAAGAGACCAGAGAGAGAGACCAGAGAGAGAGACCAGAGAAAGAGACCAGAGAGAGAGGCCAGAGAATGAGAGACCAGAGAAAGAGACCAGAGAAAGAGAGACCAGAGAAAGAGACCAGAGAGATGAGAGAAAGAGAGACCGGAGCGAGAGGCCAGAGAGAGAGGCCAGAGAAAGAGACCAGAAAGAGACCAGAGAAAGAGACGAGAGAAAGAGAGACCAGAGAAAGAGACCAGAGAAAGAGACCAGAGAGACGAGAGAGAAGAGACCAGAGATTGAGAGAGAGAGAGAGACCAGAGAGAGAGACCAGAGAAAGAGACCAGAGAGAGAGACCAGAGAAAGAGACCAGAGAGAGACCAGAGAATGAGAGACCAGAGAGAGAGACCAGAGAGAGAGACCAGAGAATGAGAGACCAGAGAAAGAGACCAGAGAGAGAGACCAGAGAGAGAGACCAGAGAAAGAGACCAGAGAAAGAGACCAGAGAGAGAGACCAGAGAATGAGAGACCAGAGAAAGAGACCAGAGAGAGAGACCAGAGAGAGAGACCAGAGAAAGAGACCAGAGAGAGAGGCCAGAGAATGAGAGACCAGAGAAAGAGACCAGAGAAAGAGAGACCAGAGAAAGAGACCAGAGAGATGAGAGAAAGAGAGACCGGAGCGAGAGGCCAGAGAGAGAGGCCAGAGAAAGAGACCAGAGAGAGACCAGAGCGAGAGACCAGAGAGAGACCAGAGAGAGACACCAGAGAATGAGAGACCAGAGAGAGAGACCAGAGAATGAGAGACCAGAGAGAGAGACCAGAGAGAGAGGCCAGAGAGAGACGAGAGAAAGAGAGACCAGAGAAAGAGAGACCAGAGAGAGACGAGAGAAAGAGAGACCAGAGAGAGACGAGAGAAAGAGAGAGCAGAGAGAGACAAGAGAAAGAGAGACCAGAGAGAGAGACCAGAGAGAGACCAGAGAGAGAGGCCAGAGAGAGACCAGAGAAAGAGACCAGAGAGAGACCAGAGAGAGACCAGAGAGAGAGACCAGAGATGAGAGACCAGAGAGAGAGACCAGAGAGAGAGGCCAGAGAGAGACGAGAGAAAGAGAGACCAGAGAAAGAGAGACCAGAGAGAGACCAGAGAAAGAGAGACCAGAGAGAGACGAGAGAAAGAGAGAGCAGAGAGAGACGAGAGAAAGAGAGACCAGAGAGAGAGACCAGAGAGAGACCAGAGAGAGACGAGAGAAAGAGAGACCAGAGAGAGAGACCAGAGAAAGAGAGACCAGAGAAAGAGACAAGAGAAAGAGAGACCAGAGAGAGAGACCAGAGAAAGAGACCAGAGAAAGAGAGACCAGAGAGCGAGAGGCCAGAGAGAGAGGCCAGAGAATGAGAGACCAGAGAGAGAGACCAGAGAGAGAGACCAGAGAAAGAGACCAGAGAGAGAGACCAGAGAATGAGAGACCAGAGAGAGAGACCAGAGAAAGAGACCAGAGAGAAAGGCCAGAGAATGAGAGACCAGAGAAAGAGACCAGAGAGAGAGACCAGAGAGAGACACCAGAGAATGAGAGACCAGAGAAAGAGACGAGAGAAAGAGAGACCAGAGCGAGAGACCAGAGAGAGACACCAGAGAATGAGAGACCAGAGAGAGAGAGACCAGAGAATGAGAGACCAGAGAGAGAGACCAGAGAGAGAGACCAGAGAGAGACCAGAGAGAGAGACCAGAGAGAGACCAGAGAGAGACTAGAGAGAGGGACCAATGAGAAAAGAGGACTGAGTTGTATGTGATGTTGGATCAGTGCATGTGGAGGAGGTTCTCTCTCCTCTCAGATGGTCCTCTCAGATGGTCCTCTCTGATGGTCCTCTCTGATGGTCCTCTCTGATGGTCCTCTCTGATGGTCCTCTCTGATGGTCCTCTCTGATGGTCCTCTCTGATGGTCCTCTCTGATGGTCCTCTCTGATGGTCCGTAGTGCATGTGTTTCTCACCGTGCCACTTCCCTTTGTAGACCGTCCCGAAGGATCCCGACCCGATCCTTTGGCCCAAAGTGATCTGTCCTTCAGGAATCTCCCAATCGTCACTGGAGTCACGACGACCCAACGTCTTCTGCACCGAGAACAGCAGAGGTTAGGGTCATTCTCACAGCAAGGGAAACTCTGGTCTCACTCCAGTCCCTGCCCTCTCTCTCTCTGGTCTCTCTCTCTCTGGTCTCTCTCCCTCTCTGGTCTCTCTCTCTCTCTCTGGTCTCTCTCTCTCTCTCTGGTCTCTCTCTCTCTCTCTGGTCTCTCTCTCTGGTCTCTCTCTCTGGTCGTACCATCTTGTTCCGGTCATCGGAGGATGACGAGCTCTTGCGGTCTCTCTGTGGACAGGGGGATTTCTGCGGCATCTTCACGTTTGTGAGTGACCCTGGTAACGAGGCGGGGGGCGTGGCCGAGAGCCCCGGGGTGCCTGAGAACATGAGGTCATCGTTAACATGTGATGTCATCGTTAACACCTGACTGAGGGAAATACATTTGAAAGATTCACAAAGTGCCATATTTTTGTGTCTGAAAGTCATTTTTCCTGTGTCACAGGAAGAGCCGAGACCAGAGACCAGAGAGAGACCAGAGAGAGAGACTAGAGAGAGACCAGAGAGAGAGACTAGAGAGAGACCAGAGAGAGAGACTAGAGAGAGAGACCAGAGAGAGACCAGAGAGAGAGACTAGAGAGAGAGACTAGAGAGAGAGACCAGAGAGAGACCAGAGAGAGACCAGAGAGAGAAACTAGAGAGAGAGACCAGAGAGAGACTAGAGAGAGAGACCAGAGAGAGACACCAGAGAGAGACTAGAGAGAGAGACCAGAGAGAGACACCAGAGAGAGACTAGAGAGAGACACCAGAGAGAGAGACTAGAGAGAGACACCAGAGAGAGAGACCAGAGACAGACACCAGAGAGAGAGACCAGAGAGAGAGACCAGAGAGAGAGACCAGAGAGAGAGACCAGAGAGAGAGACTAGAGAGAGAGACCAGAGAGAGACCAGAGAGAGACCACAGTTAATACGTGCCGAGTAGAGAGGTGGGACAGTTTTTGGTTTTATGAATTACAGATAAATTATCTCTCAGACTAGAATCAGACTTTTGACACTTCCCATAGTTACCAGGAAACTTTTTGATCCGTGTGATGCAGTGAGGTAGGCACATTAGGGCCAGGGTGGTCCCAGGCCCGCCCACTTTTTTGATTGGCCCAGGACCTGGCCCGCCCTGAGAAGGCTTGCATGATTTTTCTCACCATTTTTTATGATTGATACTTTTATTCACTCTTCAAAAAAATGCTTAACATTGACATTCAAACCAAAGCCTTTAGAAATGTCTTCATAAATGATTAGATGTTCACACGCCACGCCACCTCCTCAGAGAACTCTGTCCTGCACAAAATAAAAACAGCGTCCTCTGGACCGCTACAGCGTGTGGACCGCTACAGCGTGTGGACCGCTACAGCGTGTGGACCGCTAGCTACAGCATGTGGACCGCTACAGCGTGTGGACCGCTAGCTACAGCGTGTGGACCGCTACAGCGTGTGGACCGCTACAGCGTGTGGACCGCTAGCTACAGCGTGTGGACCGCTACAGTGTGTGGACAGTGTGTACAGAGCAGTGTCTCACAAGCGCTACACCGTGTCTGGAGTCTGAAGAACAGGAGTCCTGCTTATGTCTCTCTTTGTCCAAAGTGCCTCCATAACTTTGCTGTGGTTTTATTGTTAGTGATGAACTTTTCAATGATAAGATTCAGTTCAGCTCAAAGGCCTGGAGTAAAGTTGGTTTTGTGGCAATTTGACTTAAAGGACAACTCACCCTCAAATCCACTTTTTTTGCTGATAAACGGTATAAATGAGTGTCCAATAGTGTTGTCTACATATCCTGGTCATATTTTTGTCACTTTGGTGCAAATTAGTTGAAAGTTAAACTTTCTTCCTAAAACCGTCTGTGAGGCGCCATCTGCTGGCGACCTGTATTACTACATTTGAATTTTGAATCTGGCGCCAACACTGGCGCGGCAGCAAGACCTGACGTCTGAAGCAAGACCTGACGTCTGAAGCAAGACCTGACGTCTGAAGCAAGACCTGACGTCTGAAGCAAGACCTGACGTCTGAAGCAAGACCTGACGTCTGAAGCAAGACCTGACGTCTGAAGCAAGACCTGACGTCTGAAGCAAGACCTGACGTCTGAAGCAAGACCTGACGTCTGAAGCAAGACCTGACGTCTGAAGCAAGACCTGACGTCTGAAGCAAGACCTGACATCACAGCCCCCCGCCCAGAGCAATGTAAAGGGCCCAGTCTCGTTCACGCCCCCTTTAGTCCTCCAGGCCACGCCCATTTAGAGGAAGATTTGAACAGGAAATGTGAGTGACGTAAGCTCCGAGGAGCGGGGGTGAGAACCACTTTAAGATAATAAATGTATGTGATTTGTTTTATAATGCCTTATATATATATATTATTATGACTAACATAATAATGTATACTATTTATTAAGACTCTAAAGGTTAAATCCTCTATTGCCAAATATTTTCCAAAATCTACTTAAATTCACCATTTTTTATACTGTAGCTCGTTAGCACTGATCCACTACAGTCTGTGCTGTTCACTAAAGCTGTCGAACCGAGGAGGCACGTCTGCAGGTATTATTGGATATAATTGATTTTTCCTCTGGCAAAAGTTGGCCCGCCCACTTTTCTCCAGGCCCGCCCACTTTTCTCCAGGCCCGCCCTATTCAACATTTCTGCCTACGTCCCTGGTGTGATGTCACATGAACACAAACTATTGATCTGTGATTTAAGAGAAAGTCTCTGTGTCTGTGGGACTGAAGCCAAAGTCTCCGTGTCTGTGGGACTGAAGCCAAAGTCTCTGTGTCTGTGGGACTGAAGCCAAAGTCTCCGTGTCTGTGGGACTGAAGCCAAAGTCTCCGTGTCTGTGGGACTGAAGCCAAAGTCTCCGTGTCTGTGGGACTGAAGCCAAAGTCTCCGTGTCTGTGGGACTGAAGCCAAAGTCTCCGTGTCTGTGGGACTGAAGCCAAAGTCTCCGTGTCTGTGGGACTGAAGCCAAAGTCTCCGTGTCTGTGGGACTGAAGCCAAAGTCTCCGTGTCTGTGGGACTGAAGCCAAAGTCTCTGTGTCTGTGGGACTGAAGCCAAAGTCTCTGTGTCTGTGGGACTGAAGCCAAAGTCTCTGTGTCTGTGGGACTGAAGCCAAAGTCTCTGTCTGTGGGACTGAAGCCAAAGTCTCCGTGTCTGTGGGACTGAAGCCAAAGTTTCTGTTCTCACCTCCGTCAGAGCGCGGCAGACACTGGCCCCCGATCAGCTCCTGCAGCACAGGGAGAACAAGCAACACATCTTCACACTCAGGTTTCCAGGTCACAGGTCGGGGGGGGGGGGGGGGGGGGTCAGAGGTCAGGGCTTACATCGATGTTGACCGGCTCGATGGTGTTGATGTGGACGTTGGGGGCGGAGGACGAACGGTCTCTTTGTCCAAACTGGTTGCGATGTTCTTCTTCTGCGCTTTGTCTGAAACTCTGAGGAATCGGGATCGACTTCGAGGGAGAGAGGGAGGCATGGCACAATGACCTGCAACACAACACACAATCAACACACACACACACACAAAGAGAGAGGGAGGCATGGCACAAGGACCTGCAACACAACACACAATCAACACACACACACACACAAAGAGAGAGGGAGGCATGGCACAAGGACCTGCAACACAACACACAATCAACACACACACACACACAAAGAGAGAGGGAGGCATGGCACAAGGACCTGCAACACAACACACAATCAACACACACACACACACAAAGAGAGAGGGAGGCATGGCACAAGGACCTGCAACACAACACACAATCAACACACACACACAGAGAGAGAGGGAGGCATGGCACAAGGACTTGCAACACAACACACAATCAACACATACACATACACAGAGACAGAGACAGAGACACACACACACACACCTGTTGTCTGAGGGGGCGGGGCACTCCGACACTGGAGTACTTCCTTCTGATAAAACCTCGTCGGGTGAAAACGGGTGATGTTCGAAAAACTTGGACACAAACAACAAGCTGCAACAAGAAGGAGGAGTCAGAACACCTCCTCCATCACCTCCTGGGCCTCCTCCATCACCTCCTGGGCCTCCTCCATCACCTCCTGGGCCTCCTCTATCACCTCCTCTATCACCTCCTGGGCCTCCTCTATCACCTCCTGGGCCTCCTCCATCACCTCCTGGGCCTCCTCCATCACCTCCTGGGCCTCCTCTATCACCTCCTGGGCCTCCTCTATCACCTCCTGGGCCTCCTCTATCACCTCCTGGGCCTCCTCTATCACCTCCTGGGCCTCCTCCATCACCTCCTGGGCCTCCTCCATCACCTCCTGGGCCTCCTCCATCACCTCCTGGGCCTCCTCTATCACCTCCTGGGCCTCCTCTATCACCTCCTGGGCCTTCTCTATCACCTCCTGGGCCTCCTCCATCACCTCCTGGGCCTCCTCCATCACCTCCTGGGCCTCCTCCATCACCTCCTGGGCCTCCTCCATCACCTCCTGGGCCTCCTGGACCTCCCCGTCCTCGACCTCCCCCTCCTTGACCTCCTCCTCCTCCTCTCACTCACTCGAGCTGGTCGTAGTTGACACACATGAGGGGGACCTCGGTGGAGCAGCGCTGGTGGAACTTGTATCCACATGTCTGACACCGAAAACCCTGAAACAGCAGCTTCCTGCAGAAGTCACAGAACGCCAACGTGAAGAAGGTCTTACGCACCTGCAACGAGAGGACCGGGTCAACACAACTGTGTGTAGGTGTGCGTGTGCGTGCGCATGTGTGTGTGTGCTCACAAAGTTGTGTGTGGTCAGGGGGACGTTCTCTAGGACCTCCACGTGCAGCTCTTCTCCTGTCAGCCACGAGATGTCAGTGTCCCAACCAATCGGCTTCTTCTCCCTGTGAAAACAGCCAATCAGATCACAGCTCTCCATGATGGTCCCTGGTCTCTCTGGTCGTCTCTCTGGTCGTCTCTCTGGTCGTCTCTCTGGTCGTCTCTCTGGTCGTCTCTCTGGTCGTCTCTCTGGTCGTCTCTCTGGTCGTCTCTCTGGTCGTCTCTCTGGTCGTCTCTCTGGTCGTCTCTCTGGTCGTCTCTCTGGTCGTCTTTCTGGTCTCTGGTCTGACCCATCTTGGACCCTGTAGACTGCACAGCACTCTGGGATCAAGCCTCTCATCATCAGAGCTTTTTTCAGAGAATCTCTGACCGTCGTCCCACAGCGAGCGGGAACCTGAGGAGACACAGTTTATATCAGTCTGCATCAGTCTGCATCAGCCTGCATCAGCCTGCATCAGTCTGCATCAGTCTGCATCAGCCTGCATCAGCCTGCATCAGCCTGCATCAGTCTGCATCAGTCTGCATCAGTCTGCATCAGTCTGCATCAGCCTGCATCAGTCTGCATCAGCCTGCATCAGCCTGCATCAGTCTGCATCAGCCTGCATCAGCCTGCATCAGCCTGCATCAGCCTGCGTCAGTCTGCATCAGCCTGCATCAGCCTGCATCAGCCTGCATCAGTCTGCATCAGTCTACATCAGTCTACATCAGTCTGCATCAGTCTGCATCAGCCTGCATCAGCCTGCATCAGCCTGCATCAGCCTGCATCAGTCTGCATCAGCCTGCATCAGCCTGCATCAGCCTGCATCAGTCTGCATCAGTCTGCATCAGTCTGCCTCAGTCTGCATCAGTCTGCATCAGCCTGCATCAGCCTGCATCCTGCATCAGCCTGCATCAGCCTGCATCAGCCTGCATCAGCCTGCATCAGTCTGCATCAGCCTGCATCAGCCTGCATCAGCCTGCATCAGTCTGCATCAGCCTGCATCAGTCTGCATCAGCCTGCATCAGCCTGCATCAGTCTGCATCAGTCTGCATCAGCCTGCATCAGTCTACATCAGTCTGCATCAGTCTACATCAGTCTGCATCAGTCTGCATCAGTCTGCATCAGTCTGCATCAGTCTGCATCAGTCTGCATCAGCCTGCATCAGTCTACATCAGTCTGCATCAGTCTACATCAGTCTGCATCAGTCTGCATCAGTCTGCATCAGTCTGCATCAGTCTGCATCAGTCTGCATCACAGTCGATAATCCTCATGGTGCCTGGGTTAGCTCAACCACACCACAATGTGCTTGTTTGGGGGAGCAGCGGCTCTGCCCTGAGCTCTTACCACAGTGCGCTGCTTGTTGGGTAAGAACACTCTGACGATGGGCTTCTGAGGTGACCTGGGGTTGACCCTGGATGGGTCACATGGGGTCACAGTGAGAGTGTTGGGGTCAGAGGTGAAACTGTGCTCCTGTAGATCCAAGATGGCCGCCGGCGTGGGAGAAGACGGCAGCTCTGTGTTTCCCAGCGCCTCCAGGAGCTGCTGCTCCCTCTGCTGCAGGGCATCCAGCTTACTGGTGTACTCCTCATAGGCCTAAAGACACAAGGAGCTCATTATAGAGCTGCTGCTCCCTCTGCTGCAGTGCATCCAGGTTACTGTGTACTATAGGCCTAAAGACACAAAGAGCTCATTATAGAGCTGCTGCTCCCTCTGCTGCAGTGCATCCAGGTTACTGTGTACTATAGGCCTAAAGACACAAAGAGCTCATTATAGAGCTGCTGCTCCCTCTGCTGCAGTGCATCCAGGTTACTGTGTACTATAGGCCTAAAGCCTCTGACCCCAAAGGTCCAAAGTTAAAGTCATTTGAGACATTTTGAAAACACACCACCTCCTCCTCACCTGCTCCTCCCCACCTCCTCCTCACCTCTTCCTCACCTCTAAGTAGATGGACTGAGGGTTGTGTTCTCCTCTCCATCTCCTCCCACCTCCTCCTCCCCTCCCACCTCCTCTTCCTCACCTCTAAGTAGATGGACTGAGGGTTGTGTTCTCCTCTCCATCTCCTCCCACCTCCTCCCACCTCCTCCTCCTCACCTCTAAGTAGATGGACGGAGGGTTGTGCTCTCCTCTCCATCTCCTCCCACCTCCTCTTCCTCACCTCTAAGTAGATGGACGGAGGGTTGTGCTCTCCTCTCCATCTCCTCCCACCTCCTCCTTCCTCACCTCTAAGTAGATGGACGGAGGGTTGTGCTCTCCTCTCCATCTCCTCCCACCTCCTCCTCCTCACCTCTAAGTAGATGGACGGAGGGTTGTGCTCTCCTCTCCATCTCCTCCCACCTCCTCCTCCTCACCTCTAAGTAGATGGACGGAGGGTTGTGCTCTCCTCTCCATCTCCTCCCACTCCTCCTCCTCACCTCTAAGTAGATGGACGGAGGGTTGTGCTCTCCTCTCCATCTCCTCCCACCTCCTCCTCCTCACCTCTAAGTAGATGGACGGAGGGTTGTGCTCTCCTCTCCATCTCCTCCCACCTCCTCTTCCTCACCTCTAAGTAGATGGACGGAGGGTTGTGCTCTCCTCTCCATCTCCTCCCACCTCCTCCTCCTCACCTCTAAGTAGATGGACGGAGGGTTGTGCTCTCCTCTCCATCTCCTCCCACCTCCTCCTCCTCACCTCTAAGTAGATGGACGGAGGGTTGTGCTCTCCTCTCCATCTCCTCCACCTCCTCCTCCTCACCTCTAAGTAGATGGACGGAGGGTTGTGCTCTCCTCTCCATCTCCTCCCACCTCCTCCTCCTCACCTCTAAGTAGATGGACGGAGGGTTGTGCTCTCCTCCAAACTTGTCGAGCAGAGCCTCCAGATGCTCCTGTGTCAGTTTGATCATCTGTTTGATGTTCCAGATCTGAAACACACAAGTACTTTAAGAACCAAACACACACACACTGAGACACACACACAGATACACGCACGCACGCACACACGCACAAATATACGCACTGAAACGCAGACACACGCACAGGAACACACATACACAGACAGACACACGCGCAGAGAGACACACGCACGGAGACACGCACACATCAAGACGCACACGCAGAGACACACGCAGAGACAAACACACACACAGAGGATGAGGAGGAGGAGGAGGAGGAGGAGGAGGAGGAGGAGGAGGAGGAGGAGGAGGATGGAGACGCTATGACTGCGGCGCTCGCAGAAACACCATATAGCTCCTCCATCTCCGCTCGCCTCTCCGCGGACCTTACCTCCTCCTCCTGCCGCTCCCCTCTCAGTGTGGGGGCCCCGACAGTGTCGGGGACCTCCGCCCCGTGCTCCCGGCCCGCGGAGTCCCCTGGTCCCGCGTCAGAGCCGTGAAACACGCGCGGAGACTCACTGCCGACGGCCGCCATTTTAGAGAGGAGGGAGAGGCAGTGCGCATGCGCGAGGAGCAGGGCCACCACTGCTTCTATTTACATTTGTGTGTGTATGTGTATGTGCGTGTCTATGTATGTGTGTGTATGTGTCTATCAGTATGTGTGTGTGTGTGTCTCTGTGTGTGTATGTGTCTGTGTGTATGTCTCTGTGTGTGTATGTGTCTGTGTGTGTCTATGTATGTGTGTGTGTGTGTGTCTATCAGTATGTGTGTGTGTATGTGTCTGTGTGTGTCTATGTATGTGTGTGTGTGTGTATGTGTCTATCAGTATGTGTGTGTGTGTTTGTGTCTCTGTGTGTGTATGTGTCTGTGCGTGTCTATGTATGTGTGTGTGTGTGTATGTGTCTATCAGTATGTGTGTGTGTGTGTCTCTGTATGTGTCTGTGTCTCAGTGTCTCTGTGTGTGTATGTCTATGTATGTGTGTGTGTATGTGTCTATCAGTATGTGTGTGTATGTGTCTGTGTCTCAGTGTGTGTGTATGTGTCTATCAGTATGTGTGTGTCTGTGTGTCTATGGGTGTGTGCATCAGGAGACAGGTCCTCTCTACACACAAGACTAAACTCTTCATGAAACATAAATAAGAAACAGGTGAAGTTGAAATAAATATTTATTAAATGTTTCTCTTCTTCACTTCTTCTTTCCCGCCCTCTTTCCTTCTCCTTTCTTGGGTTTTCCTTTTCCTTTCAGTTTTCGCAGTCGTCTCATCTCCTCTTTGAAGTCCTCGTGTTCATCTCTGTAACAAACAAACGAGTTTAGCAGTTGTGTATACAGGACAGATTCAACACAGAATGTTCTGAGTCCCCTGTGTGGTTCTCAAACAGAGGTCCCCGTCTCACCTGAACAGACCCAGGAACCTCAGCCTCTGCGTCAGACTGTAGTAGACCTTGTGCTGTGGATACCAGTCATGGACCTCAGGGCGTTTGGCCAAAGGCTGATCCTGGAACAGCTGCACCACCTTCAGGGAGCGGGCGTCTGTGGGCCGGGCCACCTGCAGGAGGGGGGGGGGGGAGGAGGGAGGAGGAGAGGGGGGGAGAAGGAGAGAGGAGGAGAGGGGGGGAGAAGGAGAGAGGAGGAAGGGGGGGGGGAGAAGGAGAGAGGAGGAGAGGGGGGGGAGAAGGAGAGAGGAGAGAGGGGGGAGAAGGAGAGAGGAGGAGGGGGGGGAGAAGGAGAGAGGAGGAAGGGGGGGGGGAGAAGGAGAGAGGAGGAGAGGGGGGGAGAAGGAGAGAGGAGAGAGAGGGGGGGAGAAGGAGAGAGGAGGAGAGGGGGGGAGAAGGAGAGAGGAGGAGAGGGGGGGAGAAGGAGAGAGGAGGAAGGGGGGGGGGAGAAGGAGAGAGGAGGAGAGGGGGGGGAGAAGGAGAGAGGAGGAGAGGGGGGGAGAAGGAGAGAGGAGGAGAGGGGGGGAGAAGGAGAGAGGAGGAAGGGGGGGGGGAGAAGGAGAGAGGAGGAGAGGGGGGGAGAAGGAGGAGGAGGAGGAGAGGGGGGGAGAAGGAGAGAGGAGGAGAGGTGGGGAGAAGGAGAGAGGAGGAGAGGGGGGAGAAGGAGAGAGGAGGAGAAGGAGAGAGGAGGAGAGGGGGGGAGAAGGAGAGAGGAGGAGAAGGAGAGAGGAGGAGAGGGGAGGAGAGGGGAGGAGAGGGGGGGAGAAGGAGAGAGGAGGAGAAGGAGAGAGGAGGAGAGGGGAGGAGAGGGGAGGAGAGGGGGGGAGAAGGAGAGAGGAGGAGAGGGGGGGAGAAGGAGAGATGAGGAGAAGGAGAGAGGAGCAGAGGGGAGGAGAGAGGAGGAGAGGGGGGGGAGAAGGAGAGAGGAGGAGAGGGGGGGAGAAGGAGAGAGGAGGAGAAGGAGAGAGGAGGAGAGGGGGGGAGAAGGAGAGAGGAGGAGAGGGGGGAGAAGGAGAGAGGAGGAGAAGGAGAGAGGAGGAGAGGGGGGGAGAGGGGGGAGGAGAGGAGGGGGGGGAGAGGGAGGAGGGAGGGGGGGGAAGGAGGAGGAGGGGAGGGGGGGGAGAGGAGGAGAGAGGAGGAGGAGAGGGGAGAGGGGGGGAGAGAGGAGGAGAGGAGGAGGGAGGAGAGAAGAGGAGAGGGGGGGAGAGGAGGAGAGAGGAGGAGAGGGGGAGAGAAGGAGAGAGGAGGAGAGGAGGAGAGAGGAGGAGAGAGGGGGAGAGGAGGAGAGAGGAGGAGGAGAGGAGGAGAGAGGAGGAGAGGAGAGGGGGAGAGAGAGAGGGAGAAAGGGGGAGAAGGAGAGAGGAGGAGGAGGAGGAGAGAGAGGGAGGATTGAGATCATTTTTTTCTGCTGAAAGTTTGTGAAGTGTTTTGGACAGAAGGGACGGGGACACACCTGGTTAAAGATGTGAGCACTCAGCCGGGCCATCCGCACCGCGTACGAGGACATGACAGACTGCCCCGGGACGACTGTGGCTGCAAAGAGACCACACATATGAGAAGATGTCAGGAGAAATGAGCCAGAATTTGAGTCACAGTCAACTAATTCTACAAAGGGTCGACCAAGTTTATGTAAAAGACTGAATGAACAAACATAAGATTAAAAAACTGTGTGTGTGTGTGAGTCACAGGGAGAACATGCAAACTGCACATGGAGAACATCTTCAGTCGTTATAACGTTCTCACGTTCTGCGGAAGACTCATTAACGATTTATTGGAACCAACATTAGTCACAACTATTTTATTAATGTATTAGTTGTGATTCCCAGATCGACTGTCACAGTGTACGCTACATAAACTAGACCCACCTGTTTAAGCTCACGCGCCTCTTACGTCACCACGCTACAACACAGACTCACGCGCTCCCAACCGTATCATTTACATCAATATTAATCAACAATAATTACTGTAGTCATATTCGTACCAGTGCTAACGCTACCAACACCAGCGGTGTCACTCTGACCGCTGTCCCCCTGAGGAGTCCGCTCTGTTTAAGGTCCGGGCGGAACGTGTTCACAGTGATCATGGTACCGGGCTGGGCCGGTGTTTGTGGTGTATCTGAAGGACATGTGGACTGTGGACATGTGTGTTATAGACGTAAACATGTGTTATACAGTGGGACGCGGGACACCTCTGTCACTTCATCTCATCTGTCCACAGATCTCTCGCTTCTCTCCTCTCTCCTCTCTCTCCTCTCTCCTCTCTCTCCTATCTCCTATCTCCTATCTCCTATCTCCTATCTCCTCCTATCTCCTATCTCCTATCTCCTATCTCCTATCTCCTCTGTCCTCTGTCCTCTGTCCTCTGTCCTCAGTCCTCAGTCCTCAGTCCTCAGTCCTCTGTCCTCTGTCCTCTGTCCTCTGTCCTCTGTCCTCTGTCCTCTGTCCTCTGTCCTCAGTCCTCAGTCCTCTGTCCTCTGTCCTCAGTCCTCAGTCCTCAGTCCTCAGTCCTCAGTCCTCTGTCCTCTGTCCTCTGTCCTCTGTCCTCAGTCCTCAGTCCTCAGTCCTCAGTCCTCAGTCCTCTGTCCTCTGTCCTCTGTCCTCTGTCCTCTGTCCTCAGTCCTCAGTCCTCAGTCCTCAGTCCTCTGTCCTCTGTCCTCTGTCCTCTGTCCTCTGTCCTCTGTCCTCTGTCCTCTGTCCTCAGTCCTCAGTCCTCTGTCCTCTGTCCTCAGTCCTCAGTCCTCAGTCCTCAGTCCTCAGTCCTCTGTCCTCTGTCCTCTGTCCTCTGTCCTCTGTCCTCAGTCCTCAGTCCTCAGTCCTCAGTCCTCTGTCCTCTGTCCTCTGTCATCTCTCCTCTGTCCTCTCTCTCCTATCTCCTATCTCCTCTGTCCTCTGTCCTCTGTCCTCTGTCCTCTGTCCTCAGTCCTCAGTCCTCTGTCCTCTGTCCTCTGTCCTCTGTCCTCAGTCCTCAGTCCTCAGTCCTCAGTCCTCAGTCCTCTGTCCTCTGTCCTCTGTCCTCTGTCCTCTGTCCTCTGTCCTCTGTCCTCTGTCCTCAGTCCTCAGTCCTCTGTCCTCTGTCCTCAGTCCTCGGTCCTCAGTCCTCAGTCCTCAGTCCTCGGTCCTCTGTCCTCTGTCCTCTGTCCTCTGTCCTCAGTCCTCAGTCCTCAGTCCTCAGTCCTCTGTCCTCTGTCCTCTGTCATCTCTCCTCTGTCCTCTCTCTCCTATCTCCTATCTCCTCTGTCCTCTGTCCTCTGTCCTCTGTCCTCTGTCCTCAGTCCTCAGTCCTCTGTCCTCTGTCCTCTGTCCTCTGTCCTCAGTCCTCAGTCCTCAGTCCTCAGTCCTCAGTCCTCTGTCCTCTGTCCTCTGTCCTCTGTCCTCTGTCCTCAGTCCTCAGTCCTCAGTCCTCAGTCCTCTGTCCTCTGTCCTCTGTCCTCTGTCCTCTGTCCTCTGTCCTCTGTCCTCTGTCCTCTGTCCTCTGTCCTCAGTCCTCAGTCCTCTGTCCTCTGTCCTCAGTCCTCAGTCCTCAGTCCTCAGTCCTCAGTCCTCTGTCCTCTGTCCTCTGTCCTCTGTCCTCAGTCCTCAGTCCTCAGTCCTCAGTCCTCAGTCCTCTGTCCTCTGTCCTCTGTCATCTCTCCTCTGTCCTCTCTCTCCTATCTCCTATCTCCTCTGTCCTCTGTCCTCTGTCCTCTGTCCTCTGTCCTCTGTCATCTCTCCTCTGTCCTCTCTCTCCTATCTCCTATCTCCTGTCAGGGATGAAGCAGACAGAGACGGATCGTGGTGCGCCAAACTCTGGAAGTTTATTTAAGTTTCTCTCAAGTTCCAGTGGTTTCCTTTGCTTCTTTCTCTCAGACAGAATAAAGGCAGTACACAGTACACAGGGGCGACAGTAGCTCAGTTGGTAGAGCATTGGCCTTAAGGCCAGAAGGTCGTGGGTTCAATTCCCACCTCTGCACCTTCTCCACCGACTCCCACTGATGACTGCTGTCGTTGTGTCCTTGGGCAAGACACTTAACCCCACTTTGCCCAAAGCCCCCACTGAAAGATCAAGGCTATGCTCACAGTCAGAGAGCAGCCGTCCTCCTGTGGACTCACCACCTGCAGAGGGTCAGTGAGGGGCTGGTGCTATGAGACTTGGGTGGCATCTCTGACTGCCACCCCCCTGACCCAGAAATGGAAAAAAGGGTAGAAAATGGATGGCTGGATGGATGGACTTCTGTCACTTTTAACATCTACTAAAACGCTACAATACTCATACTTTATCATTTTAAAACATTTTAACAGTTGCTCAGTCTCCCAGACTAAAAAAGTCAAAGTTGTTGTCTGTCAGATGTCTGAATACTTAACACAACTGTGACCAATTGCATTTGGTCACAGTTGTGGTTCTGGTTGTAGCAATAGCATCTGCAATAGACATTTTTCATTGGCTGGTTCTTGTTCTGCAAATGTCTGTGTCCAATAGATCATCAGATGTCCAGAAGCTAGGGACAAACAAAAACAAAAGAAAGAATCATGAGTATCTCTCTCATTTAGCACTCATCAATGTATGATTTTAAAAATATAAACATCACTCCCCAGTTTTTCTCTCTCAGATCCTCAGGTCCTCAGGTCCCCTGAGGGTGAGTCTCAGTCGTCATCAGGTCAGGTCATAGAGAGATGTCATCTTGGACATCAGTAGGGTCCAAGCCATGGTTCTGGTCACTCCAGATGCACATCAGGATCTCCAGATACAGTCTTTTCACTTGAAGCACATCAGGTCATTTGCGATGCACTTCTGGTCAATGGTGCAGTGTCACAGTTCCTGTACACAGCTTGTTATGCAGTTAGGCACTGTGTATGGTTAAGTCACTTTGATTCTAATCCTATCAATGTAATTACTTCACACAGTACAAAATCAACAAATCAAAAGTGTCAGGACAGAGGTCAATTAAGTCCATGACAATATAGAATTCAAATGAACATTTCTGGTCTCAAAAAAACTGATTCAACTAAAGATTCAAGTGATAGACAATTAAAAATATTTGTTTACATTGGAGTAAACTTTAAATGCTTTTTTCTCATGTTCTGCTTTTTCATGTATCTATATGTAAATGTGAATGTATGTGTGTGTATGTGTGTATGTGTGTGTATGTGTGTATGTGTGTGTATGTGTGTGTGTGTGTGTGTATGTATGTAGGGTGTGAATTTTGGGGTTGTCTCCAGACTCCTGGAACTACCTGTAGGTGTCAAAGGTCACACTGTGGTGATGTAAACCAACTGGACACACTCTCAACTCTCCTCCAGGTCTCTGCCTGATGCTCCACCATCACGTCTCCAGAAACCTCTCTCTGCCCCGGTCTCTCTCACACCCACTCAGCTCTGTAGTGGGGGGAGGGGCAAGGAGGTGGCATTTCCCTTTGCTCTTTGATCTGTGACCTGTGCCTGGGTGGGCTTTGCTGTCCAGTGTCCACTCCTGCTGTCCAGTGACCCCTGTACAGTGTGTGCCCTTGGTCCTGGAACACAACCTTATAGTCAAATCAAAAACAACAGATTTGTGAATGAGATTGTTTTTCTCTCTAAAGTCTAAACAATTTTGGAGCGCTCTTGGCTTTTCAACATGCGCTATATAAATAAAAGATTACTTATTATCTTACTAATGATGACATTTTAAGCCCAGAAACTCTTAATATAAAAAACAAGACTCAAATCTCAAAAACCTTCAAACTTTAAAATATGTATTATGTACTTTTGTACTGTGTTTAATTATCTATGCGTCCTTGGGTTTCTTGAAAGACGCCATGAAATGAAATTATTTTGGAAAACATTAAAACATAACCTGAAATCAAACAAAAGATTTAGCTCCAGCTAAACTGGATTTGGTTCAATAAAACTCAATTGTGCGTCGGAGCTGCCTCCTCCGGTCTCTGGGCAGCAGGAGCAGCAGGAGCAGCAGGAGCAGCAGCAGGAGCAGGAGCAGGAGCAGCAGCAGGAGCAGCAGCAGCAGCAGGAGCAGCAGCAGCAGCAGGAGCAGGAGCAGGAGCAGCAGCAGGAGCAGGAGCAGCAGCAGGAGCAGGAGCAGGAGCAGGAGCAGCAGCAGGAGCAGCAGCAGGAGCAGGAGCAGGAGCAGCAGCAGGAGCAGCAGCAGGAGCAGGAGCAGCAGCAGGAGCAGGAGCAGGAGCAGGAGCAGCAGCAGGAGCAGGAGCAGCAGCAGCAGCAGGAGCAGGAGCAGCAGCAGGAGCAGGAGCAGGAGCAGGAGCAGGAGCAGGAGCAGCAGCAGGAGCAGGAGCAGCAGCAGCAGCAGGAGCAGGAGCAGCAGCAGGAGCAGGAGCAGGAGCAGGAGCAGGAGCAGGAGCAGCAGCAGGAGCAGGAGCAGGAGCAGGAGCAAGGTCAGGTGCATAGTCAAAACAAAAGTCACCACTTGCAATGTGAATTGGGTGAATTGGGTAGAGTTTAACTTAATAATATAATACTTTTACAGCTAATCCTAATTCCCTCTTTCTTTTTAGACGAAGTCTATGATCAATAATCACTTTTAACACAGATTCTAATTTAAATGTTGGAAAAATGGCTTTTGTAACTAAAATGGAAAATACATGAAAAAATTCTCACAAACAGCTATGAAATATATCAGATACAATAATGGACTCACAAAATAAGCAGCAGATTTAAAAAGAAAAGCAAAGCTTTAGCACTAATATTTGGGTTTCAAAAAACATATAATATTCAAAACTTATTCACTAATGGTGTTTAAAATGTTTAACTGTGTCATAACACAATGTTCAATGGCAAATTTCGCAAATTTAACTGAATAACAACTATGAAAAGCCAAAATCCTAAAAGCAGTAGGTTTTGATGCAGAGCCAGAGCAGCAAAGGAGGGGGCCGTTTCCCTGACAACGGCAGCAAGATAGAGCTGTGCACACACAGGCAGAAAGATACAGAAGAAGAACTTTCAAGATTACTTTTTTAAGCTAATATAACTGATGTTGTTCTTTTGTCATCCAAGTCTAGAAGTGATCACTTTCCACACTTACAAAAGGCACTCTTAGTTTCCCTTTTTATTATTGCTTTTAATTTTTACACCATGGTTTCACTAAGGATCCTGCTCCAAGGGACTCAAACCCTGAGACGTCCTCTCTCCTCTGTCCTCTCTCCTCAGTCCTCTGTCCTCTCTCCTCTGTCCTCTGTCCTCTCTCCTCTGTCCTCTGTCCTCTGTCCTCTCTCCTCTCTCCTCTGTCCTCAGTCCTCTCTCCTCTGTCCTCTGTCCTCTGTCCTCTCTCGTCTGTCCTCTCTCCTCAGTCCTCTCTCCTCAGTCCTCTGTCCTCTGTCCTCTCTCCTCTGTCCTCTGTCCTCTCTCCTCTGTCCTCTCTCCTCAGTCCTCTCTCCTCTGTCCTCTGTCCTCTGTCCTATGTCCGCTCTCCTCTGTCCTCTGTCCTCTGTCCTCTCTCCTCTGTCCTCTGTCCTCTCTCCTCAGTCCTCTGTCCTCTGTCCTCTGTCCTATGTCCTCTCTCCTCTCTCCTCTGTCCTCTCTCCTCTGTCCTCTCTCCTCAGTCCTCTCTCCTCTGTCCTCTCTCCTCAGTCCTCTCTCCTCTGTCCTCTCTCCTCTGTCCTCAGTCCTCTCAGATCCATGTTCTACCCTTTAATCCATGTCTGGGTCAGGGGGGTCTCTCCTCAGTCCTCTCTCCTCTGTCCTCTCTCTCTTGTCTCCTCAGTCCTCTCTCCTCTGTCCTCTCTCTCTTGACTCCTCTGTCCTCTCTCTCTTGTCTCCTCAGTCCTCTCTCCTCTGTCTCTGTCTTCTGTCACTGATGCGCGCGGGTACGCGCCTGGTGGAGGTTGCACGTGCACGCTCTCAGATGCGTTCTTATTGGTCGCTTTGAGAAACAGCTGCCGTCATCTGACCGCGTGCGCGCGCAGCAGGCTCGTCCGCGCAGAGAAGACGCGAGTCCAGAGACAGGGACCAGGACCAGAAACTGACCAGGACTACGGGACTAGGACCAGACCAGGACCAGACCAGGACCCAGACCAGGACCCGGACCAGGACTAGGACCAGCGCTCAAGACTAGAGATCAGGAGTAGGACCAGAGATCAGGCTTGATCAGCTGCGCGCACACATGCATGACGCTCGCGGCTGACGCGTCTGCCACTTCGCTCGCATGTGGCTCCGCGGTGCTGGCGGGTCTGCCGCGTCCTGGATCTGCCGCTGACATTATGGCAGCGGGGAAGATCCTGCTGTACGCGGGCCTGTCTCTGTCTCTGTGCGCGCTCACGATGCTCGCGGTTGCGCTCTGCTCTGATCACTGGTACGAGACTGACGCGCGGCGCTACCGCGAGCGGTGCCGCAGCTTTACGAGCCGCCGCAAAGACCCGGGCTTCATCTACATCCCAAACAACAGTCTGCCGCTCCGTGCCGCGCGTCAGGACAACAGTCTGCCACTCCGGTCCACACGGCAGGACAGCAGTCTGCCGCTCCGTGCCGCGCGGCAGCTGTTCGCTATGAGCGCGGCAGATGAGTGTGAGCGGCAGTACAACAGTACCACTATGGGCCTGTGGCGGCGCTGTCACCGACACAACTTCGACCCAGAGGTGGAGGAGCGCATCCGCTCAGGTGAGTATTTCTCAAACTGTGGGTCACGGCCCGTGTTCCAGGAGTCAGGACCTGAGGGGAAGGACCCGAGGGGAAGGACCCGAGGGGAGGGACCCGAGGGGAAGACCTGAGGCTGAGGACAGAGAGAGAGAGGCTGAGGCTGAGGCTGAGGCTGAGACTGAGACTGAGACTGAGACTGGGGCTGAGACTGAGACTGAGGCTGATGTTGAGGCTGAGGTTGAGGCTGAGGCTGAGACTGGGGCTGAGACTGGGGCTGAGACTGAGGCTGAGCTGAGGCTGAGGCTGAGACTGAGACTGAGGCTGAGGCTGAGACTGAGGCTGAGGCTGAGGCTGAGGCTGAGGCTGAGGCTGAGGCTGAGACTGAGACTGAGGCTGAGGCTGAGGCTGAGGCTGAGACTGAGACTGAGGCTGATGTTGAGGCTGAGGCTGAGGCTGAGGCTGAGGCTGAGACTGAGACTGAGGCTGATGTTGAGGCTGAGGCTGAGGCTGAGGCTGAGGCTGAGGCTGAGGCTGAGACTGAGACTGAGGCTGAGGCTGAGGCTGAGGCTGAGACTGAGGCTGAGGCTGAGGCTGAGACTGAGGCTGAGACTGGGCACTGGGCCTGTCCTCGGTGTGAGTTCATGTTCTGACTGTAAATGACTTTTGTGACTCGAACCTTGTTCTTCTGCAGCTGCTCTTCCTCAAAGACTCACTGTCCCTGATAAAGCAGGGGTACGTGACTTTAAAGCTGGGGTACGTGACTTTAAAGCTGGGGTACGTGACTTTAAAGCTGGGGTACGTGACTTTAAAGCAGGGGTACGTGACTTTAAAGCTGGGGTACGTGACTTTAAAGCTGGGGTACGTGACTTTAAAGCAGGGGTACGTGACTTTAAAGCTGGGGTACGTGACTTTAAAGCTGGGGTACGTGACTTTAAAGCTGGGGTACGTGACTTTAAAGCTGGGGTACGTGACTTTAAAGCAGGGGTACGTGACTTTAAAGCTGGGGTACGTGACTTTAAAGCAGGGGTACGTGACTTTAAAGCTGGGGTACGTGACTTTAAAGCAGGGGTACGTGACTTTAAAGCTGGGGTACGTGACTTTAAAGCTGGGGTACGTGACTTTAAAGCTGGGGTACGTGACTTTAAAGCTGGGGTACGTGACTTTAAAGCTGGAGTACGTGACTTTAAAGCTGTGGTTTGTGACTTTACAGCTCCCCAGGGCTGTGTACTATGTGTAGAGCAGTGCTTCCCAAAGTGGGGTCTGTGAGACCAGAGACTGAGGCTTTGCAGCCCACAGGGACTACTTGTACTTGTAGCAGTAGTACTTGTACTTGTAGCAGTAGTACTTGTACTTGTAGCAGTAGTACTTGTACTTGTAGCGGTAGTACTTGTAGCAGTAGTACTTGTACTTGTAGCAGTAGTACTTGTAGCAGTAGTACTTGTACTTGTAGCAGTAGTACTTGTAGCAGTAGTACTTGTACTTGTAGCAGTAGTACTTGTACTTGTAGCAGTAGTACTTGTACTTGTAATCCAGTTCAGCCTCATGTTCTCTGCTTATAAATCCTTCGCTTTAATCCGTTGTCGTGGTAACGGCGGTGACAGATGTGGGTCACACACAAACACAGAGACACACATTGACACACACAACATAGAGACATACACACAAACACAGTGACACACACACACAGAGACAAACACACAAACACAGTGACAAACACACACACACAGTGACACACACAGAGTGACACAATTTCACAGACATACACACAGTGACACACACACACACACAGACAGACACAAACACAGTGACACACACACACAGAGACAAACACAGTGACACACACACACAGAGACAAACACAGTGACACACACACAGAGGCACACCGGGAGAAAGGGGCATGGTTTGGCGAAGGCCATTCATTGCCACTTGCAGTGATACAGTAGTTGTTGTTGTGTCCTTGTTGTTGTGTACTTGTAGTTGTTGTTGTGTACTTGTTTTTGTTGATGTTGTGTACTTGTTGTTTATTTCAGGGATCACTCCCCGCTGCTCGTACATAAAGTACCATTACTCGTCATCATCAATCCCGAAGAATCTGTCGCACAACATCACAAAGACCATACAACAGGATGAGTGGCACGCAATCCGTAAGAGACACACACACACACACACATACACACACGCACATACACACACATATACACATACACACACGCACACACACGCAGATACATACGTCTGTGTCTCTGTGTGTATAACTGTGTGTGTCTGTGTGTGTGTGTGTGTCTGTGTGGTTGTGTGTCTCCCACATGTGTGTGTCTGTGTGTGTCAGACCTGCGCAGGATGACTGCAGGCTTCCTGGGGATGGCGGTGGCCATCGTCCTCTTTGGTTTGGTCGTGGGGACGGTCGGCTGCAGCTGGGACCGAGGCCTGATGCAGTATGTGGCCGGTCTGCTGTTCCTGATGGGAGGTACCAGCAACACACTGCACCAGCAACACACTACACCAGCAACACACTGCACCAGCAACACACTACACCAGCAACACACTGCACCAGCAACACACTACACCAGCAACACACTACACCAGCAACACACTGCACCAGCAACACACTGTACCAGCAACACACTGTACCAGCAAAATACAGTACCAGCAAAATACAGTACCAGCAAAATACAGTACCAGCAACATACAGTACCAGCAAAATACAGTACCAGCAAAATACAGTACCAGCAACATACAGTACCAGCAAAATACAGTACCAGCTAAATACAGTACCAGCAACATACAGTACCAGCAACATACAGTACCAGCAACACACTGTACCAGCAACACCCTGTACCAGCAACACACTGTACCAGAGATATCACTGAATCAGTAACTTAACCTTTTGACCTTTCACCCCCCTCCCTCCGCTCTCCTCCTCCCTCACTCCCTCCCCTCCCCTCTACTCCTCCCTCTCCCTCTCCTCACCCCCCTCCTTCTCCTCTCCTCCTCCCTCTCCTCTCCTCCTCCCTCCCCCCCCCTCTCCTCACCCCTCTCCCTCTCCTCACTCCCTCCTCCTCCCTCCCCTCCCCTCTACTCCTCCCTCTCCTCACCCCCAACCTTCTCCTCTCCTCCTCCCTCCCCTCCTCCTCCCTCTCCTCACCCCCTCCCTCCTCCCTCCGCTCTCCTCACCCCCTCCCTCCTCCTCTCCTCCTCCCTCCGCTCTCCTCACCCCCTCCCTCACCCCCTCCCCTCTCCTCACCCCTCCCCCTCCTCACCCCCTTCCTCTCCTCAGGCACCTTCTGCATCATCGCCCTCTGCACATGTGTCGCTGGGATAAACTTTGAGTTGTCGCGGTTGCCACGGTTCCTGTACAGTTTCCCTGACGACATCGGCCACGGTTACGGTTGGGGCATGTTCTCTGCGTGGGGAGGTCTGGGACTGACCCTGATCTCCGGCTTCTTCTGCACCTTGGCCCCCTCTGTGCAGCCCCCGCCCAGGACCTGCTCCAAGGCCAGGACCCACAACGGAACTGTGTGTTAGGGCCGAAGACCGGGCCGAGGACCGGGCCGAAGACTGACAGAGTGAGGACTTGCAGACTCTTGACTAAACTCCTCCCTCTAACCTCCTCCCTCTAACCTCCTCCCCTTACCTCCTCCCTCTAACCTCCTCCCCCTAACCTCCTCCCCCTAACCTCCTCCCCCTAACCTCCTCCCCTTACCTCCTCCCTCTAACCTCCTCCCCTTACCTCCTCCCTCTAACCTCCTCCCCCTAACCTCCTCCCCTTACCTCCTCCCTCTAACCTCCTCCCCTTACCTCCTCCCCTTACCTCCTCCCTCCTAACCTCCTCCCCTTACCTCCTCCCTCTAACCTCCTCCCCCTAACCTCCTCCCCTTACCTCCTCCCTCTAACCTCCTCCCCTAACCTCCTCCCTCTAACCTCCTCCCCCTAACCTCCTCCCCTTACCTCCTCCCTCTAACCTCCTCCCCCTAACCTCCTCCCCTTACCTCCTCCCTCTAACCTCCTCCCCCTAACCTCCTCCCCTTACCTCCTCCCTCTAACCTCCTCCCCCTAACCTCCTCCCCTTACCTCCTCCCTCTAACCTCCTCCCCCTAACCTCCTCCCCCTAACCTCCTCCCCTTACCTCCTCCCTCTAACCTCCTCCCCCTAACCTCCTCCCCTTACCTCCTCCCCCTAACCTCCTCCCCTTACCTCCTCCCTCTAACCTCCTCCCCCTAACCTCCTCCCCTTACCTCCTCCCTCTAACCTCCTCCCTTAACCTCCTCCCTTACCTCCTCCCTCTAACCTCCTTCCCTTAACCTCCTTCCCTTACGTCCTCCCTCTAACCTCCTCCCCTTACCTCCTCCCTCTAACCTCCTTCCCTTAACCTCCTTCCCTTACGTCCTCCCTCTAAACTCCTTCCCTTAACCTCCTCCCTTAACTTCCTCCCTTAACCTCCTCCCTTAACCTCCTCCCCCCAACAACCCACTGCTCCAGTTCCACAGAACCATGACCAGCTGAGCCCTGTCTAAAGCCCCGCCTCCTCCCAGAGGGGTGTGCCGCACCTGGACTCACCGCAGAGCACCTGGACTCACCACAGAGCACCTGGACTCACCACAGAGCACCTGGGCTCACGGCAGAGCACCTGGGCTCACTGCAGAGCACCTGGAATTACCACGAAGCACCTGGACTCACCACAGAGCACCTGGACTTAAAGCACAGCAGCAGTGTGACCATCAAAACTGCCACCTACTGGTGTGAGCAGGAAGTACATCCTCAATCCAAGACATTTAAACCATGTGAACATGAGACCGAGTCCACAGAGTGTTCTGACAGAGTCCACAGAGTGTTCTGACAGAGTCCACAGAGTGTTCTGACAGAGTCCACAGAGTGTTCTGACAGAGTCCACAGAGTGTTCTGACAGAGTCCACAGAGTGTTCTGACAGAGTGTTCTGACAGAGTGTTCTGACAGAGTCCACAGAGTGTTCTGACAGAGTCCACAGAGTGTTCTGACAGAGTCCACAGAGTGTTCTGACAGAGTCCACAGAGTGTTCTGACAGAGTCCACAGAGTGTTCTGACAGAGTCCACAGAGTGTTCTGACAGAGTCCACAGAGTGTTCTGACAGAGTGTTCTGACAGAGTCCACAGAGTGTTCTGACAGAGTGTTCTGACAGAGTCCACAGAGTGTTCTGACAGAGTCCACAGAGTGTTCTGACAGAGTGTTCTGACAGAGTCCACAGAGTGTTCTGACAGAGTCCACAGAGTGTTCTGACAGAGTGTTCTGACAGAGTCCACAGAGTGTTCTGACAGAGTCCACAGAGTGTTCTGACAGAGTGTTCTGACAGAGTCCACAGAGTGTTCTGACAGAGTGTTCTGACAGAGTGTTCTGACAGAGTCCACAGAGTGTCCCGACAGAGTGTTCTGACAGAGTCTACAGAGTGTTCTGACAGAGTCCACAGAGTGTTCTGACAGAGTCTACAGAGTGTTCTGACAGAGTCACAGAGTGTTCTGACAGAGTGTTCTGACAGAGTGTTCTGACAGAGTCCACAGAGTGTTCTGACAGAGTCCACAGAGTGTTCTGACAGAGTGTTCTGACAGAGTCCACAGAGTGTTCTGACAGAGTCCACAGAGTGTTCTGACAGAGTCCACAGAGTTTCTGACAGAGTGTTCTGACAGAGTCCACAGAGTGTTCTGACAGAGTCTACAGAGTGTTCTGACAGAGTCTACAGAGTGTTCTGACAGAGTCCACAGAGTGTTCTGACAGAGTGTTCTGACAGAGTGTTCTGACAGAGTCCACAGAGTGTTCTGACAGAGTCCACAGAGTGTTCTGACAGAGTGTTCTGACAGAGTCCACAGAGTGTTCTGACAGAGTCCACAGAGTGTTCTGACAGAGTCCACACAGAGTGTTCTGAGGGGGCGGGGTTGTGGTCATAAATCACAGAACTGAATATAAATGTATAAAAACTGTACAGAATCAAAGTCTATGAAACATCTTTCACTCAGGAGGGAAGGGGGTAGGGGAGGAGGGGGGGAGGGGAGGGGGTGAGGAGGAGAGGAGGAGGAGGGGAAGGGGGTGAGGAGGAGGAGGATGAGGAGGGGAAGGGGGTGAGGAGGAGGGGGAATATTTCATTCCGATCTGATTTGAGATATATAAATAAATGCTTAAATGAAATGTTTCTTTCTCATTTCTTCCAAATATATATATATTTTTCCAACTTTGACTGAAACATCTGCGGTTCAGGAGTTAGATGTGAATTAAACAAAAAGATTAAGGGACCAGACCAGACCAGAACCAGACCTTTCCGTGACCAGACCAGACCAGAACCAGACCGAGCACTGGCGGAAAAGACCGAGCGCTGACGGAAAAGACCGAGCTCTCACTTCCGGGTCTGGACATAAACAGCGATGGCGGAGGCAGCAGCTCCTCCCGCGGTCACAACAGCTGGCGGATGGACCAAACACGTGACCTGCAGGTGAGACACGGTCCACGTAGAACCCACGGAGGTCCACGGGGTCTGAGCCGGACCGGCCAGCCCCCACAGCCGCAGAGGAGAGACTGGCACTCAGCTGTTCGCGCTACATGCTAACACAGGCTAACACATGCTAATGCTAACTTCAGTGTGTTGTTGTCACATTATCAATAATAATAATAAAGACAGACTCGTGCCATGCGCGTGAACAGCTGTACGTGAAGCAACACGAAGTGAAAACGTGTGTGTGTGTGTGTGTGTGTGTGTGTGTGTGTGTGTGTGTGTGTGTGTGTGTGTGTGTGTGTGTGTGTGTGTGTGTGTGTGTGTGTGTGTGTGTGTGTGTGTGTGTGTGTGTGTCTCAGGTACTTTCTTCACGGAGTGTGTAAGGAGGGGGAAAACTGCAGATATTCACACGACCTGAAGAGCAGTAAACCTGTCACCATGATCTGCAAGTTCTACCAGAAGGGGGCGTGTGCGTACGGCGAGCGCTGCAGGTGAGTGACCCCTGAACTCTGACCCCTCAGGCTGACCTGACCCCTGACCAACCACAAAGGTGGGAGAGTTGGCTTATGTGCTGTTTCCACGGAGACGCTGCGACAGTAAAAGGTCAGAGTTTACATGGTGTCCTTTCGTTTCCATGGAGACGGTGTTTCAGGCGTAAACGTTGAGAAACAGGCTCCAGAGTGAATAGAACAGAGACGCTGATGACCTCAGCACTTCGTACAATTGGACGCAGTAGAACGTAAACAACAATGGCGGAGGGTTGGCTAATGCTACGTGAGCTTCGCTAACGCAGGAGGATTCTACTCCTTCGTCCAAACCCAACCTCAGCTGTAGTTTTACTCTTCATTTTCACTGCTGCTGTTACAGAATGACGTTGGTTCTTTCCCTTCTTTGTCTTGAGGAGGATGTTGTCGTTGAAGTGCTTCCACTGCTGGGGGTTGGTGTATTGTGTTGTTCCACTGCCCGCTACTGGCCACAAGCTACAACTACATGGTTTTCGGTTGTTGTGTAGACGCTGAGCACTTTGCAGAAGGAGCCTGGTGGTTTTGCTTATTAGACCAGAGTCAGCTCTAGTGCTTGTCCCCCCAGGTTTGAACACAGTAAAGTGAAGGAGGAGCTGCCTCTGCCATCGCACACACCAACCCTGAAGTCCAGACCCGAGTCCAAACTGCAACCTGAACCAGGGACTGGACCAGGGGCCAGACCAGAGACCGGTTCAGAGACCGGGACCGGAGTTGGACTTGCTCCGGACTGGGTTCTTGCTGCTGAGTTCGTGCCTGGACAGCCGTACTGTGGTCGAGGTGAGAGAAGGGACACACAGGCACGCACGCACACATATACACACACAGGCACACACAGGCACACACACACAGGCACAAAGACACACAGACACACAGACACACACACACTCACTCATGTACCTGTCTTTTAGCAGATGCGGGGACGGAGAATGTTGCCGTGGAAACGCAGAGGAAGACCCTGTGTCCGTACGCAGCGGTCGGCGAGTGTCGTTACGGTGTGAACTGTGCGTATCTCCATGGCGACGTGTGCGACATGTGTGGACTACAGGTCCTGCATCCGAGCAACGGGACCCAGAGGTCCGAACACACCAAGGTAAGACCAGGGGGAGGACCAGGGGGAGGACCAGGGCCTGTGTCTCCTCTCTCACGCGTCCCCTCTTCTCACCCCTGTCCCCTCTCTTCTCACCCCTCTCGCCTCTCTCTCTCACCCTTCTCTCCTCACCCCTGTCCCCAGGCCTGCATGGAGGCCCATGAGAAGGACATGGAGCTGTCGTTTGCGGTGCAGCGCTCGAAGGACATGGTGTGTGGAGTGTGTATGGAGGTGGTGTTCGAGAAGCAGAACCTCAGCGAGAGACGCTTCGGGATCCTGTCCCACTGCTGCCACTGCTACTGCCTCCGCTGCATCCGCAAGTGGAGGCGAGCCAAGCAGTTCGAGAGCAAGATCATCAAGTGAGTCAGCCCGTACACCGCAGTGGTACCCCGTACACCGCAGTGGTACCCCGTACACCCCAGTGGTACCCCGTACACCCCAGTGGTACCCCGTACACCCCAGTCGTACCCGGTACACCCCAGTCGTACCCGGAGTCGTGCCCAGATTCTGTTGGCATCATGTGACTCGGAGAACGTGTGTTTCTTGGTGTAAAGTATGACGACACTCTAAAGACTAAAACAGTGACTGTGGCTGGACTTTATTCACTGGATCTGCCTCAAATCCACCAAGTCCTGGACATAGACTGTTCCAGTACTGGACCTGGACTGTTCCAGGACTGTTCCAGGACTGGACCTGGACTGGACCTGGACTATTCCTGGACTGTTCCTGGACTGTTCCTGGACTACGGTGACCATAGACTCAAACACAGGCAGAGGAGCAGAGAACCACATGTTCCGACTGTTGTATGGTGTATCACCCAAACTATTGACACACCAAGAAGAGCTAAGTGTTTGTGTTTGTGTTTGTGTGTGTTTGTTTGTGTGTGTCAGGTCGTGTCCCGAGTGCCGGATCACCTCTAACTTCGTGATCCCCAGTGAGTACTGGGTCGAGGACAAGGAGGACAAACAGAAACTCATCCAGAAGTATAAAGACGGCATGGGGTAAGGTCTGAGGAGGCGTGTTTTTAGACCTGTGTCGACCCAGCAGACCAGAGAGACTTGTGTGTTGCAGGACTAAGGCGTGTGTTGCTGTTGTGTGTTGCAGGACTAAAGTGTGTTGTTGTTGTGTGTTGCAGGACTAAAGCGTGTGTTGTTGTTGTGTGTTGCAGGACTAAAGCGTGTGTTGTTGTTGTGTGTTGCAGGACTAAAGCGTGTGTTGTTGTTGTGTGTTGCAGGACTAAAGCGTGTGTTGTTGTTGTGTGTTGCAGGACTAAAGCGTGTGTTGTTGTTGTGTGTTGCAGGACTAAAGCGTGTGTTGTTGTTGTGTGTTGCAGGACTAAAGCGTGTGTTGCTGTTGTGTTGCAGGACTAAGGCGTGTGTTGTTGTGTTGCAGGACTAAAGCGTGTCGATACTTCGATGAAGGTCGGGGTTCGTGTCCGTTTGGTTCAAACTGTTTTTACAAACATGCATTTCCTGATGGTCGCCTGGAGGAGGCGCTACCACCACGACAGAGGAGCCACCGCAACAGGGTAACACACACACACACACACACACACGTTCGTAAAATGATTTTTATTTAATTTTTTTTCTTACGCCTCGCCCATGTGCTCCTCCCACAGACCACCAGGGGCGCTCCGTTCTGGGACCTCCTGGACTCGGACGATGAGGAGCTGGTGACCTTTGAACTCAGTGAGATGCTGCTGATGCTGCTCGCCGCCGGAGCAGAAGAAGATGAGGACTCTGACGACGAGTGGGACCTGTTCCATGAAGAAGAGCTCGAGGACTTCTACGAGATTTACCTATAACAGCACAGATGAAGAGCGCCCCCTGTAGGAGAGGGGCTGTAACAGTGCATCAGCTCCCACCCCGATGGTCTGTGTGGGGCCCTTATGGTCTGTGTGGGGCCCTTACGGTCTGTGTGGGGCCCTTACGGTCTGTGTGGGGCCCTTACAGACTGTGGCTCGGGGCTCAGGCTCTTTCTCTTGTTGCAGCTTCAGTTCAAATAAACTGTTTTTATCCAAATGAAATAACTGTAAATGAACCTGATGGAAAATAGACTTTTGTAAATGTGGTCAAACTACTGACTCCCTCCATTGTAAATAGAGAGACCTGAGGCCGAGACCCGGCGCAGGGTCCTGAGGCCGAGACCCGGCGCAGGGTCCTGAGGCCGAGACCCGGCGCAGGGTCCTGAGGCCGAGACCCGGCGCAGGGTCCTGAGGCCGAGACCCGGCGCAGGGTCCTGAGGCCGAGACCCGGCGCAGGGTCTCGGCCTCAGGACCCTGCGCCGGGTCTCGGCCTCAGGACCCTGCGCCGGGTCTCGGCCTCAGGACCCGGCGCAGGGTCCTGAGGCCGAGACCCGATGATTGTCCACTAGATTCTCTTTTGTAAATACTATTTTAAAGTTCACATTCTGTAAAACGCTCTCTTCAGACTCAGTCATGCAGCTGTGTTTAGCCCCGCCCCCTCAGCCGTGTTTAGCCCTGCCCCTTCAGTCATGCAGCTGTGTTTAGCCCCGCCCCTTCAGTCATGCAGCTGTGTTTAGCCCCGCCCCTTCAGTCATGCAGCTGTGTTTAGCCCCGCCCCCTCAGCCGTGTTTAGCCCTGCTCCTTCAGTCATGCAGCTGTGTTTAGCCCCGCCCCTTCAGTCATGCAGCTGTTTAGCCCCGCCCCCGAGACTGACTCCTGGGAGACATTTTATAGAATGTGTCTTCAATTACAGTCCACCCTATAACCCTGCCTCCTTTGGCCCCACCTCCTTTAGGCCCCGCCCCTCGGCCTCTTCTGTTCAAAGTTTTTCTGCTCAAACCTGAAGAACGTGATGATTTTAATGGATCAAAACGACGTCTGAGAATTCATGTGTGTGAGATTCTACAGACCTGGACCTGGACCAGGACTCTTTATCACTGACTAAATGTTTTTCTGCTCTGGACGAAACGCTGAGGTTTTGTTGAATCTCCAGACGAAGGATCTGTGTCAAATCTGATGTGAATAAAACTATAATCACTTTACTAAGTCTCTTTTACTGACACCAGAGAGCGACACCAGAGAGCGACACCAGAGAGCGACACCAGAGAGAGACACCAGAGAGCGACACCAGAGAGCGACACCAGAGAGCGACACCAGAGAGCGACACCAGAGAGCGACACCAGAGAGCGACACCAGAGAGAGACACCAGAGAGCGACACCAGAGAGAGACACCAGAAAGAGACACCAGAGAGCGACACCAGAGAGAGACACCAGAAAGAGACACCAGAAAGAGACACCAGAGAGCGACACCAGAGAGAGACACCAGAAAGGGAGAACAGAGAGAGACACCAGAGAGGGAGAGCAGAGGGAGACACCAGAGAGAGAGACCAGAGAGGGGGAGCAGAGGGAGACACCAGAGAGAGACACCAGAGAGGGGGAGCAGAGGGAGACACCAGAGAGCGACACCAGAGAGGGGGAGCAGAGGGAGACACCAGAGAGAGACACCAGAGAGGGGGAGCAGAGGGAGACACCAGAGAGAGACACCAGAGAGGGAGAGCAGAGGGAGACACCAGAGAGAGACACCAGAGAGGGGGAGCAGAGGGAGACACCAGAGAGCGACACCAGAGAGGGGGAGCAGAGGGAGACACCAGAGAGCGACACCAGAGAGGGGGAGCAGAGGGAGACACCAGAGAGAGACACCAGAGAGGGGGAGCAGAGGGAGACACCAGAGAGAGACACCAGAGAGGGAGAGCAGAGGGAGACACCAGAGAGAGACACCAGAGAGGGAGAGCAGAGGGAGACACCAGAGAGAGACACCAGAGAGGGGGAGCAGAGGGAGACACCAGAGAGAGACACCAGAGAGGGAGAGCAGAGGGAGACACCAGAGAGAGACACCAGAGAGGGAGAGCAGAGGGAGACACCAGAGAGAGACACCAGAGAGGGAGAGCAGAGGGAGACACCAGAGAGAGACACCAGAGAGGGGGAGCAGAGGGAGACACCAGAGAGAGACACCAGAGAGGGAGAGCAGAGGGAGACACCAGAGAGAGACACCAGAGAGGGAGAGCAGAGGGAGACACCAGAGAGAGACACCAGAGAGGGAGAGCAGAGGGAGACACCAGAGAGGGGGAGCAGAGGGAGACACCAGAGAGGGGGAGCAGAGGGAGACACCAGAGAGAGACACCAGAGAGGGAGAGCAGAGGGAGACACCAGAGAGAGAGAGCAGAGGGAGACACCAGAGAGAGACACCAGAGAGGGAGAGCAGAGGGAGACACCAGAGAGAGACACCAGAGAGGGAGAGCAGAGGGAGACACCAGAGAGAGACACCAGAGAGGGAGAGCAGAGGGAGACACCAGAGAGAGACACCAGAGAGGGAGAGCAGAGGGAGACACCAGAGAGAGACACCAGAGAGGGGGAGCAGAGGGAGACACCAGAGAGGGGGAGCAGAGGGAGACACCAGAGAGAGACATCAGAGAGGGAGAGCAGAGGGAGACACCAGAGAGAGACACCAGAGAGGGAGAGCAGAGTGAGACACCAGAGAGGGGGAGCAGAGGGAGACACCAGAGAGGGGGAGCAGAGGGAGACACCAGAGAGAGACACCAGAGAGGGAGAGCAGAGGGAGACACCAGAGAGAGAGAGCAGAGGGAGACACCAGAGAGGGAGAGCAGAGGGAGACACCAGAGAGAGACACCAGAGAGGGAGAGCAGAGGGAGACACCAGAGCGGGAGAGCAGAGGGAGACACCAGAGAGGGGGAGCAGAGGGAGACACCAGAGAGGGAGAACAGAGAGAGACACCAGAGAGAGAGAGCAGAGGGAGACACCAGAGAGGGAGAGCAGAGGGAGACACCAGAGAGGGAGAGCAGAGGGAGACACCAGAGAGGGAGAGCAGAGGGAGACACCAGAGAGGGAGAGCAGAGGGAGACACCAGAGAGAGAGAGCAGAGGGAGACACCAGAGAGGGAGAGCAGAGGGAGACACCAGAGAGAGACACCAGAGAGGGGGAGCAGAGGGAGACACCAGAGAGAGACACCAGAGAGGGAGAACAGAGAGAGACACCAGAGAGGGAGAGCAGAGGGAGACACCAGAGAGGGAGAGCAGAGGGAGAGCAGAGGGAGACACCAGAGAGGGGGAGCAGAGGGAGACACCAGAGAGGGGGAGCAGAGGGAGACACCAGAGAGGGGGAGCAGAGGGAGGATAACTCTAAAGCAAAGTTGGGAACAGCCCAAACTCTGAGGGCAGAGCTTCACCCAAACACAGCTCGTGCTGCTGTCAGTATTTGTGTCTGAATCCCACACTGAACACGCCTCGGGAAAAAGACTCAGTCGCAAGACGGGTTGAAGGCCCAGTGTCGCTGCCACACCTGCCCTCAGTGAGAATGTGAACCTCTGTTTGAGACGCAGGACTTTTTTAATCTTTTATTTTCAAAACATTGTGAATATTGTTTAAATTTACATCAGAAAGACGCCCTAGATGAGGACAACACAGACCTCCTGTTCTCCTCCTGCGCTCCTCCTGGTGAGGATCCTCTGGCCGTTTGGTTTGAGGCTGTGAAGTCCATCTGACTGAAGGGAGCGGTCAGGGGTCAGAGGTAGTCAGGACGTGGCTCATGAGCTCCTGCTGCAGCCTCAGCAGCGCCCTCATGTGGTCAGAGTCAGGATCATGGGACGTGTAGCCCTGGTCAGAAGCACTGGATATGGACCCCTCTCCAGAACCTCCTCTGCGCACCTCCTCCTCTGCGAAGCCCTGGTCTCCTCCTGTGTGGACCTCCTCCTCTGCGAAGCCCTGGTCTCCTTCTTTGTGCACCTCCTCCTCTGTGAAGCCCTGGTCTCCTCCTTTGTGCACCTCCTCCTCTGTGAAGCCCTGGTCTCCTCCTTTGTGCACCTCCTCCTCTGTGAAGCCCTGGTCTCCTCCTCTGTGCACCTCCTCCTCTGTGAAGCCCTGGTCTCCTCCTCTGTGCACCTCCTCCTCTGTGAAGCCCTGGTCTCCTCTGTGCACCTCCTCCTCTGTGAAGCCCTGGTCTGATACTCCTTTCTGAATACATAAAAAACAACCTCATTAATTGTCGATCAATAAATAAGTAAATAATACAGCGTTTATATAGTTCCACCAGTGTTCCCTGGTACTACAGGTACAAGTACTACAGGTAACCGTACTGCAGGTACACGGGTCCCTGGTTTATCACAGGGGTGATGTGTTCTAAAAATAACCCACACAAAGTGAAATCCATGAAGAAGCATTTGTTAGTTTTAAGGCTAGAAAACCCTCCCATAAACTTTCCCGCCTCAGTCCTGGGTCTACATCCTCAGTCCTGGGTCTACAGCCTCAGTCCTGGGTCTACAGCCTCAGTCCTGATGTGATTTCCCATGAACACAAACTATCCTCACCTGCTCCTCTGGTCTCTCTGGGTGTAGCACCTCCTCTGGTCTCCTCTCTGGGTGTAGCACCTCCTCTGGTCTCCTCTCTGGGTGTGGCACCTCCTCTGGTCTCCTCTCTGGGTGTAGCACCTCCTCTGGTCTCCTCTCTGGGTGTGGCACCTCCTCTGGTCTCCTCTCTGGGTGTGGCACCTCCTCTGGTCTCCTCTCTGGGTGTAGCACCTCCTCTGGTCTCCTCTCTGGGTGTGGGAGCAGCTCGAACACCTCGGGGGCCCTCTCCTGAAGCAGTGGAGTGTTGAGGGCCAGGTTCAGACCAGGCTGCAGCTCGGGCTCCGTCACGTACAAGTGTCCAGCGCTCTGATTGGTCCAGACGTCGAGCATGGAAATGTGGGCGGTGTCTCTGAGGATGGGCGTGGTCTCACACTCCGGGTCGTGTGTCTCGAACCAGTCCGGGTCAAGCGCCTGGAAAGCGCTGAAGGTGGTCAGTGCCTGGAGCGAGAGTGAGAGACTTCATGAGCAACATGGTTCTGAGGTCCACCTAGTCCCAAACCAGTCCGAGCCCAGTAGTCCGAGCCCGGTGCTAGCCCGGTGCCTCACCTGCATTAGCGCCCGGCCAGACGCGCTCCCACAGACCTGGTCCGGGCCCAGGCCCTGCACGTGGTGGATTGTCTTGGGTTGGTACTTCTCCTTCTCGATGAGACGGAAGAACAGCTCCTCCAGGTGCTTCATCAGTTTGTATTTGACCGAGACGTCGAAGAAGGACGGGACGTCCTCCTCTGAGCTCAGGGCCTCGAAGAAGACCGGCAGGTACCTGAGGAAGGGCTAACCTTAACCCTACAGGGCACTGCAGTAGCAGCAGCAGCAGCAGTAGTAGTAATCCTTTGATCTCACTCAGCATGTAAGTGGCCCCACCCACAGCAGAGGGCACACTCTAGATCTGTTAGTTACTAAGGGGGTGAATATTTCAAATGTAAACGTGGTCAATGTTGTTCTTTCAGATCATTTCTGTGTTTTTTTTGACATGTGTTTCACTAACAAACCACCAGTGGACTCCAACTGTTCAAAGAAGACGCATAAATGAAAATACGGGTGAAATATTTATGGGAATGATAAACTTTGAGAATGCATCGTGTTCTACTGTAGATGAACTGTTTAACTCTGTCACCTCTAGTGTTTTGAATGTTCTGGACACCATCGCTCCTGTGAAGGTTAAAATAGTGAAAAATAAGCAGAAGGCGCCATGGGCTAAAGCAGACTCGGTCAGGGCACAAAAGAGAAAGTGCCGGAGGACCGAGCGGAAGTGGCGCAAGTCCAACCTCCAGGTTGGTTACGAGATCTTCAAAGATAAGTTGTGCGAGTTTAACCGGGTGCTACGTAGTACGAGAGAAAGGTATTTTTCTGAAATGATTGAAGGCTGCAGCAACAATCTGCGTGTTCTGTTTTCAACAGTTAATAGATTAACAAACCCCCCTGTTCAAATGCCATTAGAGCTAACTTCCAAACGTAAATGTAATGAGTTTGCTAATTTTTTCAATGACAAGGTTCAAGGCATCAAAAATGCCATTGTCTCCAATCCACAGATAACAATCCAACAGCCAGAAAGGCTCTCTGAGCTAACTCACTTTGCACCTGTAAATGATCAAACTGTCCAAGAGATAATCTCCAGTCTGAGCTCCTCCACATGCAGCCTGGATGTACTACCCACTAGATTTCTGAAGTCTGTTCTGAGCAGTCTGTTACCTTCACTCACACAGATAGTAAACATGTCCCTTCATTCTGGAATATTCCCAAAGGCCCTGAAAACTGCAGTCATCAGGCCCCTGCTAAAAAAGAGCAGTCTCGATGCTACGGTACTTAACAACTATCGTCCCATCTCAAATCTGCCATTTATGGGGAAAGTCCTTGAGAAAGTCGTCTACCTACAGCTAAATAGATTTCTTATAATCAACAACTCATTTGATATGTTTCAGTCCGGCTTTAGACCCCACCACAGCACTGAGACTGCTCTCGTTAAGGTTACAAACGATATCCGGCTAAACACTGACGCAGGCAAAGTCTCAATCCTAATCCTGTTAGATCTGAGTGCTGCCTTTGACACTGTCGACCATGAGATCCTCTTACAGAGACTAGAGGACTGGGTTGGTGTCGCTGGCACCGCCCTAAGTTGGTTTAGGTCTTACCTTGAAGACAGGAAGTACTTTGTGGAGATTGGAAACTGTGTCTCAGATCATATGGCTCTGACCTGTGGAGTACCACAGGGGTCGATCCTGGGACCTCTTCTGTTCAATCTCTACATGCTGCCATTAGGTCAGTTAATACGCAGAAACAAAGTGTCCTATCATAACTATGCAGACGACACTCAGATCTATGTCTCACTGACTGCAGGAGAACATGGACCAGTGGACTCACTCCTTCACTGTATCCAACAGATCAGTGAGTGGATGCAAAACAACTTCCTTCAGCTAAACGCAGACAAAACTGAAATGATTGTCTTTGGTCCCCAGAAACAAAGAGAGAGCGTCATCTGTCACCTACAGTCTCTCTCCCTAAAACCTTCAAACAAGGTCAGAAATCTAGGGGTAATACTGGACTCAGACTTAAATTTTAATAGCCACATCAAATCAGTAACATCAGCAGCTTTTTACCATCTAAAAAACATTGCCAGGATCAAAAACATAGTGTCTAAAGCAGACCTGGAGATTCTTATCCATGCATTTGTCTCCAGTAGGTTAGACTACTGCAATGGCCTGCTCACAGGTCTGTCCAAACAGGCTGTAAAACAGCTGCAGTACATTCAAAATGCAGCAGCTCGAGTCCTGACTAGAACCAGGAAGTACGACCATATTAGTCCTGACTAGAACCAGGAAGTACGACCACATTAGTCCTGACTAGAACCAGGAAGTACGACCACATTAGTCCTGACTAGAACCAGGAAGTACGACCACATTAGTCCTGACTAGAACCAGGAAGTACGACCACATTAGTCCTGACTAGAACCAGGAAGTACCACCGCATTAGTCCTGACTAGAACCAGGAAGTACGACCACATTAGCCCTGACTAGAACCAGGAAGTACGACCACATTAGTCCTGACTAGAACCAGGAAGTACGACCACATTAGTCCTGACTAGAACCAGGAAGTACGACCACATCACTCCTGACTAGAACCAGGAAGTACGACCATATTAGTCCAGTCCTCAGGTCTCTGCACTGGCTTCCTGTGGCTCAGAGAATAGACTTTAAAACAGCTCTGCTTGTTACAAGTCTCTCCATGGCCTCGCACCAAAATATATTAGTGACATGTTAGTCCCATATGAACCAGCCCGGACTCTGAGGAGCACAGGGACTGGACTCCTGCTGGGACTCTGAGGAGCACAGGGACTGGACTCCTGCTGGGACTCTGAGGAGCACAGGGATTGGACTCCTGCTGGGACTCTGAGGAGCACAGGGACTGGACTCCTGTTAGTGCCCAGAGTCAGAACTAAACATGGGGAGGCTGCTTTTCAGATTCATGCTGCTAAAATCTGGAACAGTCTTCCTGAAGATGTGAGACAGGCCTCCTCTCTGACAATGTTTAAAACCAGGTTAAAGACAGTTCTGTTTAGCTGTGCTACAACTGAGGGATTTTATATTTTTATCTTTCTTTTTAATGTTCTGTGATTATTTATGATTTTAATGCTTTCTTGTTTTGTTCAGCACTTGTGCTATATAAATAAACTTGCCTTGCCTTGCCTAGTAGTAGTAGTAGTAGTAGTAGTAGTAGCAGCAGCAGTAGTACCAGTACCTGCTTCTGGTCTGAGGAGAGTGCAGCTCTGACAAACACAGGCTCACGAATGGACCAATCAGATCGTCCGGCTGCTGTGTCACATGACCCTGCCCACAAAGGGCTCTCCATTTAGATTGGACGCCGCGAGAGCAGAGGACGAGGACTTTATCGTTCTGAGAGAGAGACCTCCGCTGCAGCTCTAACCAGCGGACAACTCCAAACTGAGACACCTTACAGCTGTCCAGGAGGTCCAGGAGAACCTGAAAGAGGACACACAGAGCTGTCCATGAGAACCTGAAAGAGGACACACACTAGAGCTGTCCATGCGAACCTGAAATAGGACACACAGAGCTGTCCATGAGAACCTGAAAGAGGACACACAGAGCTGCCCATGAAAACCTGAAAGAGGACACACAGAGCTGCCCATGAGAACCTGAAAGAGGACACACAGAGCTGCCCATGAGAACCTGAAAGAGGACACACAGAGCTGCCCATGAGAACCTGAAAGAGGACACACAGAGCTGCCCATGAAAACCTGAAAGAGGACACACAGAGCTGCCCATGAGAACCTGAAAGAGGACACACAGAGCTGCCCATGAGAACCTGAAAGAGGACACACAGAGCTGCCCATGAGAACCTGAAAGAGGACACACAGAGCTGCCCATGAGAACCTGAAAGAGGAGACAAAGAGCTGCCCCTGACCTTGACGCCGCAGTGAGCCTGGAGGAAGCCGGTGAGTTTCAGAACCACGTCCACAAACAGAGGGTGGTCTCGAGAGTAGATCAACAGAACTGTGGGCTGGTCCTGCAGCTGCTTCTCAACCGGAGGTTCCAGGTCCAGCGGCTGAGAGGAACCTGCAACACACACAGGACAGAGAGGACACCTGAGACAGAGACACACACACACACACACACACACAGGACAGAGAGGACACCTGAGACAGAGACACACAGGACAGAGAGGACACCTGAGACAGAGACACACACACACACACAGGACAGAGAGGACACCTGAGACAGAGACACACACACACAGGACAGAGAGGACACCTGAGACAGAGACACACAGGACAGAGAGGACACCTGAGACAGAGACACACACACACACACAGGACAGAGAGGACACCTGAGACAGAGACACACACACACAGGACAGAGAGGACACCTGAGACAGAGACACACAGGACAGAGAGGACACCTGAGACAGAGACACACACACACACACAGGACAGAGAGGACACCTGAGACAGAGACACACACACACAGGACAGAGAGGACACCTGAGACAGAGACACACAGGACAGAGAGGACACCTGAGACAGAGACACACGCACACAGGACCTTTTGGCTCAGATGAACAGTTCATACGTTTCTTTCTGCAGGTGACAACAGTGAAGATGATGATGATGATGAAGATGACGACCAGAGAAACTGACAACACCACAGGGAGAGGGGGCTGTTCTGGGTCACCTACACACACACACAGGCACACACACACACACAGACACACACACACAAACAGACACACGCACACACACACAGAGTCAGGGTTAGGGACAGAGGTCAGAGTCCGGGTCAGAGGTCAGAGGTCACCTGCTCTCTCCTGCTGTGTCCTGCACAGAGACACTTCTTTTCTGTGTCTGCGACAGTCGTGTCCACAGCGAGGGAAGTGTCCGAGCACCTGAGGACACACACTGGTCAGTGTGTGTGTGTGTGAGCGTGTGTGTGAGTGTGCGTGATTGTGTGCGAGTGGGAGAGTGTGCGAGTGAAAGGGTGTGAGTGTGCGAGCGTGGGCGTGTTCTGGCAGAGTCTACAGAGTGTTGAGGGGGCAGATGGTACCTCCGCGGACAACCTGCAGCAGGTCCATGGCTCCAGGGAGAAGGACGCCGTCAGTCTGGACCCGACTCTGGAACCGACCTGAACCAGGAAGAGACTCAGGATTACAACACTACTGAGGACCTCACACACATGTACTTGCACACTACTGAGGACCTCACACACATGTACTTGCACACTACTGAGGACCTCACACACATGTACTTGCACACTACTGAGGACCTCACACACATGTACTTGCACACTACTGAGGACCTCACACACATGTACTTGCACACTACTGAGGACCTCACACACGTACTCGCACACTACTGAGGACCTCACACACGTACTCGCACACTACTGAGGACCTCACACACATGTACTCGCACACTACTGAGGTCCTCACACACATGTACTCGGACACTACTGAGGACCTCACACACATGTACTATGGCGCTACTGTGGACCTCACACAAATATACTCGCACACTACTGTGGATCTCACACAAATGTACTCGGGCGCTACTGTGGACCTCACACAAATATACTCGCACACTACTGTGGATCTCACACAAATGTACTCGCACACTACTGAGGACCTCACACACGTACTCGCACACTACTGAGGACCTCACACACGTACTCGCACACTACTGAGGACCTCACACACATGTACTATGGCGCTACTGTGGACCTCACACAAATATACTCGCACACTACTGTGGATCTCACACAAATGTACTCGCACACTACTGAGGACCTCACACAAATGTACTCGCACACTACTGAGGACCTCACACACATGTACTCGGACACTACTGAGGACCTCACACACGTACTCGGACACTACTGAGGACCTCACACAAATGTACTCGCACACTACTGAGGACCTCACACACATGTACTCGGACACTACTGAGGACCTCACACACATGTACTCGGACACTACTGAGGACTTCACACACGTACTATGACACTACTGAGGACCTCACACACTCATCTACTATGACACTACTGAGGACCTCACACACTCATGTACTCGCACACTACTGAGGTCCTCACACACATGTACTCGGACACTACTGAGGACCTCACACACATGTACTATGGCGCTACTGTGGACCTCACACAAATATACTCGCACACTACTGTGGATCTCACACAAATGTACTCGCACACTACTGAGGACCTCACACAAATGTACTCGCACACTACTGAGGACCTCACACACATGTACTATGGCGCTACTGTGGACCTCACACAAATATACTCGCACACTACTGTGGATCTCACACAAATGTACTCGCACACTACTGAGGACCTCACACACGTACTCGCACAGTACTGAGGACCTCACACACGTACTCGCACACTACTGAGGACCTCACACACATGTACTATGGCGCTACTGTGGACCTCACACAAATATACTCGCACACTACTGTGGATCTCACACAAATGTACTCGCACACTACTGAGGACCTCACACAAATGTACTCGCACACTACTGAGGACCTCACACACATGTACTCGGACACTACTGAGGACCTCACACACGTACTCGGACACTACTGAGGACCTCACACAAATGTACTCGCACACTACTGAGGACCTCACACAAATGTACTCGCACACTACTGAGGACCTCACACACATGTACTCGGACACTACTGAGGACCTCACACACATGTACTCGGACACTACTGAGGACTTCACACACGTACTATGACACTACTGAGGACCTCACACACTCATGTACTATGACACTACTGAGGACCTCACACACTCATGTACTATGACACTACTGAGGACCTCACACACTCATGTACTCGGACACTACTGAGGACCTCACACACTCATGTACTCGGACACTACTGAGGACCTCACACACTCATGTACTCGGACACTACTGAAGACCTCACACACATGTACTATAGAGCTAATGAGGACCTCACACACATATATGTACTATGACACGACTGAGGACCTCAAACACATGTATTATGACTATGGCTGTTGTTGTCAAAAATGATTTGACCGACGTGTTCAGAATTTGGTACAGAAATAAGGCCAAGATTTCTAGAGTTCCAATAGTACATTTATTTCTCTTTACAATTAAATGTTGATACAGAACTCCTGGAGCTACTCCCTAAATCTCTATCCCTGTGCTGTAACTCTCCCAATGTGTCCTCCCAACGGTTTTATCAGAATCTCCGATGACGTCATATGGTCTGAGGCTGGTCCCAGTCTGGTTTTGTCTCAGGCCGCTAGCGACACGCTGTTCCTGAAAATGATACTTTTATCACAGAAGCCTTTGTCCTTGGTGCTTGTCTGAATTCCATTAAATCCAGGCTTTAATATTGCACAAAGACATGTTTGCAAACACCTACTGAAAATCATTAGTATACAACATTATAATTCTACAACACTGTCAAACAATTTTAATCGAGTTAATTACAGCTTAAAAATTAATTAATCGTAATTAATCGCATTTCAAACTATTGGCAAAATTATGCCATATTTTTCTGTAAATGGTTGTTTAAATGGAAAGATAAATGACAGCATAGTGAACATATGTACTGTATTTGTTTATTATAACAATAAATCCATATAAAATGGCATTAAAATTATTAACATTCTGTCTTTCTGTTTAGACTCAGACCAAAACTATTGTTTGTTACAGATGAGGGACATTTCAAAACAGTCTGAAATGCAGAATGTCATTAAATCTGTCATGAACTGGAAGTGGAAATTAGGTACCCCAGCTTTAATTTAGCGAGTGCGCTTCGGGAGAAGACACGGAGGAGACTGAGGCTCCGCAGTCCAGCTTCTGCGCTGTATTTATTGTTTTCACCGGTTACGTAAAGACACGTACATTACAAACAGAATAGTTCTGTGCGTGTATGGTCTTGGATATGACCACGTTACGCAGCGCTGTTTGCCGTGACCACAGCCGCTGGAGGAACCGCTGTTCAGAGCACCGTGACCACAGCCGCTGGAAGAACCGCTGTTTAGAGCACCGTGACCACAGCCGCTGGAGGAACAGCTATCCAGAGCACCGTGACCACAGCCGCTGGAGGAACAGCTGTCCAGAGCACCGTGACCACAGCCGCTGGAGGAACCGCTGTCCAGAGCACCGTGACCACAGCCGCTGGAGGAACAGCTGTCCAGAGCGCCGTGACCACAGCCGCTGGAGGAACCGCTGTCCAGAGCGCCGTGACCACAGCCGCTGGAGGATCTGCTGTCCAGAGCGCCATGACCACAGCCGCTGGAGGAACCGCTGTCCAGAGCGCCGTGACCACAGCCGCTGGAGGAACCGCTGTCCAGAGCGCCGTGACCACAGCCGCTGGAGGAACCGCTGTCCAGAGCGCCGTGACCACAGCCGCTGGAGGAACCGCTGTCCAGAGTGCCGTGACCACAGCTGCTGGAGGAACCGCTGTCCAGAGCGCCCACAGCTCAGCTCAGAGTTCATACAGTATGGAACGCGTGTATTCTTTTAAAACTTAAATTCCCACAGACCTGCTCTGTCACCATCTCACACACACATGTCCGTGACATTCTGAGTGTTATTATGGGATGCATGGGCATGCGTTAATTGTATTAAAATATAATATGTATAAAAATGTATTAACGTGCGTTAACGCGATAATTTTGACAGCCCTAATTATGACACTACCGAGGACCTCACACACATGTACTATGGCGCTACTGTGGATCTCACACAAATGTTCTCGGACACTACTGAGGACCTCACACACATCTACTCGGACACTACTGAGGACCTCACACACATGTACTATGACACTACTGAGGACCTCACACACATGTACTATGACACTACTGAGGACCTCACACAAATGTACTCGCACACTACTGAGGACCTCACACACATGTACTATGACACTACTGAGGACCTCACACACATGTACTATGACACTACTGAGGACCTCACACACATGTACTATGACACTACTGAGGACCTCACACACATGTACTATGACACTACTGAGGACCTCACACACATGTACTATGACACTACTGAGGACCTCACACACATGTACTATGATACTACTGAGGACCTCACACACATCTACTCGGACACTACTGAGGACCTCACACACATCTACTCGGACACTACCGAGGACCTCACACACATCTACTCGGACACTACCGTGGACCTCACACACATGTACTATGGCGCTACTGTGGACCTCACACAAATGTACTCGCACACTACTGAGGACATCACACACATCTACTCGGACACTACAGAGGACCTCACACACATGTACTATAGAGCTACTGAGTACCACACACACATGTACTATGACACTACTGAGGACCTCACACACACATGTATTCTGACACTACTGAGGACCTCACACACATGTATTCTGACACTACTGAGGACCTCACACACATGTATTCGCACACTACTGAGGAACTCGCACACATGTACTTGGACACTACCGAGGACCTCACACACATGTACTATGGCGCTACTGAGGACCTCACACAAATGTACTCGCACACTACTGAGGACATCACACACATCTACTTGGACACTACAGAGGACCTCACACACATGTACTATAGAGCTACTGAGTACCACACACACATGTACTATGACACTACTGAGGACCTCACACACACATGTATTCTGACACTACTGAGGACCTCACACACATGTATTCTGACACTACTGAGGACCTCACACACATGTATTCGCACACTACTGAGGAACTCAGACACATGTACCCGCACACAACTGAAGACCTCACACACATGTACTCGCACACTACTAATGTACATGTGTGTGAGGACCTCACAGGGCTACTGAGGACCTCACACACATGTACTCTCACACATGTTTAAATACAATATGTTCAGGACTCACTGTGTTGGCGAGAGCTGTCGGCTCCGCGGTGACAGGCGTCGGCTTCTTAGCGACGTCTGTCAAACCACAGTGCAGCAGGACCAAGTATTTATCAGTCAGAGGATCAGGACTAAACTCCACTGACAAAACCCTGTCCGAGGCCGAGACCTCAATGTTTGGAGTCCAGTGGTAACCTGCACAGACCACCCCCACAGTAAAAGTGAGACCATTCCCAATGTAAAGTCAGAATGTTCCGAGGGGACGGAGACCAAACTTACCCTCCTCAATACAGGGACGAGTAGTTTTCATCATGGCGTCAGAGCAGTCTGTAAACAACAACACCTGTAAAGGACATTTCTGGACAGAGGTCATACCTACCCGAGCCCTCAGTCCTGGGTCTACAGCCTCAGTCCTGGGTCTACAGCCTCAGTCCTGGGTCTACAGCCTCAGTCCTGGGTCTACAGCCTCAGTCCTGGGTCTACAGCCTCAGTCCTGGGTCTACAGCCTCAGTCCTGGGTCTACAGCCTCAGTCCTGGGTCTACAGCCTCAGTCCTGGGTCTACAGCCTCAGTCCTGGGTCTACAGCCTCAGTCCTGGGTCTACAGCCTCAGTCCTGGGTCTACAGTCTCAGTCCTGGGTCTACAGTCTCAGTCCTGGGTCTACAGTCTCAGTCCTGGGTCTACAGCCTCAGTCCTGGGTCTACAGCCTCAGTCCTGGGTCTACAGCCTCAGTCCTGGGTCTACAGCCTCAGTCCTGGATCTACAGCCTCAGTCCTGGGTCTACAGCCTCAGTCCTGGGTCTACAGCCTCAGTCCTGGGTCTACAGCCTCAGTCCTGGTTCTACAGCCTCAGTCCTGGATCTACAGCCTCAGTCCTGGGTCTACAGCCTCAGTCCTGGGTCTACAGCCTCAGTCCTGGGTCTACAGCCTCAGTCCTGGGTCTACAGCCTCAGTCCTGGATCTACAGCCTCAGTCCTGAATCTACAGCCTCAGTCCTGGTTCTACAGCCTCAGTCCTGGGTCTACAGCCTCAGTCCTGGGTCTACAGCCTCAGTCCTGGGTCTACAGCCTCAGTCCTGGGTCTACAGCCACATTGTTTGTTATTATTGCATTTCCTGTGTTTGAACTGATTGATTCTGTGATATGTTTTTGAGAACAACAACATCTGTAAACTGTGCCGGTGGCTGAGTGAGCCGGTCTCAGTATCCTGCGATTGGTTGTTACCTGGAACGGTGATATTCCGGTGTATGCCGTAGTTGTTGTGACCTTCTTCTGCTTTGGGGACGTTCTCCAGAGACACACTGTAGACCTGACCCGGGTCCACGACCACATGGTCCGAGTGCAGAGTCCACTGTGGAAGGAGACCACTTTAGACCACGGAGAGACCGGCTCTGGTCCTGGTCTCTGGTACCTGGTCTCTGGTCTTAATAATAATAATAATGCATCGGTTTTATACAGCGCTTTTTTGGACACTCAAAGTCTCTTCACATGATTTCTCTTTCTCTCCAAACACAGTGGTGATAAACTACTGTAGCCACAGCTGCCCCGGGGCACACTGACAGAAACGAGGCAACCAGTCTGTGCCATCAGCCCCTCCCACCACCAACCATTCACACACACACCAGACTCATTCTAGGCAATGGGGGTAAAGTGTCTTGCTTAAGAACACAACAGCAGTTTGGCACTTTACAGCCGCAGCCGCCCCACTGTGGCATCTGCTGTTCCCAGAGGTAAAGTGTCTTGCCCAAGGACACAACGACAGCAGACAGTGGGAGTCGATGGTGAAAGTCGGGCTTGAACCCACGACCCTCTGGCTCAAAGGCCAATGCTCTACCAACTGAGCTACTGTCGCCCTGGTATCTGGTACCTGGTCTTGCTGGTATCTGGTCTTGCTGGTATCTGGTACCTGGTCTCCTTGGAGGTTCCTCATTTTCAGTGTGTTCTTGTAGGTGAACCTCACACACAGATACTGATTCGTCGCTGCTGTGAGGACCTGGAGCTCAGAGGCTTTGAGGTCCTTTATACCACCTACAACAGGTTTGCACTTTAGCATGAGTTAGCACCAGTTAGCAATTGTTAGCACAAGTTAGCATATGTTAGCAAAATTTAGCACATGTTAGCACAAGTTAGCATATGTTAGCAGAAGTTAGCATGATTTAGCACCAGTTAGCTTATGTTAGCACAAGTTAGCATATGTTAGCACAAGTTAGCATATGTTAGCACAAGTTAGCATGAGTTAGCACCACTTAGCATATGTTAGCACAAGTTAGCATATGTTAGCACAAGTTAACATATGTTAGCACAAGTTAACATATGTTAGCACAAGTTAGCATGTGTCAGCATTAGCCATAGCGGTTTCTCACTGTCGTCGCGCAGCCTCCAGGTGGCGCTGATCACTGGCAGAAGGAAGCCCTCTGGATCTAGTCTGGTTACAATCTTCAAGTCCAGGCTTTCTGGTCCAGGTGGAGTGTAGTCGTAAGACTGGATCCAGCCCGGGTCCAAACAGTTACCTAACACCAGAGACCAGAGAAAGACAAGTTTAGACCAGCGAGAGACCAGAGAGAGACCAGAGAGAGACAAGTTTAGACCAGCGAGAGACCAGAGAGAGACAAGTTTAGACCAGCGAGAGACCAGAGAGAGACCAGAGAGAGACAAGTTTAGACCAGCGAGAGACCAGAGAGAGACAAGTTTAGACCAGCGAGAGACCAGAGAGAGACCAGAGAGAGACCAGAGAGAGACCAGAGAGAGACCAGAGAGAGAGACCAGAGTGAGACCAGAGAGAGACCAGAGAGAGACCAGAGAGAGACCAGAGAGAGAGACCAGAGGGAGACCAGAGAGAGACCAGAGAGCGACCAGAGAGAGAGAGAGACCAGAGAGAGGGAGACCAGAGAGAGGGAGACCAGAGAGAGAGAGAGACCAGAGAGAGAGACCAGAGAGAGAGACCAGAGAGAGAGACCAGAGAGAGAGAGAGACCAGAGAGAGGGAGACCAGAGAGAGAGAGAGAGACCAGAGAGAGAGAGAGACCAGAGAGAGAGACCAGAGAGAGGGAGACCAGAGAGAGAGAGAGACCAGAGAGAGAGAGAGACCAGAGAGAGAGAGAGACCAGAGAGAGAGAGAGACCAGAGAGAGACCAGAGAGAGACCAGAGAGAGACCAGAGAGAGAGACCAGAGAGAGGGACCAGAGAGAGGGAGACCAGAGAGAGGGAGACTAGAGAGAGAGAGAGACCAGAGAGAGGGAGACCAGAGAGAGACCAGAGAGAGAGAGAGACCAGAGAGAGAGAGACCAGAGAGCGACCAGAGAGAGAGAGAGACCAGAGAGAGGGAGACCAGAGAGAGGGAGACCAGAGAGAGAGAGAGACCAGAGAGAGAGAGAGACCAGAGAGAGAGACCAGAGAGAGAGAGAGACCAGAGAGAGGGAGACCAGAGAGAGGGAGACCAGAGAGAGAGAGAGACCAGAGAGAGAGAGAGACCAGAGAGAGAGAGAGACCAGAGAGAGAGAGAGACCAGAGAGAGGGAGACCAGAGAGAGGGAGACCAGAGAGAGAGAGACCAGAGAGAGAGAGACCAGAGAGAGAGAGAGACCAGAGAGAGGGAGACCAGAGAGAGACCAGAGAGAGACCAGAGAGAGACCAGAGAGAGACCAGAGAGAGACCAGAGAGCGACCAGAGAGAGACCAGAGAGAGACCAGAGAGAGAGACCAGAGAGAGGGAGACCAGAGAGAGACCAGAGAGCGACCAGAGAGAGACCAGAGAGAGAGACCAGAGAGAGAGACCAGAGAGAGACCAGAGAGAGACCAGAGAGAGACCAGAGAGAGAGACCAGAGAGAGGGAGACCAGAGAGAGACCAGAGAGAGACCAGAGAGAGAGACCAGAGAGAGAGAGACCAGAGAGAGGGAGACCAGAGTGAGGGAGACCAGAGAGAGACCAGAGAGAGACCAGAGAGGGAGACCAGAGAGAGACCAGAGAGAGACCAGAGAGAGACCAGAGAGAGAGAGACCAGAGAGAGAGACCAGAGAGAGACCAGAGAGAGACCAGAGAGAGACCAGAGAGAGACCAGAGAGCGACCAGAGAGAGACCAGAGAGAGAGACCAGAGAGAGAGAGAGACCAGAGAGAGGGAGACCAGAGAGAGGGAGACCAGAGAGAGAGAGAGACCAGAGAGAGAGAGAGACCAGAGAGAGGGAGACCAGAGAGAGAGACCAGAGAGAGACCAGAGAGAGAGACCAGAGAGAGACCAGAGAGAGACCAGAGAGACCAGAGAGAGAGACCAGAGAGAGAGACCAGAGAGAGAGAGACCAGAGAGAGACCAGAGAGAGGGAGACCAGAGAGAGACCAGAGAGAGAGACCAGAGAGAGACCAGAGAGAGACCAGAGAGACCAGAGAGAGAGACCAGAGAGAGAGACCAGAGAGAGGGAGACCAGAGAGAGACCAGAGAGAGACCAGAGAGAGAGAGAGACCAGAGAGAGAGACCAGAGAGAGACCAGAGAGAGAGACCAGAGAGAGAGAAGAGAGACTAGAGACCAGAGAGAGACCAGAGAGAGACCAGAGAGAGAGACCAGAGAGAGAGAGACCAGAGAGAGAAAGACCAGAGAGAGACCAGAGAGAGAGAGACCAGAGAGAGAAAGACCAGAGAGAGGGAGACCAGAGAGAGAGAAGAGACACTAGTGTAATAACAAAATGGCTTATAATGAAAACTCACTGAAGCTCACGGAGCAGCTGAGGTCCTGGAAAAGAAAAGACACTTGAAAAACTTTTCATAGCATTAACAGCAGGATCACAGAGAGCCATAAACCACAGATTTAAGCCCAAAATGGTCATGTCACACAATCTTTACTGAGCTAGGAGTTTACTTTTACATGGAAGTCAATAAGAGCCAGAGGGAGGAGCCAAACCTCACCATGAGCTAGGGCTGGGCAATAAATCAAATTTAGGGAATGAATCGGCTTCTGAAAAAAACTAATTTGTGAAAAATGTGAAAATGGTGAAATGGAATGAAGGATATTGTGAGAGTTCCTGCAGTACAAGAATCATTAGTGCAATATCAGCTCAGTCAAGACTTTTATAATACGTACTGAGGAAACTAATTAAAAATAGTTTTGAAACTTTAATTTTGATTGGAAAGATCAAAAAATATTTTAAAAAGGGCAAAATTTGTCTTTAGTGACTTTAATGAAAATCGATTTAAAATTGAAATTGTCCAAAGCAGAAAATAAAATCGAGATTTTACTTTTTTGCCATAACGCCCAGCCCTGAGCCCGCGGGCCAACTGTATTTATCTACCACAGGGGTCTCCAACCTTTTTCAATGGGGGAGATACTTTAACAGAAGCAGCAGAGAGCTACTCCTTTTTGCATTCGTAATAATTATGACAAGAGAGAGCACATAAATACAAAATAATACTGTATATTTATTATAGATAAGTAATGACTCTAAATGTATTCATTCAGAATCATGTGTTTAAATCTAAATCCGAGCTACTGGTAGCTCCGAGCAAAGGGTTGGAGAGCTCTGATCTACAGCCTATTCTTCTTTCGACGCCCTTACAGGCCAGATCTGTGCAGAGGACACCTCATGTGTCCTGTGCACAGACTCCTCTGATGTGCAGCTCCTCCAGAGTAACCATGGGCCTCGTGTCTGCATCTGTCAGGCCTCTCCGAGTTCTTGTGAGTTCGGGTGGAAGACCTGACCTCTGACTGGACCATAGACAGTAAACTGGACACAGATGTTTAATGACGTCATGTAGACCTCAAAGTCCGTGGGTATGAAAACCTTTGCAGCTCATAAACCGTGAATTCCGTTTGTTCAGGACAACACTTATATTTATAACATAATAATACTGTAGTAAACTCCATGAATATATAATTAGATATGTTATATTCTGATGCTAGAGTCGTCTCACCTGCTGGGAACAGTCCTCCGCGGCTCCGGGCAGAAAAAGCGCTGATTTCACCCCGAGACAGAGCGTCAAGAGCGGGAGGAGAGAGAGGGGGGACCGGGGAGGCATGGTCCTGGTCCCGACCTGGTCTAAACCTGGTTCAGATCAGTTTTAAACCTGGTTTAGACCTGTTGTTTTGTTTGAAGAACGAGGAAGAGAAAGTCATTTCCGCCTGTGCACCTGAGCGCGTGCGTGTGGTACGCGGAGGCGTGAGAACCGTGTGGACTGAAGACCCAGGCGTTGGTCTTTCCCAGAAGTCCGCGCGCACGTTTCCCATTGACTTGAATGAGCAGCAAACATTCTCTGATGTGAAAAAGATTTGTTTTTTTATTTATATAAAAATCACTTTTGGGACGTGTTCATGATGACGTCACTCATCGGCACTTTGCATTGGTTAAATGTGTTTATGTGTGATATAGATATATCATAGATCTTAGATACAGATATATCATAGATCTTAGATACAGATATATCATAGATCTTAGATACAGATATATCTAAGATCTTAGATACAGATATATCATAGATCTTAGATACAGATATATCTAAGATCTTAGATATAGATATATCAAAGATCTTAGATATAGATATATCATAGATCTTACTAAGATCTATGATATATCTATATCTAAGATCATCTTAGATATAGATATATCATAGATCTTAGATACAGATATATCTAAGATCTTAGATATAGATATAATCACAGATCAGAGATAAATATGTAACGTTTATGTAAAGCAGATCACACAAGGCCAACTTTATTCATAAAGCACAGGTACAGTCTGAGAGTCATAGAGCACAGGTACAGTCTGAGGGTCATAGAGCACAGGTACAGTCTGAGGGTCATAGAGCACAGGTACAGTCTGAGAGTCATAGAGCACAGGTACAGTCTGAGAGTCATAGAGCACAGGTACAGTCTGAGAGTCATAGAGCACAGGTACAGTCTGAGGGTCATAGAGCACAGGTACAGTCTGAGGGTCATAGAGCACAGGTACAGTCTGAGGGTCATAGAGCACAGGTACAGTCTGAGGGTCATAGAGCACAGGTACAGTCTGAGGGTCATAGAGCACAGGTACAGTCTGAGGGTCATAGAGCACAGGTACAGTCTGAGGGTCATAGAGCACAGGTACAGTCTGAGGGTCATAGAGCACAGGTACAGTCTGAGGGTCATAGAGCACAGGTACAGTCTGAGGGTCATAGCGCACAGGTACAGTCTGAGGGTCATAGAGCACAGGTACAGTCTGAGAGTCAGAGCACAGGTTCAGTCTGAGAGTCAGAGCACAGGTACAGTCTGAGGGTCATAGAGCACAGGTACAGTCTGAGGGTCATAGATGAGACCAGAGAGAGCTCGGTTCTAAAGGCACAGTCGGTCGTTAAGCAGCAGTGGATTAAATAAAGTGATAAAGTTTCATGATGATTTGAGTAAAAGCTTCAGAGGAGGACACAGGAGGAGGCGCGAGCTGCAGTGTCCTCCTTCCTCCTCTTGGTGTCACTGCTGCTGTCAGCTGCAGGAGTCTGCACAGAGACACACACAGAGACACACACAGAGACACACACAGAGACACACAGAGACACACAGAGAGACACAGAGAGACACACACAGAGACACACACAGAGACACACACAGAGACACACAGAGACACACAGAGAGACACACACAGAGACACACACAGAGACACACAGAGAGACACACACAGAGACACACACACAGACACACACAGAGACACACACACTGACACACACAGAGACACACAGAGACACACAGAGAGACACACACAGAGACACACACAGAGAGACACACAGAGACACACACACAGAGAGACACACATTATATACATTGTGTACAATATACCTAACATAGTTCCTCAGCCTTTTCAGCTACAGCCTCAGTCCTGGGTCTACAGCCTCAGTCCTGGGTCTACAGCCTCAGTCCTGGGTCTACAGCCTCAGTCCTGGGTCTACAGCCTCAGTCCTGGGTCTACAGCCTCAGTCCTGGGTCTACAGCCTCAGTCCTGGGTCTACAGTCTCAGTCCTGGGTCTACAGCCTCAGTCCTGGGTCTACAGCCTCAGTCCTGGGTCTACAGCCTCAGTCCTGGGTCTACAGCCTCAGTCCTGGGTCTACAGCCTCAGTCCTGGGTCTACAGCCTCAGTCCTGGGTCTACAGCCTCAGTCCTGGGTCTACAGTCTCAGTCCTGGGTCTACAGCCTCAGTCCTGGGTCTACAGCCTCAGTCCTGGGTCTACAGCCTCAGTCCTGGGTCTACAGCCTCAGTCCTGGGTGTGTAGTGATGATATATAAAGCCTAGCGTACATCGGACTGGCAACTGATTATATCCGTCGCCTCTGAGTTGCTGCCCCGCACACATCGACAATCTGGCGAAAACGGGCAACTCTGAGTCGCAGGCCAGTCTCTTGAATAACAGCGCGTACATCGACAGCAACTGGCCTCAACTACAGTGTGTTTTCTGACATAAACTGTTGCGGGCTCGCAATACACGCAATACACACACGTTGTTGGAGCGGCGCATGGAGCGCGCACATCGGGGCAACTGAGGACAACTAGTTGCCGAAAAGTAGAACACGGGCAACTGACTGGAACTGGAGACCGACTGATCATCTCCAGTTGTAAGAGCGCTCACATCGACCGATTTCGGCAACTGATCATCTCCCACCATCTCCTCTCAGTTGCCAAAAGCCGCCTTGCAACTAGTTGTCCCCAGTTTCTCTGTCGATGTACGCTAGGTTTAAGACTCACCGCATGTCTCTTCCTGCAGGGGGCGCTGCTCTCACACTGGAGCACAGGATCTTTGGGCTGAAGGTCCCTGAGAGAGAGAAACATAGTGCAGCTTTAGGGCCTTGCGGTGACCAACGCGTTGCACGCGTTACACTAGGCTTTAGTCCCGGTTTATTTCAGAGATCTTCAGTTCACAAGAAAATGAGGTGAGAATCTCCTATTCTGACCCTGATCAGAAGTCTCCATACCCCAGTGTTAGCCTTTAACATTTATGACAGCCTGGAGTCTGCTGGTCTCTCTCTCTTTTTTTGGTCTCTCTCTCTCTGGTCTCTCTCTCTTTTTCTGGTCTCTCTCTCTCTTTTTCTGGTCTCTCTCTGGTCTTTCATAAACTCACCGGAGGGCGGAGCTGAGGGCCCTGAACCAATGGTTGAAGTCGCTCTGGTCACATGACATCAGCAACAGTTTGGTGTCAGGAAACGAGAGCTGGACATTATGCAAATGAGCCGTTAATAAAAAAGAAATCATGATAATGTCAAATCAATCGTCATAATTCAGTGTTTGGATGTGAACTCATTTAAAGCCGAGGTACGTGATTTTAAAGCTGTGACACTCCCCTACTGTGGCTCAGAAGGCCCCTCCCCTCCTGTGTCACTCACACTGAGAAGGCCCCTCCCCTCCTGTGTCACACTCAGAAGGTCCCTCCCCTCCTGTGTCACCGACCCTCAAAAGGCCCCTCCCCTCCTGTGTCAATCACACTCAGAAGGCCCCCCTCCCCTCAGTGTTACTCTCAGAAGTCCCCTCCCCTCAGTGTCACTCACACTCAGAAGGCCCCCCCCCCCTCAGTGTTACTCTCAGAAGGCCCCTCCCCTCAGTGTCACTCACTCTCAGAAGGCCCCTCCCCTCCTGTGTCACACTCAGAAGGCCCCTCCCCTCCTGTGTCACACTCAGAAGACCCCTCCCCTCCTGTGTCACTCACACTCAGAAGGCCCCTCCCCTCCTGTGTCACTCACACTCAGAAGGCCCCCCTCCCCTCCTTTGTGGCCGAAGACCTTCTCCAGACCACAGTCCTTGAGGGGGAAGACTCGCTGCAGTTCCAGGTGGTCACCACCGGACAGAGAGAGGGCGCTAGAGCGACGCGTCTGCAGCAACACGTCCGACATGAGGAAGAACAGCTGCAGTTTGCCCTCGGAGCCTCTGGGGGGCACCACCTTCAGCCAGCCCTCACGCAGGAACCACCGCCCTGTGGACAACTGTCAGCTTCAGTCTCTCCCACCCGGTCTCTGCTCCTCCACCTGGTCTCTGCTCCTCCACCTGGTCTCTGCTCCTCCACCTGGTCTCTGCTCCTCCACCTGGTCTCTGCTCCTCCACCCGGTCTCTGCTCCTCCACCCGGTCTCTGCTCCTCCACCCGGTCTCTGCTCCTCCACCCGGTCTCTGCTCCTCCACCCGGTCTCTGCTCCTCCACCCGGTCTCTGCTCCTCCACCCGGTCTCTGCTCCTCCACCCGGTCTCTGCTCCTCCACCCGGTCTCTGCTCCTCCACCCGGTCTCTGCTCCTCCACCCGGTCTCTGCTCCTCCACCCGGTCTCTGCTCCTCCACCCGGTCTCTGCTCCTCCACCCGGTCTCTGCTCCTCCACCCGGTCTCTGCTCCTCCACCCGGTCTCTGCTCCTCCACCCGGTCTCTGCTCCTCCACCCGGTCTCTGCTCCTCCACCCGGTCTCTGCTCCTCCACCCGGTCTCTGCTCCTCCACCTGGTCTCTGCTCCTCCACCTGGTCTCTGCTCCTCCACCTGGTCTCTGCTCCTCCACCTGGTCTCTGCTCCTCCACCTGGTCTCTGCTCCTCCTCCACCTGGTCTCTGCTCCTCCACCTGGTCTCTGCTCCTCCACCTGGTCTCTGCTCCTCCACCTGGTCTCTGCTCCTCCACCTGGTCTCTGCTCCTCCACCTGGTCTCTGCTCCTCCACCTGGTCTCTGCTCCTCCACCTGGTCTCTGCTTCTCCACCTGGTCTCTGCTCCTCCACCTGGTCTCTGCTCCTCCACCTGGTCTCTGCTCCTCCACCTGGTCTCTGCTCCTCCACCTGGTCTCTGCTCTCACCTGGTCTCTGCTCTCACCTGGTCTCTGCTCTCACCTGGTCTCTGCTCTCACCTGGTCTCTGCTCTCACCTGGTCTCTGCTCTCACCTGGTCTCTGCTCTCACCTGGTTGGATGATCCTGGTCTTTGGTCTCAGGACTCTCTGGATGTTCTGCAGATAAAGTAAGTTCTCTTCACGTCGACTGTTCTCTCTGATCCTGAGGCTGAGGTCGGACAGCAACACAACCACTCCTGGAGGAACACACACACACATAGACATAGACACACACAGACATAGACACAAAGAGACACACACAGACATGGACACACACATACAGAGACACACACACACACACAGGAGACACACACACACACACAGAGACACGCACACACACACAGAGACACACACACACACACACACAGACAGCTTTAAAACAAACAGTTGCTACTTCAAGGATTGTTATTTTTTATAACACTTCACCTGTGATGAACAGGGACCAGTGTACCTGTGGTACCTGTGGTACTTGTGGTACTTGTGGTACTTGTGGTACTTGTGGTACTTGTGGTACTTGTGGTACCTGTAGTAAATGTAGTACTTGTGGTACCTGTAGTAATGTAGTACTTGTGGTACCTGTAGTACTTGTGGTACCTGTAGTAAATGTAGTACTTGTGGTACCTGTAGTACTTGTGGTACCTGTAGTAATGTAGTACTTGTGGTACCTGTAGTACTTGTGGTACCTGTAGTACTTGTGGTACCTGTAGTACTTGTGGTACCTGTAGTACTTGTGGTACCTGTAGTACTTGTGGTACCTGTAGTAATGTAGTACTTGTGGTACCTGTAGTACTTGTGGTACCTGTAGTAATGTAGTACTTGTGGTACCTGTAGTACTTGTGGTACCTGTAGTAATGTAGTACTTGTGGTACCTGTAGTACTTGTGGTACCTGTAGTAATGTAGTACTTGTGGTACCTGTAGTAATGTAGTACTTGTGGTACCTGTAGTAATGTAGTACTTGTGGTACCTGTAGTAATGTAGTACTTGTGGTACCTGTAGTAATGTAGTACTTGTGGTACCTGTAGTAATGTAGTACTTGTGGTACCTGTAGTAATGTAGTACTCGTGGTACCTGTAGTAATGTAGTACTTGTGGTACCTGTAGTAAATGTAGTACTTGTGGTACCTGTAGTAATGTAGTACTCGTGGTACCTGTAGTAATGTAGTACTCGTGGTACCTGTAGTAATGTAGTACTTGTGGTACCTGTAGTAATGTAGTACTTGTGGTACCTGTAGTAATGTAGTACTTGTGGTACCTGTAGTACTTGCAGTACCAGTGTACAAACTTTCTTACGTGAGAGCGCAGTGAAGTCCTGGTGCTGTGGGCTGGTGTTAGAGGTCAGCTCCTCCAAGAACACATGGTACCTGAGGAAGAACACAAGGTCTGTCTCTCTGGTCTCTCCCTCTGGTCTCTCCCTCTGGTCTCTCCCTCTGGTCTCTCCCTCTGGTCTGTCTCTCTGGTCTCTCCCTCTGGTCTCTCCCTCTGGTCTCTCCCTCTGGTCTCTCCCTCTGGTCTCTCCCTCTGGTCTCTCCCTCTGGTCTCTCCCTCTGGTCTCTCCCTCTGGTCTGTCTCTCTGGTCTCTCCCTCTGGTCTGTCTCTCTGGTCTCTCCCTCTGGTCTCTCCCTCTGGTCTCTCCCTCTGGTCTCTCCCTCTGGTCTCTCCCTCTGGTCTGTCTCTCTGGTCTCTCCCTCTGGTCTCTCCCTCTGGTCTCTCCCTCTGGTCTCTCCCTCTGGTCTCTCCCTCTGGTCTCTCCCTCTGGTCTGTCTCTCTGGTCTCTCCCTCTGGTCTGTCTCTCTGGTCTCTCCCTCTGGTCTCTCCCTCTGGTCTCTCCCTCTGGTCTCTCCCTCTGGTCTCTCCCTCTGGTCTCTCCCTCTGGTCTCTCCCTCTGGTCTCTCCCTCTGGTCTCCCTCTGGTCTCCCTCTGGTCTCTCCCTCTGGTCTCTCCCTCTGGTCTCTCCCTCTGGTCTCTCCCTCTGGTCTCTCCCTCTGGTCTCTCCCTCTGGTCTGTCTCTCTGGTCTCTCTCTCTGGTCTCTCCCTCTGGTCTCGCCCTCTGGTCTCGCCCTCTGGTCTCGCCCTCTGGTCTCGCCCTCTGGTCTCCCTCTGGTCTCCCTCTGGTCTCCCTCTGGTCTCCCTCTGGTCTCCCTCTGGTCTCACTGTATAGCCCTGGTCAGGGGTAGTTCCAGTAGGTCTTCCAGCTTCAGTTCATTAAACTCCACACGACCTTCTTGAAGCTTCTTAAAGCGACGAAACGCTTTGCTCTTTTTCACCTGCGTCTGGAACAAAAGTGTAAACATACAGAGGTTTAGGTCCTGATTTGGTCCTGATTTAGTCCCGCTTTGGTCCCTCTTTGGTCCCGCTTTGGTCCCGCTTTAGTCCCGCTTTGGTCCTGCTTTAGACCTGCTTTAGACCTGCTTTAGTCCCGCTTTAGTCCCGCTTTGGTCCCGCTTTAGTTCCGCTTTAGTCCCGCTTTAGTCCCGCTTTAGTCCCGCTTTAGTCCCGCTTTAGTCCCGCTTTAGTCCCGCTTTAGTCCCGCTTTAGTCCCGCTCTAGACCTGCTCTAGACCTGCTTTAGTCCTGCTTTAGACCTGCTTAAGATCTGCTTTAGTCCCGCTTTAGACCTGCTTTAGTCCCGCTTTAGTCCCGCTTTAGTCCCGCTTTAGTCCCGCTTTAGTCCCGCTTTAGTCCCGCTTTAGTCCCGCTTTAGTCCCGCTTTAGTCCCGCTCTAGACCTGCTCTAGACCTGGTTTAGTCCTGCTTTAGACCTGCTTAAGATCTGCTTTAGTCCCGCTTTAGACCTGCTTTAGTCCCGCTTTAGTCCCGCTTTGGTCCCGCTTTAGTCCCGCTTTAGTCCCGCTTTAGTCCCGCTTTAGTCCCGCTTTAGTCCCGCTTTAGTCCCGCTTTAGTCCCGCTTTAGTCCCGCTTTAGTCCCGCTTTAGTCCCGCTTTAGTCCCGCTCTAGACCTGCTCTAGACCTGGTTTAGTCCTGCTTTAGACCTGCTTAAGATCTGCTTTAGTCCTGCTTTAGTCCTGCTTTGGTCCCGCTTTGGTCCCGCTTTGGTCCCGCTTTGGTCCCGCTTTAGTCCCGCTTTGGTCCCGCTTTAGTCCTGCTCTAGACCTGCTCTAGACCTGCTTTAGACCTGCTTTAGTCCTGCTTTAGACCTGCTTAAGATCTGCTTTAGTCCTGCTTTAGACCTGCTCTAGACCTGCTCTAGACCTGCTCTAGACCTGCTTTAGACCTGCTTTAGACCTGCTTTAGTCCTGCTTTAGTCCTGCTTTAGTCCTGCTTTAGTCCTGCTTTAGTCCTGCTTTAGTCCTGCTTTAGACCTGCTTTAGTCCTGCTTTAGTCCAGACTGGTACAAACCCGTAGCGCCCTCTGGGAGTCGTAGAAGTCATCTGCATACTGCTTGTAGTGATGAAGTTCTGAACAGAACTGATCAAAACCTCGGCTCAAAAACCCATTCTCCAAATGAACCAGCAGAGACCTGAGACAGAAGACCAGAGACCTGAGACCAGAGGGAGACCAGAGGGAGACCAGAGAGAGACCAGAGAGACACCAGAGAGAGACCAGAGAGAGACCAGAGAGAGACCAGAGAGAGACCAGAGAGAGACCAGAGAGAGACCAGAGAGAGACCAAAGACAGACCAGAGAGAGACCAAAGACAGACCAGAGAGAGAGACCAGAGAGAGCCCAGAGAGAGACCAGAGAGACCAGAGAGACCAGAGAGAGACCAGAGAGAGACCAGAGAGAGAGACCAGAGAGACCAGAGAGACCAGAGAGACCAGAGAGAGACCAGAGAGACCAGAGAGAGACCAGAGAGAGAACAGAGAGAGAGACCAGAGAGAGAGACCAGAGAGAGAGACCAGAGAGAGAGACCAGAGAGAGAGACCAGAGAGACCAGAGAGACCAGAGAGACCAGAGAGACCAGAGAGAGAGACCAGAGAGAGACCGGAGAGAGAGACCAGAGAGAGAGAGACCAGAGAGAGACCAGAGAGAGACCAGAGAGACCAGAGAGACCAGAGAGAGACCAGAGAGAGACCAGAGAGACCAGAGAGACCAGAGAGAGACCAGAGAGAGAACAGAGAGAGACCAGAGAGAGAGACCAGAGAGAGAGACCAGAGAGAGACCAGAGAGAGAGACCAGAGAGAGAGACCAGAGAGAGAGACCAGAGAGAGAGACCAGAGAGAGAGACCAGAGAGAGAGACCAGAGAGAGAGACCAGAGACAGAGACCAGAGAGAGAGACCAGAGAGAGAGACCAGAGAGAGACCAGAGAGAGAACAGAGAAAGACCAGAGAGAGAACAGAGAGATAGACCAGAGAGAGAGACCAGAGAGAGACCAGAGAGAGACCAGAGAGAGAGACCAGAAAGAGACACCAGAGAGAGACCAGAGACAGACCAGAGACAGAGACCAGAGAGAGAGACCAGAGACAGACCAGAGAGAGACCAGAGAAAGACCAGAGGGAGACCAGAGAGGGACCAGAGAGAGACCAGAGACCAGAGGGAGGGACCAGAAAAGAGAGTCTCACTGGTTCAGGTTGTGTATCTCTCGGCTGGAGCTGAAGACCTTCTTTCTCACGTCTGCTTTCAGAGTTCCTTTAGCCTCCAGGAGCTCCACAAAGTACTGAAAACACACACACAAACACAGACAGACACAGACAGACAGACACACAAACACAGACAGACAGACACACAGACAGACAGACAGACACACAAACACAGACAGACACACAGACACACACACAGACACACAAACACGGACAGACACAGACAGACACACAGACAGACACACAAACACGGACAGACACAGACAGACACACAAACACAGACAGACGGACACAGACAGACAGACACACAAACACAGACAGACGGACACAGACACACAAACACAGACAGACAGACAGACACACACACAGACAGACGGACACAGACAGACACACAAACACAGACAGACAGACAGACACACAAACACAGACAGACAGACAGACACACAAACACAGACAGACACACAGACACACACACACACACACACAAACAGACACACACAGACAGACACACAAACACACACAGACACAGAGAGACACACAAACACACAAACACTTTAGTCAAATCAGTTTTTCTGACAATAGAAAATACATGATTATAAATGAACTCTTCTATAACAATAATAATAATAAATAGTGGTTACCGTGGTGACGAGCCTCAGCTGAGCACAGTAGGTTCTCTCTGTCTGCAGCAGCTCTGTGGACGTCCTGATGCACCTCTGCTCCCACCGCTGCCTCTGCGCCTGGATACTGCTGATACTGCTGCTGGGAGTACTGTGAGAAGTACTGTGAGGAGTACTGTGAGAAGTACTGTGAGAAGTACTGTGAGGAGTACTGTGAGAAGTACTAGTGCTGCAGGGAGGAGGGCTCGGTCTCATCTTGACGCTCACCACTGCTCCTAAACACAAATGTGATAAATGTAATATACAGTACTACTACATACAAATACTAATACTGTGGTTGAAGCTGGGGTACGTTAACTTTAAAGCTGGGGTACGTAACTTTAAAGCTGGGGTACGTAACTTTAAAGCTGGGGTACGTAACTTTAAAGCTGGGGTACGTAACTTTAAAGCTGGGTTAGTTCTCTAGTTCTTGGCTATAAAACAGAATATTCCATCACATACAGTGCCTTGCGAAAGTATTCGGCCCCCTTGAACCTTTCAACATTTCGCCACATTTCAGGCTTCAAACATAAAGATATAAAACATTTATTTTTTGTCATGAATCAACAACAAGTGGGACACAATCGTGAAGTGGAACGAAATTTATTGGATAATTTAAACTTTTTTAACAAATAAAAAACTGAAAAGTGGGGCGTGCAATATTATTCGGCCCCTTTACTTTCAGTGCAGCAAACTCAGTCCAGAAGTTCAGAGAGGATCTTTGAATGATCCAATGTTGTCCTAAATGACTGATGATGATAAATAGAATGCACCTGTGTGTAATCAAGTCTCTGTATAAATGCACCTGCTCTTTGATAGTCCCAGGGTTCTGTTTAAAGCACAGAGAGAACCATGAAGACAAAGGAACACACCAGGCAGGTCCGAGATACTGTTGTGGAGAAGTTTAAAGCCGGATTTGGACACAAAAAGATTTCCCAAGCTTTAAACATCTCAAGGAGCACTGTGCAAGCAATTATATTGAAATGGAAGGAGTATCAGACCACTGCAAATCTACCAAGACCTGGCCGTTCCTCCAAACTTTCATCTCAAACAAGGAGAAGACTGATCAGAGATGCAGCCAAGAGGCCCATGATCACTCTGGATGAACTGCAGATAACTACAGCTGAGGTGGGAGAGTCTGTCCATAGGACAACAATCAGTCGTGCACTGCACAAATCTGGCCTTTATGGAAGAGTGGCAAGAAGAAAGCCATTTCTCAAAGATATCCATAAAAAGTCTGGTTTAAAGTTTGCCACAAGCCACCTGGGAGACACACCAAACATGTGGAAGAAGGTGCTCTGGTCAGATGAAACCAAAATCAAACTTTTTGGCCACAATGCAAAACGATATGTTTGGCGTAAAAGCAACACAGCTCATCACCCTGAACACACCATCCCCACTGTCAAACATGGTGGTGGCAGCATCATGCTTTGGGTCTGCTTTTCTTCAGCAGGGACAGGGAAGATGGCTAAAATTGATGGGAAGATGGATGGAGCCAAATATAGGACCATTCTGGAAGAAAACCTGTTGGAGTCTGCAAAAGACCTAATAATAATAATAATAATAATACATCAAACTTGTATAGCGCTTTTTTGGACACTCAAAGACGCTTCACATGGGGAGTAGAATACAATAATAAAAAGGGGTTTACGGAAAAGCTTGTTTGAAAAGATGGGTTTTGAGACTGATTTAAAGTTTGATAGTGAGTCAGAGTTTCTAATGGGCAGTGGGAGTGAGCTCCAGAGGGTTGGGGCGGCAATGGCAAAAGCTCTGTCCCCCAAGGTTCGGCGGTTAGTGGGGGTGATGGGGGTGAGGAGGTTGGAGTCGGCTGAGCGAAGGTGGCGGGTGGGTTGGTGCTGCTGTAGGAGCTCAGTAAGGTAGGGCGGGGCCAGGTTATGGAGGGACTTGTAGATGAGGAGGAGGAGCTTGTAATGGATGCGGTATTGAACGGGAGCCAGTGGAGCTGCTGGAGGACAGGGGTGATGTGTTCTCTGGACCGGGGGTGGGTGAGGATGCGGGCTGCAGAGTTCTGGATGTATTGCAGTTTTTGGAGATGAGTGGTGGGAAGTCCGTAGAGGAGGCTGTTGCAGTAGTCGAGTCTGGAGGTGATGAATGAGTGGATGAGGATTTGGGCTGTTGACTGGGTAAGGGAGGGGCGGAGGCGGGCAATGTGGCGGAGGTGGAAGAAGGAGGTTTTGGTGATGTGTTTGATGTGGGTTTGGTATGAGAGGGTGGAGTCCAATATGATGCTAAGGTTGCGTACAGAGGATGAGGGGGTGACAATGTGACCGTCGATGAGGAGGGCGAAGTTCTGGACAGAGGGCAGGAGAGTTTTGGGGCTGATGATGAGGAGTTCTGTTTTGTTACTGTTGAGATTGAGAAGGTTATTGTCCATCCAGGTTTTAATGTCGGAGATGCAATTTTCGATGGTGGAGCGAATGACCGGGGTGATGGATTTTGTGGAGATGTAGAGTTGAGTGTCGTCGGCATAACAGTGGAAATGGAGTCCATGATGGAGGATGATCTGACCGAAGGGAAGCATGTAGATGGTGAAGAGGAGAGGGCCGAGCACGGAACCTTGGGGGACACCATGGGTGACGGGGGAAGTGTGGGACTTGCAATTGTTGACAGACACGAAGTGGAGACGATTGGAGAGGTAAGAGGTGAACCAGAGGAGTGCTGTGCCAGAAATGCCAATGGATTGTAGACGGTGGAGGAGGATGGAATGGTCTATTAAGATAAGATAAGATAAGATAAACCTTTATTAGTCTCACAGTGGAGAAATTTCAGTGTCATCGTTGCACATTACAGCAGAGAAAGGAAATAAGAGCACTCAGATTGCACACATCAAAGTCTATTATTTAAGATAATAGACAATAAATTTAAGATAAAATAAAATAAAATAAGAGACTCTGGCCTATAATTGCACTTGGTTCGGAGTATTTACAGATGTCTATATTATACATTAGCCGCGGAGAATATGAGAATATGAATATGAGCAGAATAAACATCAGAAATAATATCAACAGGTAAAGTGACTTGAATGGGAGAATTATCAGATGGATATGAATAATACAGTAAGATATCAACAGGTAAAGTGACGGTGAAAGACAGAATTATCAGATATGAAATAATACAGTAGCACTGATAACAGTAAATATCAGATATGTAGTACTGTAGTAGTACTGATAACAGGTAAAGTGACTAGTGACAAAGTTACTAGTGAATTATCAGAAACACTTGTGCAGACTCAGCAGTTCCTGTTACACATTCTCGTTGTACAGTCTGACAGCAGCAGGAAGGAAAGACCTGCGAAACCTCTCCTTCACACATCGAGGGTATTGTGTCAAATGCAGCGGAGATCGAGGAGAAGTGACCTGAGACTGGGACGGAGATTTATCTTCCAACAGGACAATGATCCAAAACATAAAGCCAAATCTACAATGGAATGGTTCACAAATAGACGTATCCAGTAGGGATGGGCATCGATTTTCGAATATTCGAATAGTCGTTAAATCATAAAAAATCGAATAGTGTACCATATCTGGAGGGGGGAAAAAATGGTATTACTGGCGGCTTCCGCACGGGGGCAGCGTACCATTTGACGATACACAGTGGCGGGCTACATGCAGATCGATCCCATGGACTGGTGGAAAACTAACAAAAACAAATATCCTCAGCTGGCAAAATTAGCGAGTGCATACTTGTGTGTGCCCGCCACATCTGTGCCGTCGGAAAGGGTGTTTTCCACGGCGGGACTTATTGTAAACAGACTTCGTTCCCGTCTTCATCCCGTGCATGTGGACATGCTGATCTTTCTGAATAAAAACTTGGATTAGGCTTGAACTATTTTTCGGATTATGAGGACGAGCATGTTAAAAAATGTTCACGTCAGCAATGCTGTCTCTCAGGTATGTTTAGTAAAATGTTCAACATTTATATAATTATTGTTTGAAGTCTCCGCACTTTGTTAATTGTTTGACGTGACGACGGTATTATTGGGTGATTTATGAAGGAAAACCCGGTCCGCACACGCACCTTTTGTATTGTATATAATATCCTGTTTGTTTAATGGGATTAAAGACAGAAAACGGTTCTATAATGTTGTGCTGTGAATTGCATCCACTGTCAAAATAAAAAAGAAAGAGAATTAAAGCCGCAAGCGGCATCTAACGGCCCTCGCCGCACCGCGCAAAGGAGGTGGCGCTGACGCGCCATTTTCCTACCCCCCTGATGGGAGCGACACTGTGTAATTTTACTTTCTATGATTAGTGATTGTGTTTCTCTATTCAAAAGATATACCTCTTTCTCCCCATGTAACACTTGTATCAGTCTGTAGGGGGCGCTATTGTTGCAATATCATGATTCACACCTTCAGTTTACCCAAACCCGAGAGCTGAACAATCAATTCAAATTTTGTGCAAATCGGACTTTGTATGTGCAAATGGTGGCATTTAATGTTGTACAATAGCGCCCCCTACAATTTCATTTTATTAGTGTTATACCAAAGGACACCAAATAATACACTTCATGCCTGAAAAAAACTTGTGGCAAAGTTTGGTGATTTTTTATGTTTGTTATGTGGGTCAAATATGAGATCAAACAACAGAAAACCTAAATACCTGTATCCCCATGTAAACCTTTAGTCAGCCTGTAGGGGGCGCTAATGGGACAATGTCATTGTTCACACTGTCATGTGACCTAGGCCCAGGAGTTGAACAATAGAGTCAAGTTTAGTGCTGAGTTTGTAAATGTGCTCCTGTTTGCACATACAATCTGTGAGTGTGTCCATACAGTCTCCATTGGATAACATGGGAACTTCACACCTCTCTATGAAAATGACCACACTTTGGGAGTCTGTCACGCTCAGACCGTTTGACAAATTAAAACTCTATATGCAACTATTGATGGTCCATGTGTTGAGACGATGTAGAATGATTTTCAGACAAATTAGTGACACGGCCGAGGCTGGTTTGATGTTTGAGCGAGGTGTACTTTTCAGAGATTTAACAATTTTCTCATAGACACAGACAGGGGAGTGTTTGTCGTCGCCACGGCAACAGGGTAAAAAATAATCATATGTTGTCATTGACTTTTTTAATCCAGATGACGAAACAGAATTATGTGAAAAATTTCAAACATTTTGAAAAAACTAAATTTTATTAGGCCCATGTAAATCTTTGACATAGTCTGTAGGGGGCGCTAATGAGTCAATTTCAATATTTCCACTTTCAAATGACCTAGACCCTGGAGCTGAACAATGGATTAAAATTTTGTGCAAATCTGACTATTTTTGTGCAAATGGGAGCAAATTTACTTTTGTCAAAAATTGGAAAAAACATGTCACATTTTGCCGCTCCGCTGCTCGGACAACGTTTAACTGATCCAAATTCTATATTCAATAATAGATCGGACATGGGTTTAGACCATGTGGAGCGATTTTGAGACAAATCGGTGAAGCGGCCGAGGAGGAGATAATTTCCAGCCGACATGTGTGAAAAAGATCAATTTTAATTTTTCCATTTTCCAATTAAATTAATGAGCTTCCCGTTTGTCAGGGGGCGGAGCCATAATAACTTTTTTTTCATGTCTTGACCTGAGGAACATGTGTACCGAATTTCGTGGCTCTACGACAAACTTGACCTCCGACCCCCTCCCATAGGCGCAATGTAAACTGACTTTTGTAGGGGGCGCTGTTCTGGTATTTTTTTAGTCCCATAAAAATAAACACCAAAAAAATTAATTTTTCGCCGGTTCTGAATTTTGGGCAAAATTTCACAAGTTTTCATCAATGTTCAGGGGGTCAAATTAAGGTTCAAAGTGCAGAAGAAAAAAGAAATAATAAATAATAAATAAATAAGGAATTTTTTTTTGAAATCTTCGAGCAAAAACAATATAGGTTTCCATAGTAACCTATAATACAAATGATACGTCGTTTTAAAGCGAACGACCAGACGAACGCAACTATTGGGTTCTCGGTGATTGACGAGCGCTGACGCGCTCGTCAATCACCTCGCCATCATGAGGTCACCCACCCCCCCCATAGGACCCCATTGATTACACTGTGTACTACAGCAGGAGCAAAGCCATTCAGTGCCTCCGGCACTGTTTTGTCAGTGTCTGGGCACGCGCCGTCGGGCTTGGGGGACGAATGTCCGGGCTTCGCCCGGACATTCGTCCGTAAGACAGTTGAAGGAACCCCCCTTTAATAGGACCTCAATCATTTCACTGTGTACTACAGCAGGAGCAAAGCCATTCCGTGCCTCCGGCACGGATTTATCAGTGCTTGGGCACGTGCCGTTACGTGCAGGTCACAATCTCCGGGCTGTGCCCGGAGATTGTGACTTATGACAGTTCAACGAGTAATGCCTGGGCTTCGCCCAGGCATTACTCGTTGGAAAAGCAATAGGCCCTTACCCCGGTTGGGGCTCGGGCCTAAAAATCGTGGATCTATATCTGTTTCCGCAGCGGTGGGTGTTGGGGGCAGTCTGGCGGCAGTTATTGTCGAATATTCGAATATTGATGATTAGTACCCCACGATTATCGAATAGTACTTTTGCTTTAAATGCACATCCCTAGTATCCAGGTGTTAGAATGGCCAAGTCAAAGTCCAGACCTGAATCCAATCGAGAATCTGTGGAAAGAGCTGAAGACTGCTGTTCACAAACGCTCTCCATCCAACCTCACTGAGCTCCAGCTGTTTTGCAAGGAAGAATGGGAAAGAATTCCAGTCTCTCGATGTGCAAAACTGATAGAGACATACCCCAAGTGACTTGCAGCTGTAATTGCAGCAAAAGGTGGCGCTACAAAGTATTAGCGCAAGGGGCCGAATAATATTGCACGCCCCACTTTTCAGTTTTTTATTTGTTAAAAAAGTTTAAATTATCCAATAAATTTTGTTCCACTTCACAATTGTCTCCCACTTGTTGTTGATTCTTGACAAAAAATAAATGTTTTATATCTTTATGTTTGAAGCCTGAAATGTGGCGAAATGTTGAAAGGTTCAAGGGGGCCGAATACTTTCGCAAGGCACTGTATGTTTGGCCTCTGTCACATCTTTAGAGGAGAGGACCAGCCTCACTCAGCCAATCAGCTCTGAGCCCAAAGAGTCAAATAGTGACTCACACAAAAGACAAAGATCATGTCGAGTCTGGTTCGTTCACATTTTAGTTTAAGACAACAGTGTTATTTATGTGAATAAGTTAGACCTAGAGAGACCAGAGAGAGACCACAGAGAGAGACCAGAGAGAGACCAGAGAGAGACCACAGAGAGACCACAGAGAGACCAGAGAGAGACCACAGAGAGACCAGAGAGAGACCACAGAGAGACCACAGAGAGACCAGAGAGAGACCACAGAGAGAGACCAGAGAGACCAGAGAGAGACCAGAGAGAGACCACAGAGAGAGACCAGAGAGAGACCAGAGAGAGACCAGAGAGAGACCAGAGAGAGACCAGAGAGAGACCAGAGAGAGACCAGAGAGAGACCAGAGAGAGACCACAGAGAGAGACCAGAGAGAGAGACCAGAGAGAGAGACCAGAGAGAGAGACCAGAGAGAGACCAGAGAGAGACCAGAGAGAGACCAGAGAGAGACCAGAGAGAGACCACAGAGAGAGACCACAGAGAGAGACCAGAGAGAGACCAGAGAGAGACCAGAGAGAGACCACAGAGAGAGACCACAGAGAGAGACCACAGAGAGAGACCACAGAGAGAGACCAGAGAGAGACCAGAGAGAGACCACAGAGAGAGACCACAGAGAGAGACCAGAGAGAGACCAGAGAGAGAGACCAGAGAGAGTAAGTAGTAAGTAAGTAATGTTTATTTATATACCGCCTTTCACAGACAAGGGTCACAAAGCGGTTTACAATTGTTATTATTTTTTTGGGCACTTGTCTCTCACTCCAGACAGAGATGGGAGCGGGGCCAGTACAGGAGGCGCATGCCAGACCTATTCTGAGAGACCACAGAGAGACCACAGAGAGACCACAGAGAGACCACAGAGAGAGACCAGAGAGACCAGAGAGAGACCAGAGAGAGACCACAGAGAGAGACCAGAGAGAGACCAGAGAGAGAGACCAGAGAGAGACCAGAGAGAGACCAGAGAGAGACCAGAGAGAGACCAGAGAGAGACCACAGAGAGAGACCAGAGAGAGACCACAGAGAGACCACAGAGAGAGACCAGAGAGAGACCAGAGAGAGACCAGAGAGAGACCAGAGAGAGACCACAGAGAGAGACCAGAGAGAGACCAGAGAGAGACCAGAGAGAGACCAGAGAGAGACCACAGAGAGAGACCACAGAGAGAGACCAGAGAGAGAGACCAGAGAGAGACCAGAGAGAGACCAGAGAGAGACCACAGAGAGAGACCAGAGAGAGACCAGAGAGAGACCAGAGAGAGCCCAGAGAGAGACCAGAGAGAGACCAGAGAGAGACCACAGAGAGAGACCAGAGAGAGACCAGAGAGAGACCAGAGAGAGACCAGAGAGAGACCAGAGAGAGAGACCAGAGAGAGACCAGAGTGAGACCACAGAGAGACCAGAGAGAGACCAGAGTGAGACCACAGAGAGACCACAGAGAGACCACAGAGAGACCACAGAGAGACCAGAAAAGTCACATTCGCGAAAATCCAGGGACTTTGATCTAAACTCTTCCACGACCCGTGACGTCACCGTGTGTTTTTGCATATATCTCGAGTATATTTAGCATATTTCTCGTGTGTTTCTCGTATGTTTTTGCGACAGACCTGTTTTCCTGTTTGTTTTCCTCTTGAATCTTGAATCTCGGCGGTTTTTTGCTTCATTTCCGCATTTCTCTTCGGGGCGCGGAGGGACGGCGCTGATTGGTCCGCCGTCCGTAACACGGAAGTATAAAGAAAGCTTGGATTGGACAGTTCACATAAAGGCCCCGCCCCCAGAGAGTGTGGCAGTTATTAAAATCTAAAGTCAAATTGACACATGTTTAAAGCTCAGGTCTGTAACTTTAGTCTGAATAACACATGTTTAAAGCTCAGGTCTGTAACTTTAGTCTAAATAACACATGTTTAAAGCTCAGGTCTGTAACTTTAGTCTGAATAACACATGTTTAAAGCTCAGGTCTGTAACTTTAGTCTGAATAACACATGTTTAAAGCTCAGGTCTGTAACTTTAGTCTGAATAACACATGTTTAAAGCTCAGGTCTGTAACTTTAGTCTAAATAACACATGTTTAAAGCTCAGGTCTGTAACTTTAGTCTGAATAACACATGTTTAAAGCTCAGGTCTGTAACTTTAGTCTGAATAACACATGTTTAAAGCTCAGGTCTGTAACTTTAGTCTGAATAACACATGTTTAAAGCTCAGGTCTGTAACTTTAGTCTGAATAACACATGTTTAAAGCTGGGGTCTGTAAACCTCTGCACAAAGATCACATACCCCCCCCCCCCCCCCCCACACTAACCGCCCCCCATCCTGCACCCCCCCTCTTGGGCTCAGGGATTAAAGAGTGGGGGGGAGCAGGTGTGGCTCTGCAGATAAACTCTCATATGTGTTGTACTTTTTTCCACAACACACACACACACATACAGCCACACACACAGACACACACACACATACAGACACACACACACACACGGGCACATACACATACAGACACACACACACACACACAAATACAGACACACACACACACACACATACAGACACACACAGGCACATACACATACAGACACACACACACATACATACAGACACACACACACACACGCAGGCACACATACAGACACACGCACACACAGGCACATACACACACACAGGCACATACAGACAAACACACATACATAAATATACACACAATCACACACAGTCAGTCACACACACACAGTCACACACACGACTGAAGCCCAGAGAACTTCCACTAATTCATTGTGTGGTTGTGTAGCTGTGTAGCTGTGGATAGTTGTATAGTTGTATAGTTGTGTATTGGTGTGTGGTTGTGTAGCTGTGAGTAATTGTGTAAAGTTGTGTAGTTGTAGTGGAATAACATTGGTCCACTAAGTGTGAAATCTTTGGAGATACGTCAGTTGCCCTCTCTGCCTTGTGATTGGTTGTACGTAACTGTACGTACGCGTCACCTCACTATCTGATTGGTCATGCAGCGGGATGCGCGTGCGTGTATGCGCGTCACAGACAGCTGGACGCGTGTGGCAGACGCGGAGCGCGACGCGAAGGAGACGCGTTTCTTTGTCCCGAGAAAAAACGAGAGGAGAAGGAGAACTGGAGGAGGAGAACAGGAGGAGAAGAAGAAGAGGAGGCTGAGGGTGCAGAAGAGAGAGGTCAGAGGGGAGAGGAGGAGAGAGGAGGAGACTTCCCCCGCAGAGACCAAAGAGGAGCGAGGAGGGAGGACGCCTGTGCTCTTCTGTGTGGAAAGCAGAGGAGGCCAGAGGAGGCCAGAGGAGCGGAGTAGAAGGGGAGACCAGAGGAGAGGAGGTGCACGGGGTGAAGAGGCGCGCTTTACTGCGGCGGAGCGCGTGTCCAGGCTGCCGCACCTCCTCCGCACCTCCTCCGGTCCCTCGGTCACGGCTCCAGATGCAGAAGAGAGACAAGAGTTACGGTGAGAGCTGCGCGTGCGTGTGTGTGTGCACGTGTCCGCGGATGACCCCAGTGCACGGACGCGCTCAGACGCGGTCCACCGCGTGCCGCTGCCATGGCAACAGTCATTAGGAAACTGCGGACAGCGGCACTTTGAAGTGAGACGTGCACGTGCGTGTGTGAGCCAATCAGAGCTGTGCACGTGCATATGTGTACGTGGTCCGGATGTTTATCATCATCGTCACATGTGGGGGCAGTCATGACGTCATGACAGCATTGTGACGTCATGACGAGGAGACGAGAGTGATCAGAGATAGAGACCAGAGAGAGAGACCAGAGAGAGAGACCAGAGAGAGACTAGAGAGACCAGAGAGAGAGACCAGAGAGAGACTAGAGCGACCCGAGAGAGAGACCAGAGAGAGACTAGAGAGACCAGAGAGAGAGACCAGAGAGAGACCAGAGAGAGACTAGAGAGACCCGAGAGAGAGACCAGAGAGAGAGACCCGAGAGAGAGACCCGAGAGAGAGACCAGAGAGAGAGACCAGAGAGAGAGACCAGAGGGAGAGACCAGAGAGAGAGACCAGAGAGAGAGACCCCGAGAGAGAGACCCGAGAGAGAGACCAGAGAGAGAGAGAGAGAGACCAGAGAGAGAGACCAGAGAGAGAGACCAGAGAGAGAGACCAGAGAGAGAGAGAGAGACCAGAGAGAGAGACCCGAGAGAGAGACCCGAGAGAGAGACCAGAGAGAGACTAGAGAGACCAGCGAGAGAGACCCGAGAGAGAGACCAGAGAGAGAGACCAGAGAGAGACCCGAGAGAGACCAGAGAGAGAGACCCGAGAGAGACCAGAGAGAGAGACCCGAGAGAGACTAGAGAGAGACCAGAGAGAGACCAGGGAGAGAGACTAGAGAGAGAGACCAGAGAGAGAGACCCGAGAGAGACTAGAGAGAGACCAGAGAGAGACCAGAGAGTGTTAAAACATGTGTTTGATTCTATCGTCTGTGTTTGTGTGTGTGCATCTGTGTGCGTCTGTGTGTGTGTGTGTGTGTGTGTGTGCGTCTGTGTGTGTGTGTGAGTTGGTATTGTTGCTCTTTTCTTGAGTCTTAAACCAGAGACAATGAAGGAGATTAGTATTCACTACGCTCTCCCACCTCCCCCTGCGTAACACACACGCAGACACACACACACAGACACACGCACACACACACACAGAGACACACACACACACAGAGAGACACACATGCAGACACATGCACACACACACACAGACAGACGCACGCACACACACACACGCAGCCACACACACAGAGACACACACAGACGACGCACACACACACAAGCTGCAGATAGATCACAGTTGAATATAAATTTCTGTTCAAACTGTTTTATAGGCAAAACACAACTTAGTACTTTACACCTGTGTACAGACCTCACATTACACCTGTGTTACAGACCTCACATTACACCTGTGTTACAGACCTCACATTACACCTGTGTTACAGACCTCACATTACACCTGTGTTACAGATCTCACATTACACCTGTGTTACAGACCTCACATTACACCTGTGTTACAGACCTCACATTACACCTGTGTTACAGACCTCACATTACACCTGTGTACAGACCTCACATTACACCTGTGTTACAGACCTCACATTACACCTGTGTTACAGACCTCACATTACACCTGTGTTACAGACCTCACATTACACCTGTGTTACAGATCTCACATTACACCTGTGTTACAGACCTCACATTACACCTGTGTTACAGACCTCACATTACACCTGTGTAACAGACCTCACATTACACCTGTGTTACAGACCTCACATTACACCTGTGTTACAGACCTCACATTACACCTGTGTTACAGATCTCACATTACACCTGTGTTACAGACCTCACATTACACCTGTGTTACAGACCTCACATTACACCTGTGTTACAGACCTCACATTACACCTGTGTTACAGACCTCACATTACACCTGTGTTACAGACCTCACATTACACCTGTGTTACAGACCTCACATTACACCTGTGTTACAGATCTCACATTACACCTGTGTTACAGACCTCACATTACACCTGTGTTACAGACCTCACATTACACCTGTGTTACAGACCTCACATTACACCTGTGTTACAGACCTCACATTACCCCTGTGTTACAGACCTCACATTACACCTGTGTTACAGACCTCACGTTACACCTGTGTTACAGACCTCACATTACACCTGTGTTACAGACCTCACATTACACCTGTGTTACAGACCTCACATTACACCTGTGTTACAGACCTCACATTACCCCTGTGTTACAGACCTCACATTACACCTGTGTTACAGACCTCACATTACACCTGTGTAACAGACCTCACATTACACCTGTGTAACAGACTTCACATTACACCTGTGTACAGACCTCACATTACACCTCACATTACACCTGTGTTACAGACCTCACATTACATCTGTGTTACAGACCTCACATTACACCTGTGTTACAGACCTCACATTACACCTGTGTTACAGACCTCACATTACACCTGTGTACAGACCTCACATTACACCTGTGTTACAGACCTCACATTAAACCTGTGTTACAGACCTCACATTACACCTGTGGACAGACCTCACATTACACCTGTGTAACAGACCTCACATTACACCTGTGTTACAGACCTCACATTACACCTGTGTTACAGACCTCACATTACACCTGTGTTACAGACCTCACATTAAACCTGTGTTACAGACCTCACATTACACCTGTGGACCGACCTCACATTACACCTGTGTAACAGACCTCACATTACACCTCACATTACACCTGTGTACAGACCTCACATTACACCTCACATTACACCTGTGTTACAGACCTCACATTACACCTGTGTTACAGACCTCACATTACACCTGTGTTACAGACCTCACATTACACCTGTGTACAGACCTCACATTACACCTGTGTACAGACCTCACATTACACCTGTGTTACAGACCTCACATTACACCTGTGTTACAGACCTCACATTACACCTGTGTTACAGACCTCACATTACACCTGTGTTACAGACCTCACATTACACCTGTGTTACAGACCCCACATTACACCTGTGTTACAGACCTCACATTACACCTGTGTTACAGACCTCACATTAAACCTGTGTTACAGACCTCACATTACACCTGTGTTACAGACCTCACATTACACCTGTGTTACAGACCTCACATTACATCTGTGTTACAGACCTCACATTACACCTGTGTTACAGACCTCACATTACACCTGTGTACAGACCTCACATTACATCTGTGTTACAGACCTCACATTACACCTGTGTTACAGACCTCACATTACATCTGTGTTACAGACCTCACATTACATCTGTGTTACAGACCTCACATTACACCTGTGTACAGACCTCACATTACACCTGTGTTACAGACCTCACATTACACCTGTGTTACAGACCTCACATTAAACCTGTGTACAGACCTCACATTACACCTGTGTTACAGACCTCACATTACATCTGTGTTACAGACCTCACATTACACCTGTGTTTCACTCCTGCAGGGATCCAGATGCTGTCGGCACAGCCTGACCTGGCGCCCCGCGGCTGTGCCGGGTGTAAGAGGAAGATCCAGGACCGGTTCCTCCTTAAGGCTCTGGATCAGTTCTGGCACGAGGACTGTCTGAAGTGTGCGTGCTGCGAGTGCAGGCTCGGGGAGGTGGGCTCTACCCTCTACACCAAGGCCAACCTCATCCTGTGTAGGAGGGACTACCTCAGGTGAGGGAGGGACTACCTCATCCTGTGTAGGAGGGACTACCTCATCCTGTGTAAGAGGGACTACCTCATCCTGTGTAGGAGGGACTACCTCAGGTGAGGGAGGGACTACCTCATCCTGTGTAGGAGGGACTACCTCAGGTGAGGGAGGGACTACCTCATCCTGTGTAGGAGGGACTACCTCATCCTGTGTAAGAGGGACTACCTCATCCTGTGTAGGAGGGACTACCTCAGGTGAGGGAGGGACTACCTCATCCTGTGTAGGAGGGACTACCTCATCCTGTGTAAGAGGGACTACCTCATCCTGTGTAAGAGGGACTACCTCATCCTGTGTAAGAGGGACTACCTCATCCTGTGTAGGAGGGACTGCTGTCTGTCGGGTGTGTTTGTGTGTCTCTGTGTGTGTATTTGTGTGTGTGGGTGTGTTCTAATCTGACGCCTTGCTGGTTGTCTCAGGTTGTTTGGCGTTACGGGGACCTGTGCTGCCTGCAGTAAACTGATCCCTGCGTTTGAGATGGTGATGAGAGCGAGAGACAACGTGTATCATCTGGACTGTTTCTGCTGTCAACTCTGCAACCAGCGGTGAGCCAGGGGGGAGAGGGGGAGGGAGGGGAGAGGCATGAGGAAAAAAGGGGGAGAGGGAAGAGATGAGTCCTGCTTTAGTCCTGGTTTAGACCTGGCTTTCATAAATATTTGATGTGACTCACCCGGAGCCCAGAGCCGGTCTATAATTGGTCCATCAGGACTTAGACTGGCCCTGGGCTCAGGTCGAGTCCAGGACCCCTCCCCCTCTGCACTCCCCCACTGTGCCTCCGGGGGGCGCCATCATGAGTGGTGATAGAAGCAACTGTTTGAGTTTTATTGGTCTGAAAGCTGCAGACCTCAGCTTTTATTTATTTATTTATTTATTTGACAGGGACAGTACAAAAAAACATTGTCACCCACAGGTAACCCATGTGAAGTACACAAGGCTTCTAGCCAAAGGCTAATTTGCAGCCCCCGTCCCTGGTTAGGCTTTTGGAGAAAGCGAAGAAACAAGTTTTAAAAAAAGGGGAGAAAAGAACAACCACACATCAATAAAAATAACTGACCCCATTTGTCCATACTACATTCAGGTTTAGTGCTCACACTTCTGATTTTCCTTAACCTCTTAAGGATCACCCTCCCTGTACAGGGAGGATTCAGTTATTTTTCATCATAGTCAAGCTATATCTCTTTTGAAAGCTTATTCCCACCTCTATACACGTATTATGTTCAAATAAACATTAAATATAACCAAAAGTAAGAATAAGTAGTCAAACTGTATATATGTTTAAAATATATATTGTCGTTTCTTACCTTGTCATGCTAATATTCTGGGGCAAATCACGTCTAATCCACACATGTGGATGTTTGTTTTGTTCGTTAGGGTCTAGAGAATAATTATATCCAGTTGTTTTTTCTTCAAAGTCATCCTTATAGTAGATATCCACTTGCAACAACATATTTGAGTATTGAAAGTTGCACAAACAAAAACAAAACCTGTTCTTTGCGCACTGTATGAAGAGGACATTTTACTGTTTAGCTAGCGTCACTGGGTATGTTCGTCTTCCTCTCAGTCTTCCCTTCAAAACAAGCCCATTCCCGGACTTTTCAGTGCTATGGTTTGGAAGGTAGAGTAAGTTGAGTAAAACAAGCGCACCTAGATTTAGCGCTCCATTCACATAGATATCTGTGCGTCATGACAGCATTGTCTTGACTACCATTGGCCGATTTGGATGTCAATCAAATCATCTTGTAGCCAATAATCTCAGGTTTCAGGCGATGTGTCGGACTTCTAGCTTCCTCCCACTGTTCCCGTCATATTTGAATGCGTAAAGAGGAAGACTGAGCCTTTTTCACGGAGAACACGCGCTATAACTATATAAATAATAGCTTTTCTGCAAACATTTCAATATCTGGAAAAATTGCTATTTATAGCAAGAGTAATAGCCAAAAAATTATATAAATGGATTTTTGGTGTAAAAACATTGATAATTTGCATGTAAAACACTTTTGCACAGTTGGCACAAAAATGGACCACTTGTGCCGAATGTGCCCATTAGTTACAAAAAAGCCCCCAGCATCAAAATAGTTCCACCTAAAGGTCTAAAATTTCATACAGGTGTTTCCAACACCACGAACATCTGCTCTGGTGAGTTTGAACATCATACCATAAAGTATGTCTTCAGGAGAACCTTTTGAAATTGCCTTTTTTTTTTGAGACAAAAAAAACTAACTTTGACTCATGTTTGAGAAGCTGTAGTGCAGACTGGGTCCTTCCTAACAAACTGTAACATACATTTTCAGAAACTAGAAGGTGTTACCTTTCAAATGAGGCATCATAACACAAAATCAGACACAAGATGTCCACACAATAAGCATTTCCATTTGGGTATCATAATTCGAGAAGGAGCAGGCGAAATTAGGTGATCCTTAAGCCACTTTTTCAGTTTAGTGGAGAAAAGTCTAGTGTCCGACTGTGACTTCAGCTCCAGCGGCAAAGAGTCCCACAGATGTGAGGCCTTCATTGAGAATGCAGACTGACCCTGGTATGTGACCTTTAAAGTCACATACCACAGCTTTAAAGTCACATACCCCTGCTTTAAAGTCACATACCACAGCTTTAAAGTCACGTACCTCAGCTTTAAAGCTGTCTGTGTTTCAGGTTTTGTGTTGGAGATAAATTCTTCCTGAAGAACAACATGATCCTGTGTCAGAGCGACTACGAGGAGGGGCTTCTAAAGGACGGCTACAACCGCTGACCACACCCCCTGAGCTGACCACGCCCTCTGAGCTGATCACACCCCCTGAGCTGACCACGCCCCCTGAGTTGACCACGCCCCCTGAGCCGACCACGCCCCTATGGCCACTCCCCTGGACTTCCTGCTCCTGTAGGGGGCGCTGTGAACGTACAGAGTGACAGCACCATACAAGGACCAGAAAGAGACTGGGTTCTCTCGTCCTGGTATCTGTGGCGGCCATCTTCTGTTCCACAGGCGTGACATCACAGACGTGACATCACAGACGTGACATCACAGACGTGACATCACAGACGTGACATCATAGACGTGACATCACAGACGTGACATCACAGACGTGACCAGAAGTCAGAAACAAAACCTTGTTAATTAACAAATTTTGTCATTCTGTCATTCTGTGTACAGCCCTGCTTTAGACCCAGGACCGAGGCTGTAGACCCAGGACTGAGGCTTTAGACCCAGGACCGAGGCTGTAGACCCAGGACTGAGGCTGTAGACCCAGGACTGAGACTGTAGACCCAGGACTGAGGCTTTAGACCCAGGACCGAGGCTGTAGACCCAGGACTGAGGCTTTAGACCCAGGACCGAGGCTGTAGACCTAGGACTGAGGCTGTAGACCCAGGACTGAGGCTGTAGACCCAGGACTGAGGCTGTAGACCCAGGACTGAGGCTGTAGACCCAGGACTGAGACTGTAGACCCAGGAGTGAGGCTGTAGACCCAGGACTGAGGCTGTAGATCCATAATATTTATGTTTATCCAATCAGAGAGCAGCATGAGGCTCATTTGGGTGAAATTTGCTCTTTTTCTACAACATTCACAAACAAAAACAGTTTAAATGATGTCCTAACCCCAGCAGGTGGACTGCATCAGTAATCAGCGCTTAGAGCGGTGTCACAGGAGGGGATTCTGAACCTTGACTGTAGTGACTGTAGTGACCACCAGGGGGCACATTTGCAGTCATTTCCTGTTTTCAGTTGTTTGTTTTTTTTCATAAAATATTCACAATTTTCACTTTTTAAGTAAAAAAAATCTATTTATTTTTGTCATTTAAACTTTTGATTATTAATTTATATTTTGATTTGTTTGAACTGTTTTCTGCTGTTTGCATGTTCTGCCTGTGTCGCTCCTCTGTATAAAGATGTAAATACAGAACAGACTTTTTCTTTTTTTAGGGATTTGTACAAATGTAATAAAATTTACCAACATTCTGCCTGTTCCCATTTATAATGAGAGGCCAAACTACAGACCACTGTTCCCACTTAGTGACACTTCATACCAGTCAAACTGACTGTGGATCATGGTTTATGGTCAGGGACAACACAGCAGGACTGTAGATCTCTAGGACCAGTTTTTGGTCTCGCTCTGGTCTCTCTCTCTGGTCTCTCTCTGGTGTCTCTCTCTGGTCTCTCGCTCTCTGTCTCGCTCTGGTCTCTCTCTCTCTGGTCTCTCTCTCTGGTCTCTCGCTCTCTGTCTCGCTCTGGTCTCTCTGGTCTCTCTCTCTCTGGTCTCTCTCTCTCTGGTCTCTCGCTCTGGTCTCTCTCTCTGGTCTCTCGCTCTGGTCTCTCTCTCTGGTCTCTCTCTGGTCTCTCGCTCTGGTCTCTCTCTGGTCTCTCGCTCTCTGTCTCGCTCTGGTCTCGCTCTCTGTCTCGCTCTGGTCTCTCTCTCGGTCTCGCTCTGGTCTCTCACACAAACCCAAATGAAGTGACTCATGTTTATTTTACAGCAGTGACAGAAACAGAAACTTTTACAGTATTTACATTTTTACAGATCTGTGAACCTGACAACACGGACACCAGACCTTAGGCTTCAGTCACCATAGCAACTACAGTAACCCTAGCAACCACAGTCACCCTAGCAACCACAGCCACCATAGCAACCACAGTCACCATAGCACCCAGTCACCCTATAGCAACCACAGTCACCATAGCACCCAGTCACCCTATAGCAACCACAGTCACCATAGTAACCAATCACTACAGACACCATAGCAACCACAGTCACCACAGCAACCCCAGTCACCATAGCAACCACAGTCACCACAGCAACCCCAGTCACCATAGCAACCACAGTCACCACAGCAACCCCAGTCACCATAGCAACCACAGTCACCACAGCAACCCCAGTCACCATAGAAACATGAGGAAAGTCTCCATCATGAACGAGTGTGATCAGAAACTCATTATTTCTGAATAATTTAAGTCTCAGAAACTTCACAAAAATAAAGCAGTGACTGTACAACAACTAGGCTCACATCAGAGAGCATCAGGCTCATCAGACACTGTCGCATCGACGTGTCTGGGCCTCGTGTTAAACCAATCACAGTCGTTCCCTTAAACCTTCAGGCTTTGGTCCAATCACACGTCTTGGAACATTATTGCTCCGCCTCTCTTCGTTTGGACCTATCACAACTCGCAGTCTTCAAACGAACCAATCAGACGACTGTGTCCTGTAGCAGCGGCTCTGAGTCCTCCTGATTGGCTGCGGCGGTGGGAGGGGCTTCCTCATCACTTCCTGGTAGGGGCGTATTGATGTGGACGCCGGCCAATGAGGAGAGGGAGTGTTTGCTGACGGGGCGGGGCTTCTGCGTGAGTGACATTTCCGCCGGCATCTTGGATTTGTCCGGGATGAAGAACGCCACAACGAACGCCACAGCAACGGAGGCGGAGCCAAAGAGGAAGGGCGGGCCAGGAACCAGGGTGCGCTGAAAGAGAGGGAGCTCTGTTACTATGGACACCGTCACTACAGGCACCATAGCAACCTACAATCTCCCGTTGCCACGGAGACACGTAACCCTGCCATCCTGTCACTCCTGTTACCACGGAGGAGGACCCTGTTACTGTGAGGCCGGGGGCGGGGCTTACCTCGGTGGGCGGGGTCAGCTCCAGGTCGTACTTCTCTGTGATTGGGTCGATGGAGGTCAGTTCAACGTTAAACATAAAGAAGACGAAACCATAAATAGCTGGACCGAGACCATTACAGAGACCTCGGATCCCAGTGACCATGCCCTGGACCAGACCTGCAACCAGAGACCAGGACCAGGTGAGACCAGAGACCAGGACTAGAGAGAGACTAGAGAGAGAACAGAAAGAGACCAGGACCAGGTGAGACTGTGAATAACCTTGTTGGTCGGCGTCTGCAGACTGAGAGACCAGAGCAGAAACTGCAGGAAACGTGATGGACGACATCGCAGCCACTGCTCCTGCTGCCCAGATCATCCTGAGGAGCAGAGGAGGAGGTGAGGGGAGGAGGGAAGAGAGAGGAAAAGGGCAGGGGGAGGGAGTAGAGCAGGGAGGAGGAGGGAGGAGGTGCAGGGGAGCAGGAGGACTCACCAGGGCTCGGTCGCTAACCCGTACCAGGCTAACTGCAGCATCTGGAACCCCAGACCCAGGAGAACCGTGTTCTTGTTCCCCAAAGTTCTCATCAGCAACGTGAGGAGCAGCGTCTGGAGGAGAGAGGAGGAGCAAAGGGGGAGAGAGGAGGAGCAGCAGGGGGAGAGTGGAGGAGCGGGGGGGGGGGGGGGGGGGGGGCAGGCAGAAAGAGGAGGTGAAAGTCTGGCGGAGCAGAGGAGGACACAGAGTCTGTCTTGTTCACACAGAGCAGCAGGAGGTCCTCTCTCACAAGAGGTGCTCTCACAGCAGGAGGTCCTCTCACAGCAGGAGGTCCTCTCTCACAAGAGGTGCTCTCACAGCAGGAGGTCCTCTCTCACAAGAGGTGCTCTCACAGCAGGAGGTCCTCTCTCACAAGAGGTGCTCTCACAGCAGGAGGTGCTCTCTCACAGGAGGTGCTCTCACAGCAGGAGGTGCTCTCTCACAGCAGGAGGTGCTCTCACAGCAGGAGGTCCTCTCTCACAAGAGGTGCTCTCACAGCAGGAGGTGCTCTCTCACAGGAGGTGCTCTCACAGCAGGAGGTGCTCTCTCACAGCAGGAGGTGCTCTCACAGCAGGAGGTCCTCTCTCACAAGAGGTGCTCTCACAGCAGGAGGTGCTCTCTCACAGGAGGTGCTGTCACAGCAGGAGGTGCTCTCTCACAGCAGGAGGTGCTCTCACAGCAGGAGGTCCTCTCTCACAAGAGGTGCTCTCACAGCAGGAGGTGCTCTCTCACAGGAGTTGCTCTCACAGCAGGAGGTGCTCTCTCACAGCAGGAGGTGCTCTCACAGCAGGAGGTGCTCTCTCACAGGAGGTGCTCTCACAGCAGGAGGTGCTCTCTCACAGCAGGAGGTGCTCTCACAGCAGGAGGTCCTCTCTCACAAGAGGTGCTCTCACAGCAGGAGGTGCTCTCTCACAGGAGGTGCTCTCACAGCAGGAGGTGCTCTCTCACAGCAGGAGGTGCTCTCACAGCAGGAGGTCCTCTCTCACAAGAGGTGCTCTCACAGCAGGAGGTGCTCTCTCACAGGAGGTGCTCTCACAGCAGGAGGTGCTCTCACAGCAGGAGGTGCTCTCTCACAGGAGGTGCTCTCACAGCAGGAGGTGCTCTCTCACAGCAGGAGGTGCTCTCTCACAGCAGGAGGTGCTCTCTCACAGCAGGAGGTGCTCTCTCACAGCAGGAGGTGCTGTTGCTGATTCTTACCTGAGCCACGATGGACAGAATCCCCACGACTCCGATGAAGACGGCGATAGTTGTGGACGAGAAGTTCAACACCTGCAACACACACAGTTATAGACACACACACAGACACACACACACACACACAGTTATAGACACACACACACAGACACACACACACACACAGTTATAGACACACACACAGACACACACACACACACAGTTATAGACACACACACACAGACACACACACACACAGTTATAGACACACACACACACACACACAGACACAGACACACACACACACACACAGACACACACAGACACACAGACACACACAGACACACACACACACACACAGACACACACAGACACAGACACACACACACACAGACACACACAGACACACACACAGACACAGACACACACACAAACACACAGACACACACAGACACAGACACATACACACATACACAGACACACACACAGACACACACACAGACACAGACACACACACAGACACACACACACACACACACACACACAGACACAGACACAGACACACAGACACACACACACACACACAGACACAGACACACACAGACACACAAACAGACACACACAGACACACACTGACCTGTCTTAAATAGAGGAAGAAGCTGGAATACTGTCCGGCTTCAGGTAAATACGACAAGAAGACCGTCACACAGATCAGGAGGACTGTGGGGTCCTGCCCCACACGACGCAGAGACTGAGGAGAGACCAGAGACCAGGTGAGACCAGGTGAGACCAGGGAGAGACCACGGACCAGATGAGACCAGAGACCAGAGAGAGACCAGACCTGCTTTAGACCTGCATCAGACCTGCTTTAGTCCTGCTTTAGACCTGCTTTAGACCTGCTTTAGACCTGCTTTAGTTCTGCTTTAGTCCTGCTTTAGTCCTGCTTTAGTCCTGCTTTAGTCCTGCTTTAGACCTGCTTTAGACCTGCTTTAGTCCTGCTTTAGTCCTGCTTTAGACCTGCTTTAGTC